CTCCCTCTTAGGGACAAGGTTCGCAGCTTGGGAGTGCTCCTCGAACCTGAGCTGTCATTAGAAGCTCAGGTGACGGCGGTGGCGAGGAGCACTCCCAAGCTTCGGCTGATTCATCAGCTGCATCCCTACCTGGAGAACGATTGCCTGGCGACAGTGACAAATGCACTGGTAACTTCCCGATTAGACTTCTGTAACACGCTCTACATGGGGCTACCTTTGAAGACGGTCCGGATACTTCATTTGGTGCAAAACAGAGCTGCCAGGTTGCTGACGGGGACTGGGCATTGCTCTCATATAACCCCAGTTCTCCGTCAGCTTCACTGGCTCCCCATTGAAGTCCAGGCCCAATTCAAGGTGTTGGTTATCACCTATAAAGCCCTCAATGGCTTGGGACCTGGTTATCTAAAGGAACGCTTGCGTCCATATATGCCCTACTGCCCCTTGAGATCGGCAGCAGAGGCCCTTCTCCGGGAACCCTTCGTGAAAGATATTAGGAGGGTGAGTACCCAGAGAAGGACCTTCTCTGAGGTGGCGCCCCACCTATGGAATGCGCTCCCCAGAGAGGTCCGCGTGGCACTGTCGTTATTTGTTTTTTGGTGCCAGGCCAAGACCTTTTTATTTAAATGATATTTTAATTGCTAATTTATGAACTGTATTTATTGGGTTTTTATGTACATGCCGAGATGTTTCCAGTTTTTTAAGTCTAATTATATAACTGTTTATTTATGTTTATTAATGTTGTAAGCCGCCCCGAGGCTTTTTGCAAATGGGGCGGCATAGAAATGGTTTAAATAAATAAATAAATAAACTCTGAAGCTCTAAGCAGATATTTAGTAACATGAGGGGACAGGAACGTGCTCATATTTGCCCTGCCGTCCTTGCTCCCAACTCCACATTCACTTGAAGTACTGAACAAAGCCTACATGCATATTCAATATGTTATTTTCAGTGCTGGTCTAACTAGTTTCATTTATTTCAATAGGTCTACTTTAAGTAGGGTTAACACTAGAACAACCCACTTTACATAGATAGACTCTCTTTGTGTGTTTGGGAACCCTACAAAAGGCAGCATCTCTAGTTGGGCTTACAAATTCCACATACAGATCTGTAGATCTGTCTTTCCCAAACTGACACCCTCTGGATGTGTGGGCCATTGGCCATGCTGGCTGGGGATAATGGGAGTTGTGATCCAATACATCTTAAGGGTACTAAATTGGGAAAGGCAGCTTTAGGTAGGGCAAGGCAGTAGAAGAAATCCCAATCCCCCCACCCCCCCTTGCAGTCTCATAAACCATATTCATTGCACAGGGCTCAAGAGAGCTTGATTCTTGACTATGTGTTGTTGTTGTTCAGTCACAAAGTCATGCCTGACTCTTTGTGACCCCATGGAAAACATACGTCCAGGTTCTCCTGTCTTCCACCATCTCCAAGCTCACACCCACCTCTCCAGTGACTCCATCCAGCCACCTCGTTCTCTGCCGTCCCCTTCTTCTTTTGCCATCTATTGTTCCCAGCATTAGACTCTTCTCCAGGGAGTCCTTCCTTCTCATTAGGTGGCCAAAGTATTTGAGTTTCATCTTCAGTATCTGGCCTTCTAAAGAGCAGTTAGAGTTGGTCTCCTCTAGGACTGACCGGTTTGATCACCTTGCGGTCCAAGGGACTCACAGGAGTCTCCTCCAGCTCCACAATTCAAAGGCCTCAATTCTTTGGCGTTCGGCCTTCCTTATGGTTCAACTCTCACAGCCATACATTGCAACTGGGAAAACCATAGCCTTGACTATGTGCATTTTTGCTGGCAGGGTGATATCTCTGCTTTTTAGTATGCTGTCTAGATTTGCCATAGCTTTCCTCCCAAGGAGCAAGCGTCTTTTAATTTCTTGGCTGCAGTCACCATCTGCGATGAGGTAGACTGTTTTCATACATTCAGTTGAAGTGAAAGCAGTTCACGTAACACTTCTATCATGTCACACTGAGTACACTTTTCCCAAACAAGAGATTTGTCTCCAAGTACAGGACAGAAGAGAGTTTGCATAGTTTTCCATGAAGGATTTGTCCTTTCCTTGAGGCCTGCAAATGACTTGTTGCTGATAACATGAAAATCTCTCTGTATGACCAAAATTGCTTTGGCAATGCTACAAAGTGAAAATGTAAGTTAACAATAAGCATTTTCAGTGAATCAGCAACAATTCTCCAGTTCTGGAAAGGTTCCAGTATTGCAACCTTCATTCAATGGGGGCTGGTGGAACAAGCGCCTCCCCTGAATATATTGGCATCAGCCCGGAAGTAGTAGCAATGATATTAACAATAGTAGCAATAGAATGGAGGTTAAGTGGAGTCAATGCAAGAGTGGAAAAAATTGGAAATACAAGTCTGCCTGACACTAGTTATGTCACAAATGTCCCAGCCGATATTCATCTTTTTGCTTTTGAAGTATACTTTGCATCCCTCTGCCATCATGGTGCCACTGGCTGCAAGCCAAAGGAATTCTGGATTGGGCTCTAGAAGTCAAATGGCTGTGATGAGAGCAGATCCCAGTGAGCACTTTTATCCTGTTCTTGCTTGATTGCTGCCAGTTTGCTTCTGGGTCCATTCGTGAGGCTGGCTGTTATCTACCAGCAACATGCCTGTCATCATGATGTGAGCATGTGTTTGTGGAGGGAGGGCCTGTATAGTGCAGGGATGTGGTGGTGCACACAATGGGTCTCTGCTGCCATTGGACTTCATGGCAACCATTTTGGATAGGAATCTGTTCTCTATGTAGCCCAATCCTGGCTCTGTTTCTTGATTAGGGAAAACCTAAAATATTTTAATTCTAGTTTTACTGAAAATTGGTTAGAGCCACTTCAGAATTTTATCTGTTACAGATTAGTGCTAAATTTAAATAATCAGGGTGCAGTCCTGTGGAGATGAGCATACGCTTCTGAACTCTGAATGCAAGTTCATCCAATGCAAAACAGGAGGAGCTGTGGATGTCATCTCTACCTCCCAGTTGCTCCTTTTCTGCATTTGGAAGGAGGCAGGAGTGGTTTCAGGATACCTCAAATCCTGTCCATTCTAGTCTTATCCCCTCCCTGCCCCCAAGATGCTCCCTTTAATATCTTTGAGGTCCCCCGCCCCCGATTTCAGAGGACAGCTGGTGCCGCTCTTTCTGTGTGAGGGGGAAGGGCAGGGGTGGAACTGTTCCCAGACCCAAAGTCAAAAAGCTATTTTCAGCTTCTGTTCTGTTCTGCTTTTATCTACTTCTTTCCATACCTGAACTTTTTATAAACCTTCCTGGGTAGAAATGGAGACCAAAATGCTGTATGCTAAAGCCCCAGTTATTAAATTCTTTCCTCCTTTTACAATCTGTCCTAAATTTCAATAATGTCTGGGGTTTTGAATGCAGGCAACTTTCTTCTATGATGCAGTAGCAGCCTTCTCCAACCTGGTACCTTTGAGATGGGCCGGATTTCAATTCCATTCATCCTCCAGCGGGCGATGGGGAGTTGCCATCCAACTCACCTGGAGACCACCAGGTTGGGAAAGACTGCTCTAGAAATGCCCCATGTACTGTGCTCTGTAGCCTGTATCCTCCCTGGAGACCAACTAGAGCCATGTGTGTACAGGCAGGGTGAGGGGAGAGAGAGAGAGATGCATACCCTGAAGTCTGTGTTCAGTCTTCCGTGAGGAGGCAGCCAACCGCTCCGGGCACAGCAAATCTGCCAGCTGGCTGAAGAGGAGAAATGGCATCAGCTGTAGCCTTTCCCCATATCTGATCTGAAGGGATTAGAAATGAGGGGAGAGAGGGACAAATTGCTGTGGTGACCTGGCAATGGCTGAGGACAGGGAGAGGCATGTTAAATATTCATTTCATTTCATTTTTAAGATCTCTCACCACTTTCTCTTATCTGAAATGATGTATACAGTAGGATGAGTGGCAGATGAAACACAGTCATTTTTCCTTTAAAAAAGACTTTTTTAAAAAATCAAACACTGCAGAGAATCATCACTGGCATTAGTAGCAAGATTAAGGGGGATTTAGATTAAATTCATGCCTCAGTCAGAAATGAAATCTCAGGCTCCACTTTTGTACATAATATGCAGTGAGGCAGAAGCACGGCTGTGCGACTCCCAACACTTGGCAGCCCAGTCCGTGGGCAAGAAGGTCTCTCGGGGTCTGCTTACTGTTGTTGATGAATGGAACACCGAACCGAGTGGGACCCATTCAGTTCCATTTTTCATTCATCTCACAGAAAATGAAGGGAGGAACTAATGGATATGAATGGGACGCTTCTCTGGGATACTAAAAAAAGCCCCAAAATTAAACAAAGGCAAAGGAACAAAACTTCAGCACAAAACTGACTTCCTGCAATTAACACAAATGCAATCCTGAAGTGATTTCTGTTTGTCACACACCCCAAAAAGATTCTTTTTGGTCCTGATTTCTCTGTAGTGTTTGTTCTGCTAAAATTAAAATGGGTCTGACTGCACACAGGTGGTAGCGAATAAACTAGTGAGCACGCTTCTTCCTTACGATGTTAGCTTAGATGGTCCTCCTCCCCAGTTACACACATCTCCCACACATTTGAGTGTTGCTTTGAGCTCGCTGACCTTTTTGAGCATAACATTCCCAGACCACAACTAGGCATTTTCTCCTGCTCAGGCTGAACCAAGAGGTGATCTCCTTATTCATTTATTTTTAAACACACACACACACACACACACACTATCACCCCACTCCCATAGCTTCTGGGCAGCTTCCCAGAAATACATCTTAGAACTGTTAAGAGGCAGTGTCCAATGGGACACAATGTCTGTGGGTTTGCTACTGAGGTAGGTCCTAATACATGGAGGACGTTAGAGAGCAGCCATTTGCAATGTGATGGATGTTTGTTCAAACGATTTCCACCACGCTGCCAAGTGTGCATCTGCCTTTACCCTTATTTTGGGGTACCCAGTCTTTTGAATCTTTGTGACTGTTTGATTATATTGTTTCTGTTATGAACTTTTTGCCTTGACAGGTCCATGGGAAGTGTGTATGCAGACACAACACTGCAGGACACCATTGTGAGAGGTGTGCACCATTATACAATGACCGGCCATGGGAGCCAGGTGATGGAAAAACAGGGGCACCGAATGAATGCAGAAGTATGTGGGTATGGTGAAGAGAGAGCAGGGATGGAAGAGTGGAAAAAGAATAAATCACTCTGCCCAGTAGCAAAGCCCTTTAACAACCAATTTATCGAGCCTGGATTTATGATGCTCTCGCAGCAGATGGGGAATGGACTGCTAAGTAACAACATGAAAATCCTTTCAGCCACTAGAGAGAGAGTGCGTGAGAGCGCACAGCTGCGATTCACAGGCGTCCACACATGCACATGCACAAATGTAGTTGGCCGGTTGGATGAGTAGTAAAATTTGATATACTGTAAAATGAGGCAAAACTTCGGTCTAAACAGATTTCCTCTTTGATGCACTGTGAAAACAGAGGAGAATATGTATAGTGGGATTTTAAAAGTTCACCAGTTTCTCAACAGGTGAGCTTTGATTCCTTCCATTTAATTGAACAACATTACTTAAAGAAAAAAAACAGGGTAAGAGTCAAACCATTATTCTTTCATAATCATTTCATATTAGTTATAGTTGGGGATATGGAACTGAAATTATGTTTGAAAAGAATAAACTGTCTAGAGCAAAAGTTTTCCAATTGCAGGAAGTCGCTGGGTTAAGAACAAGTTCTGTTCCTGAGAATGTCTTTACATTGAATTTGTATGTAAGTTAGATCATGTATATAAAATGCATATGAAACACTTAAGAAACACTTCCAAAAACAGTTGGCCCTCCACATTTGCGGGGGTGGATTCCCATGACAGTGGAAAAAATGCAAATAATTTTAGTCCCCTCCATCGCCCAAGCTCACCAGGGTCTCCTTTTTGCAGCAAGGAAATGCTGGAGAGATTTCCCTCTCCAGGTAGGTGGGATAGGAAGGCCTGCTTTGGAAGCCTCCCCCTCTCCCCTTTCACTTCCTTTCTCTTTATGGCGATACTTTGGAGGCATCCCTCTCTCCCCTTTCGTTTTCCCTCTCTCTATGGTGATCACAGTTTTCCACAGTAGGCTGTAAAACTCCAAAAGGTATGAACCATTTTCAAATTTATAGGCTTTATGGCAGTTTGTAAGTATGTGTTGTTCATAAGTCAGATATTTGTAGCCCAGGGAATGCCTGCAGAGTGTAATAACTTGCTCGCTGGGCTCTGTGGTGTGAATAATCAAAATTCTCACCCTGGTGATCCTTTTGTCTAAGAAATAATAATGTCCTGGAAGGAGATGGATTTACCATTGCCCATTTTAAACCTTATTGAACCAGTTTACAGAATCAGACCATCACTCTTCCAAAGAGATTCCAGTTTAAACTAGTTGGGGAAAAAGTAAAATAGGATTGAACAGTATCATTGTACAGGACAAAATTAGTCCAACAGGCAATATGTATATCCCAATTTTCTTACTCGAGATTACTAGAATTGGAATAAAAATTTCCCATCACCTGTAAAAGATTTTTCCTACCTTGACTGAATTATCAATTCAAATGGAAATTACAGCCAAGACACTGAAACCTGGAAAGGCAGCAATGAAAAAACATCAAGTGTAAGGGTGTTTCAGCGGAGACCAAGGGCAGTCACTATGTATGGGAACAAAAGCTACACAATGAATAATGTTGACAAGAAGAAAATTGGTATATTCAATGCATTGTGCTGGAGGAGAGATTTGCAAATACCCTGGATAGATGAACAAGTGGGTCCTAGATCAAATCAAGCCAGAATTTTCCCTGGATGCAGAAATGATAAAACTGAAGCTGCTGTACTTTAAGCACATCATAAGAAGGCAAGAGGCACTGAAAAATCCATAAGGCTAAGGAACGTTAAAGGCATAAGAAATGGGGAAGACCTACCGTGAGATGAATTGGTTCCACTGGGTTTTCAAGAGCTGAGCAAGGCTGTCAAGGACAGGTCATTTTGAAGAGCATTCAATTCATAAGGTCACCATACGTTGGGGACGACCTGTAACAATAACTGTATCATCGTGTGTCTTATTTTTGGATAAAAATCAGCAAGCCAGCCAGCCAGCCCATTAATGTGGCCATACTAAGTGCATAATTAACGACACAAAAGAGGCCATTAAATGCCTCCTTTATTCAATGTATTTACTTTTTCCCAGATCCAAAGGTTGGATTCAGACTGCTTCTTCCACCTCCAGTGATTGCTTTTATAACCTACCTTATAGGTTACCTATAGGTTATAGGTTTTATAACCTACCCAGACCACTTATAAGCCATGCCTAGAGCAGACCCAGTGAGAGAGAGCCAATATGATGTAGTGCTTAGAAGGTCAGGCTGAAGACTTGGGAGCTCCAGGTGCTAGTCCCCACTCAGGCTTGGAGCCCACTGGGTGACCTTGGGCCACTCAGCCTAACCTACCTCACAGGGTTGTTGTGAGGAAAAAATTGAGGAGGAGGATTATGTAATCTGCTTTGAATTCCTTGAAAGGAAAAAAGGTGGGATATAAATATAACAGATTAATGTATTTTCTTGAACACATGCAAGGTTTTATATCTAGACTCTGCAGGCTCACTCCCCGTGGCATCTCATCCATCAAATTGATAGCTGTGCACATGATAGCAAACTTCCACATGAATGAGTATGACAGCAATGACATTATGAATAAGCTTCACCACTGTTGAACGTCTTAAACTGTGTCTGTTAAAAGGAATAGACAGTTCAGGCCACTGGGTTTTCTTTGCTTACATTCCTAGTGCTTCCTTGCTCTTACATTAGGGTTTCATGGCTAGTATCCAGTGGTGGCACAACGCTAACGCGAGTGACACTGTGCTGACATTTGCTTATGGAAGCGCAATGTCGTTAGCACTAGCAGTGCTCCACCATGGGGGATTATCCTGAGGGGATTTGGAGCCAAGTGCCAGCAGCGTGCTGATGACTCACCCACCGCTCTGTGTCTCTGTGTCGCTGGGACATCTGAATCCGATGAGGCTGTGCAGTTCCTGCATGAGGATCGGTAAACTGGCAGGATGGGAGCCCTGTTTAAGAGGGTCCCAAAATGCCAGCTTCAAGAATAGGCTGACGGGACCTGAGCTCCTCCTGACGGAGCAGGAAAGGGATGGTGTGGTGGGGTGGGCAGCGCGATGAAAATGTTGGCTCAGTGTGCAGCTGCTGTGAAAAAGACGAACTCCGGGCTGGGCATGATTAGGAATGGAGTGAAAAACAGGAGTAGAAAACAAACAAGAACATACTTCCCTTATACAAATCCTGGGTGTGACCACACTTACAATATTGTGTACAGTTCTGGTTGCCTTACATGAAAAAGTCCATAACTGAGTAGGAAAAGGTACAGGGAGGGGATGGAGTAATTTCCCTGTGAAAAGCAGCTGTTTAGCGTAGGGGAGAAAGTGAGTAAGGGGAGACATGATGGATTAAAATAACGCATGATGTGGAAAAAGTGAAGAAGAATTTTTTCTCCCTCTTCCATAACACATGAGCACAGAGTCATCTCATGAGGATGATTGGTGGGAGGTTCAGGACAATGCTATTAAGAATCATGTTTCTTCCTCCTCCTCTTCTCCTCCCCACTCCCCAACAGAATGCCGCTGCCACAATCATGCAGAGAGCTGCCATTTTAACCTGAGCGTCTGGCTGGCATCGGGAAAGCAGAGTGGAGGGGTCTGTGACAACTGCAGGCACAACACCGAGGGCTACCGGTGTCAAAGGTGCAAGCCGGGTTTTTACCGAGACAGAGGAAAACCCGTGTCATCCCCAGAGATTTGCAAACGTAAGTTATTTTTTGTTGAATGTCATATGCAAAAATACATAGAGAAGGGTTTCTTGTTTTATATCGGCAGAGTTTAGATGTGCCCGTTCATCCCTTAAAAGGTACCTGCTTACTCCACATACTAAGATTTTCCATTGCTTTTCCAGGGTAAAGTCTCCAGCTAAGGTTATGTTCCAAGCAAGCTGACTTCCCTGTATGTCCACAGGTGGTTTCCTTATCAAACAACCATCATGGCAGAACAAAAATTCCATATTTCTAAAGCTAATCTTGTAAATTTACTTTGCTATATCAACACTGACACCTGTTGATACGAACAGGCACTCCTGGCATAATGCTGAGTCCAGCGGTGCTTCCAGTGCGAGTTTCTGTCAGGCGTGCCCGCATTGCCAACAAGATCCCACGTGGGTTCAAATGAATAACAAACTGAAGGGCACACTCTACACACTCAGCTCCCAGCCACCCCAGATGTTTAACCGTGTCTTGTACCCAAGGATGCATTGGGCTGGATTCTATCGTATGCTATCTCATGGGGAGCACTGTGCTGGAGATGTGGGTGTTTCATTGGGGTTTCCACAGGCCCATGCCCCCATACAAGTACTGGGACTGATGCAATTCTATACTGTCCCATAGAGGATACTGGAGGTGTGAGCATCTGATCTGGGGAGGTCCATTGCTTCGTCGGGCTGCATACCCACGTTCTTCATTTGTTTGGCCAGACACAACTCTTATCAATTAATTGGCGATGGGGGAAAGGAGACTGTTGTCACTGTGGGGCCAAACCATGCAAGCATATTCCTCAAGCTTATTTAATGCAGAGTTTTGCATACTCTGCTCAGAGCAGCCACCAAGAAATGATCTTCCCATGCCTGGTGCCTTTGAGAGCCAGCATGGCATAGTGGTTAGAGTGGTGGACTCAGGATCTCTGAGCTTTGGGGTCTAGCCTCTACTGAGCCATGGAATTCACGGCTTGCAAGCCGTGCAAGCTGCCTTGGGTTTCTCACAAGAGAAAGAAAAGCAGGTTATAATGTGATAATAATATTAATAGTACTATAAACATCTTAAAAATATATATAGGAGGCAATGAACAAAATTATGAAGGAATGAATGCCCCTGAAGTGCTTCAGAAATGTTGAGGGGGGGTTAATTATGGTGAAGGGCAGGTGTGGATGTCTGGGCCAGTGTTTGATGTGCTAAAACGGATGTCTGTCTTTTGAATGGAACAGTCATGTTCTCATTTTCCATGACCTCGTTCTTTCCCCTGACGTGCCTTTAATCAAATACCTGCCCTGCTTCTGAAGTTCTGTGGTTGCCTTGATGGACCTGGCCCAAGTCTCCTGGAAACTCAGGTTACAGATGCTTTTCACACGGCAGTCACCAGGCCGCTGCTGTCGCTTGAGCGGCCTGTTCACAGCGCCTGCTCTCTTCCTGCCCTCTTGTGCGTGTTTGCCGTTTCTGAATGCTTGTGCTGGCTCAGCCCCCATTGCCTCCCCCAGCGGCGAATCACCAACTTTTAACCTTTCATGCAAGTTCATGGGAATGAGAAGCTGCCTTGCTAGCCTGACCTCTTGGTGTGCCCAACCACGTGGGATGGCACCCAAGGAGTGCTCCTGAAGCTCCTTTCTCCTAAGTCTCGGTACAAGCAAAGCTTTGTAAAAGTTGCCATTTCATGAGATTGAATTGCAAGCCTTTGTGCACTGGAAGGTTTCTATGTCCAGGTTCTAAAGTGGTGCTAAGGCTCTCCAGCCAGAAAGGTGCATTATTAGATACTCACTTAGAGAGCAGCAACAGAGAAGTTGAAACCATTTACTAAGGAGACAGCCTGTGGCAACCTTCGACCAGGCTGCTTGAATGGAAGTGGATTTCAGTGTTTCGCAGAGCTCTTTAGTCTGGTACGGCCGTCTTTTGCCCAAATAGTTATTGTTGTTATGTGCCATCAAGTTATTTCCAGTTTGTGGTGACCCTGTGAATGAAAGCCCTTCAGATGTCCTGCCCAGGACAGCCTTTCTTCCAAGCTCATCACCATGGCTTGTGACAGATGAACCCTCAAATAGTATTTTCTGATTTTATTTCTGTAAATTTTGATGCTTGAGTGGGTATCTCCTGAATATCCAAGTATATAAGAAGCTTCACTGAAAATCACACCCTGTACTTGTTATATAATAATATGACATATTTGACATCAGCACTGAGAAGACCCTTTACCTTGTTACCTTCTGAGTGTCCCTCAGAGGAAGTCCCTGGAAAAGTGTTGTATATGGGTAGGTTCATGACAGGAGAGGTGCTCCATCAGGTGTGGTTGTCCTGAGACATGTAGCTTTATGGGTCAGAACCAGTGCCTTGAATCTGGCTTGGAAACATATGGGCAGTCAGTGCAGACCAGCCAGAATTGGTGTTATATGTTTGGACCTTCTGGTCCTTGTTGTCAGTCAGGCACTGCATTTTGCACAAGCTGCAACATGTGAAGTGTGTGTACTTCGAGTAGCGGCAGGCTATCAAGAAGAGGTTGCCCTGATTTCTACAGTATTGGCTCATCGCATGTGGCATGCTAAAGATCTCACTGCAAAGTCATGGTGACGCTTGCTTGGGTGTTCACAAACAAGTGCACTGGGTCCTCAGGACAACAGTGACCATCCTTTTTGAACGGGCAAATGCTGAATGGAATCATCCCTTCAGTCTCACTGCATGTGGGAATGCTCAGAAAAGCCTTGTTTGGACCTGTGGTCACACTCTGGCAGCCACACATTCCAATTAGCTTTCAAGGCCAGCCAAAACGTGTATCTCCCTTAGTTGACTGTTAAGCGGAGACTATAATGTGCTTGGTCCCACTGACTGCATTCCTTTGTAATGCCCAAGCCCTAAACAGGAAAACAAAGCTCAGCCTTCCATAACCCAGATGTTTTCGACTGCATCCCCCATCAGCCTTGGCCAGTGGTCAGAGATGATGGGATGTGTAGTCAGAATCATCCGATGGGGCTGCAAGTTAGTGGGGGCTGCCATAGCACTTGATTATTCATTTGTTCCGTAACCGGATTCCACTGATCTTAATTAAACAAAATATGCTTGAAGAGTTGAGATGTCCCAGGAATAACTTGCTTGGGATGTACCAGGAATTCAGCTTGCTTTGGCTTAGAAAAGCCAAAATGTTAAATATGCATGCTCTTTTTTTTATGCCGTGAAATACCAAAGAGGAACATAACAAATTTGTCACAGCAAATTGCACAGATGTTTGCGAGATGAGCAATGCAGTTCTCAGCTCCATTGTGAGAAAGAAAGAAGGAAGAAGCCCTTCAGGAAGGGGGAGGGCATCAAAATTGTCTCTCACTCTCCACTGGGCACCAGGTTAGGGAATGAATGCAGATGCAAAATCTGAATGAAATGCTCTATTTAATCCCTTAGTGAAAGCTTGTTTTAAGAGTGCTTTTGCATCCAGTGCAAAGAACCCAAGCTCAGCTGAAACCAGGCCCGGAGGCTCCCAAGAAGAAAGTGAACAGAATTCTGCTCAGAAGAAATCTCATGGCTTTACTCATAATAATCAAGTGCATCCTCTCTAAATCAGAAGCAAGAGAGGGGAAATGTGTTGTATAAAAGAGAATGCTCTGATGTCTGCCAGATTTTCCAACATTGACTCCATGGGTAGAGATGCACAAACATTCCTTTAAAATACTTTTTAAAATGTCCCAGCCAGAATCATAATACACGAATATAAAACCCAGGATGGAATGACCGGCAAGACACACAAACAAGCTTGTTTTAAGGAAGGTGTGATGGGACATGGGAGATCTCCTGACTTTCTTAACCTCCCAAAAAACTTAACAGAAAGCACCCAAAGGGGGACCTTTTTTGTATGTTCACAAGAAATCCTAACAGACAGCTGTCCATGCCCAAGCATGTTTCATTAAAAGGGTAGAATGAACACACTTCAGACTGGGATGTGCCTATGTAACTGTAACAGTGTGGGCTACTCCAGTTGTCCTTGGCAGCAGATGTGGAGGAAGAAAGAGTACCCAGAATTCACTGACCTAGTTTTGGGGCACAGAACCTCAGGCTTGGGGGCTAAATCACACCCACCGGGTTTCCCGGTCCAGCCCTCCTGGGGTTCCCAAGGTGGCCATGCTCGCTTCCCCTTGCCCCAGCTGCCTCCCTCCAGCCCCACCCCATGAAATGCCTCTCCAGGGGCTTCATTACTGGCAGTATGAGACTGAATCTAAAATGCATGCTTTTCACAATCCACCTCATCAGCCTTCAGCTCCTCCCACTGCTGAAGTGTGGCCTGCGGGAGTTTCTCTGGAACTGAATTCAACCTTTGGACTGAAAAAGGTTCAACACCTCTAGCCTAAGTGCATTAACACACACACACACACACAAATGTGTGTGTGCCTGCACATGTGTGCGCACACGCACATCAGGGATGATGAAGAAATGTGCTCAGTTTGCATTTTAATGCAGGCTTAGCTAATAGGTGAATCACATGTGAATTGAAATTCAGTTATTGTTTGACATTTTAATTTCTCTGGATTTTGTGGTGGAGTTTTCTAATCAAACATGCATGCAAAATGCACATATTGGAGAAAGTTCAAAAATGCATTTTAGAAGGAAAACTCTTTGGGAAATATGTATAATCAGCAAAAGTTCAGTACAATCAAATATTAAGATTGGAAAAATAAGAACATGAGACAAAACCTGAAATGGACAGAGTCATCCATCCTTATTATACACTTAGATGCCTTCACAAATATTAATGCATACATGTGTCTATAAGTATTGTTTCATCCCAGTTACCAGGATGAAGGAGTAGAGGCTCCCGCCAGAATTGGAACATCCTTGCAAACTTATCTGAGAATACTCTGTTCACTTTTCTAACATGAAGCCTGTCTGAGACAGGTAACACCAACAAAAACGTTATTTTAAAATATAGTTAGCAACAATGCAACAATAAAACAAGTATATTAAAATACAGCTAAAAACACACCAACAATTACAGAATAAAAATAGCACTCAACTCAGGCGATCATTTTACAGACCAAAGGCCTACGTGAACTAAAACATTTCTGTCTGCTGAAAAAAGGAAAGTTGAAAGGCAGCCAACTTTGGCAATGAGTTCAATGGTTTCAGTCACTGAGAAAGCCCTTTCTTGTGTCCTCACCAAACAAGCCTCTGAAGGCAGAGAGAACCCCCCTCTGCAAGATCTTAAAACCCGGGCAGACTAGCACGAGGAAGGCAGCTTTGCAGGTAGCCTGTTCCCAAGCTGTGCATAAGGGAGGCCATAACCAGTGCTTGGAACTGTGCCTGGAAACAGACAGGCCACTTACTTTGCAGGTCTTGCAAAGATCCCATCATTCTGCCTGACTGTGGGCTTGTTGTTTCACCTGCCTCTTTGCGCTTTCATTTAGCCTGCTCCTGCCAGCCCGTGGGCTCCGTGAACTCAGCATTCAACCAGAGCTGGAGGTGCCATCCCAAGACAGGATTCTGCTACTGCAAGCCAGGCGTTGCAGGCCCAAAATGCGACAGGTGCCTCTTGGGATACTGGGGCTTTGGCGAAAATGGCTGCCAACCTTGTGACTGTGCCAGAGACTGTGACAAACAGACTGGACAATGTCTTAACAGGTATGCAAAGTCCTGAAGGTGACCTGAAATAATTTTGAATTTAGCAAGGCCTTTATTCTGGACAAAGGGATCGTGGCTTTCAACTAGCCTGCTTCTGCTCTTTCTCATCTCTTCCCAGTTATGACAATCAGGCATTTTTCAATATTCCCATTGGTGGAAGAATCCCTGACCTCATTCAAACACCAGCCAATGAAAGTGAAGATGAGTGGCAATGGAATGATCATGAGCAGGGATTTTCTGCATTAAGACATCCAGGTATGCATTTATATTTTTCAAGAAATTGAGAAATGCTGGTTATCACTTCTACAGTTTTGTTACACTTTCATGAACCTGTTCAGGTTTCCAGAGGTTTTATTGAAATATTCAGGTTTACTTCTAAAATAAGGATACAAGTTTAGAGAACTTTCACAGCTGCAGATCCACTGCTGGACACTGAATAGTCCTTTTAACATAAAAGCAGGTGAAACCTGTGGAATTCTAAAAGGACAGGTTCTGGTCAACAAGCCTGGGGACTGCCATGTGAGCCTATGGCTTAGCTTAACTAGATTTTGAGACGTCAGGATCATTTCTGGCACAAAAAGTGTCTCTGATCATAAGAGCATAAGAAAAGAGTTCTGATCTAGAGGAAGGGATTTGTTACAATTTCCTCTAAAATACTTACAGCTTTCTCAAAATTGTTCCTGTTCAAAGACAGCTGAGGTTACATATTGCTTAGACTGTGAGGTTTTTTTAAGTGTTACTTTATTTCCACTTGGCATCTGATTCTTTCTTATATCTGTTGAAGTGTGAAATTGATTTCATGGAGGGAGTTTCTCTTTCAGCTTTAAAAACTTAGCTAGCCAATGAGACATACCAATTTTTCATTATAGTGTCAGATTTGCAACTAAATGATTTTCTCAAAAAGCTATTTTAATGGCATATCCAAAATGTTAAGAGCAAAATATTACATATGAACATAAAAATGATTTGTTCTCTCCATCTCTACACCACACGACCCCTGGTCCTTTCTTAACGTAATCCATGACCTTCAACGCATTGACCTCTGATTCCCTGGCTAGAAAAGTGTATATGCAAAGAGAAGATACTAGGAAGCATCAGCAATTTTTGCCAGATGAAATATGCTTATGGTAAGTGAGCGAAATGTTGCCACACATTTCATTGTGGGGAATGAACTGAAATGCCAGGACCTCTTTGCTACAGCAGTCCAGCAGTGGGGATGGAGGAGAAGAGAAATTTAATGGCTTCACAACTGAAGGAAATCCATGGCCCTCTAAAGGGGGTGGGGTCTGTATGAGTATTGTCTAGGGTCTAAAATTACCTAGCTGCAGCTAGATGAAGATGCTTCCAGGTGTTCCCTTGGTCTATATAAAGCCAAAGAACAACCACATGGTGATTTACCACTGGGTCCGTCTGCCTTTATGTACGACATATTCCCTTCTTGTCATCTAAAAAGCCAAGAACAGCTTTGATGATTCTCAGTATGTCTCTTGTGCAGGCAGCTTGCAGGACCAGCTGAAACCAGGAGGACTTCATCATCCTGTGTTTTTCGATTATTCTCATTTTGATCTCATCCTTAATTTGGCTTTTAACATCCTTCTTACTTGCAATGTTTTGCCATGTCTTTCTTTGTTTATCATGTGGGTTTTGCAGTATAGAAATGCAATAGATAAATGCAATAAATAAATAAATCAGCCAGCACTGTTAGGTAAGATATAGCACATGAAAGCATCCATCCCATAGCCCTTACCTTGCCATCGATTATGCACACCACTGGTCATTAGAGGCCCTGGGGAAATCTACAGTGGATTCAGATGAGTTCAGATTTCTGTGTAAAATATGTTGGCAATCTGCAAAACACAGATGGGCTGAGTTTAACAAAATCAGTAGCGGCATTTGCCACTTCCATCTCTGAGACAGTGTAAGGGAAAGGATTAACAACCTGCACACCACAGTCTCAGGCTTACCATCATCTCCCCTCCAAATTTTCTCATAAACTAGATACAATCACATATTCTATGTATCATCCAGTTTGGCCTTAAGATGCTCAGGAAATCCATGTTCTGTGCCAGGTATGTGGAGACGGGCAGCCCTGCTAACAAGCTGGGTATTATGTGTTGCTCCTAGCAGTGCCCTCAGCTTCGGCTACTTTGACACAATCAGATAAATTGTGCTGTGGCTGGAATAAGGAGAATTTGTGCTTTCCTGCAGTGATAAAAGCAAAGATCCTCTCTGCTCATGACAAAGGAACCCATGCAGAAGTCATTGTGAAAGTAAAGAAAGTTCTGAAATCTGGAAAAGTGAAAATCGCCAGGAATAACAGGAGCATCTATCCAGAGTCTTGGACCAACAGGGGATGCACATGCCCTATTCTTAATCCTGGTAAGTTTTCTGTATTTATGACACTGGTATGTGAGGGAGAGGAAGCAGACATGAATTACTTCAATGGGAAGCCTGATCTATCAAGTGGTTGCTGTTTTGCAGAATCCATCCTTTGTGTTGCAAATTCTTGTCTGTTGTGAAAAGATCTATGGGGATAAACCAGCCTCTTTTTCATGTGGAGAGACTACATTATAACTTTATACCAGGGTTGTGGAGGGTGTTTTGCAAGATGCACAGTATTCCTAGCCAGCTGAACTCTTTGAAATCTTCTGAGCAAAAATCTGTGAATTTGATGCTCACTGGAAGAGCACATGCTTTGCAGGCAAAACATCCTAAATTCAGTGTCTGTCATCTTTAGTGAAAAAGCTCTAGTAGCAGTTTCTGGGAAACTCCAGTGCTGCCAGTCAGAGCAAACAATACCAAGCTTGGTGGGAAATGGTATGACACAGTAGAAGGCAGAAGCAGCAGACAGATGTCCATGGAAAGAGCCCACCAGTCTTATCTCTGATCAGATGCAAGATAGTTTTCCTGCTCTCCTGCCTTTTAAAGCCTAATTATAGCAGAAGTATGGAAGCATTTTCAGGAGTAGATGGCTGCTAGAAGGCAATGGCTAATCCTTTCCTTCCCAACTCTGCCACATTGCAACTGATGTCAGGTTTTTTTAAGCCTCATGCAGCAGGGCAGTGTGTGTGTGTGTGTTTGAATGGAGTCTGATCAGTCACATCATGTTTTCATGTGGCCCAAGCCTTCAGCATGCATGGCCGGACCAGTTTGGCCCTTAGAACCCAAATTCCCCTAACCCTTTATGCACCAAAACCCCTCAGCCTGACCTGCAGTGGTACCATGTTTAGGGGCTGGAGAAGAACTGGCTGCTGGGTGATGCAAGTAGGTGAGGGTCACGAGATCTTGGGCAGAACAGGGCCTTGGTGTCCCACTTGAGATAGGAGGCCTTTTGGCCTACTGCATGCAGCGGCAAGCTGGAGTCCATCTCGTCCCACAAATTTTCTGGCTATTGAGGACCTTCTAATTAATAAGGCTCCAGTGGGTCATTTCAAGGGGCAGACTACAGCTACCTCATCTGCTGCTTTTCTTAGGACTCAGAACCCACATTGCCATGTGAAATGACAGCTTTGGAAGTTTACTTGTGAACAGAGCTGTTGGTGAGGTGGAAATCCAGCAGGATGCTGTTTATAAGGCAGCCATCGCTAGTCCTCAGAGCTGCTGCAGCCCTTTGTCAAGAGCAACGTGGAACAGCATTCTGGAGCCTGGACAACCTCTTGAGTAATAGGAAGCCATCTTCTCTTTCTCAGGGTAAAGCAAGTGGTAGGGCAGCGTCTCTGCATGCAGCAAGGCCTAGGTTCAGTCCTTGGCATCTCAGGGTAGGGCTGGAAAAACATCCTTCCTGAAAACCAGGAGAGCTGCTGCCAGTCAGTGTTGGCAATACTAGGACCATAGCCTGATTCCATTTCAGGCAGCTTCCCATGTTTCTGGGATGCAGGTGAGAGCCCTTGCAACAAGTGGATCTACACCTGAGCACATATTGCAAAGGCAGCATCTTTACACCATTTTTTCTCCCGGATAACAATCCTTCTCTGTGATAATGCAGGCTGCATAATGACCTGGGAATGTTCCTGCCTCTCTTTTCCCCAGGAAAAAAGAGCAAGGTGGTCCCTGGTGCATGTTTAATGTTCCACAGCCAAAGAACTGTTAACTCGTCTCTTGGAAGCTGCCCTACTCACAGAGAGCTTGCATCTGTGAAGTAACAGTAAAACTACGTGACCATATTAAGGGCATGAATTCCTTGTCTCAGGTTGTTAGGTCAGGTTGTGTAGCACTAAATTTCATAGCACTCTTTTGCACAATTCCTTCCATTTGACTTGCTTTGTTCCCTAATTAATTGCACAATGCCCCAGTAGGTTTCATCTTTTTTAAACTGGAGCCTGGGAACGTGCTTTGGACCGTGGATTTCATTTTAAGTTTAAGTAACCAGAGAATGAACTGGATTAACTTTTGGGTTCCATTAGGTTAGGATGAGCAAACATGCCTCCTCAAAGGTTAGCATTGTCCTGCCCTCATCCTTCGATCAAATATGAACCAATAAAATATATCGTTCTTTCTTTATCTTGAGACTAAATTAAACACAAATCTGCATTGATTGAAATGAAAGGTTTTGTCTAAAAAGCAGGTTTTATAACCCAATCAGTCACCATGATTAACATGAGAAGAAGCTCTCTGTGAATAGCTTATAATTCCACTACACCACATTCTTTGAAACTCCGGTTTGGATTTTCTATTTGCCAAACCCTCTAAATGAAGACAGGAGCCAGACAATAGCTTTTGAGGAAGAGAGAGAGAGAGTATTGAAGGCAATTTGAAAGAGAGATGGATGCTTAACACTCATCTTTTTGCTTGCGGTAAGTAGGTTTGGTAGAGTTTGGGGGAATTGTTAAAAACTCTGCAAACCAGTTGGATCCGAGGTGACTGTGGGACAGAAGAAATAAAGGGAGCCTCCCTCTCTTACAAAGCTTATTTCCAGCCTAACAATAAGAGTTGATAACTCTGGAACCTGTCCCCAGTAGCTGTCCCTGCAGTGGGAACTGCATCAGTTAGCAGGTTAGCAAGTTTATCTCCGTACCATGGAAAACAGTCTCCCAAAGCATTTATTGTAAGTTAGGAGATCATCTTGCTTTATCCTCATAGCGTTCCCATGATGTAGATTACATTCAGACAGGGAGATGGAGAGGGGCTTAGTTCATATGAGAACTGTGGATTAAACAAGCCACAGTGGCTTGTTTGAGCTGTGGTGGGTGCTGGGTGTCCTTTGCCATATTGCCTAGCTAGGCATGGCTTGTTATATCACCAGAAGTTGGGCAGCATGGCTTGAAAAGAATAGCCCAGCATGCCATGTAAATCACCCACATCAGGCCAAGAAAGTGTCTTGCCCAAGGCCACAGACTGGATCCAAACTTTTCTGCTGTGAACAGAGCAGAGTGTAAGGAATGGGGCATTTCAGGCCCTGCCTCCTGTGCAGTCTCCTGTGGACCCCAAAAATGGGGACTGCATGGTACTTGATTCCAGAGTGTGTGGCTGCGAAAAGGTTTGCAAGAGAGATCCAGAAGAATTTGGTCTGTATTTTGAAGTGAACCATCTGGGCTAATATGTGGATTGGAACACAGTTCTCATTTGGATTGTGCATTCTCTGCATTTTGTAATCAAGTGCTCAAGTTTTTAAAAGTTATAGAACTGAATATTTTAGGTGCAAACAAGCATACAAAATGCATACATAAATGCAAATGCATAATTTGGAGCAGAATACATATTGCATTTTTAAAAGAAATATCCATGTAGCGTGCATATTTTAGTGGGAAATGTATTCAAGTTAAATGTGAATTTTCACAAGATAGAATGCACTGATGGTCGAAGCAATTCAAAACTGGCATGGACTGGAAATAGAGTTGGGATGCAATCTGGGGCATAAACGGAGTTGCAGGCCCTCTTTCTGTTTCCATTTCTGTAGCACTGTATCCTCAAGCAATCATCTCTGGGTAGAAATCCTGGTTCAAGCATTGAGAAGCTCTTGCCTTTATGGCCAACTGTCAAAATTGCTTGGAACGGAAGTCTAAAACTTCTGCAGATCTACTTTCTGCTCATCCCTGCACTCTACCATCAGATGTGCAGTAAAGAAACGTAGCTTAATAAACACGCACACCCCCCTTTTATTTAGCTCTGATTATATCCACATCCCCCTTCTTCTTGAACGTCCACAAAATGCTGCATCCTTTCCATCTGTTTTTGTTTTCAGCAAGGAAGGCCGCCCTTGGGAAGACAATAATCCATATTCACTCCAGCTAGTCCAGTCTGGCACTCGGGTTTTGTGCTGTGCACAGCAATCTGGCTCCCTGCCCAACTATCTCTGTGGGATTGCACTGTACGTTCTTGCCTGGCTGGTGACAGGAAGTCTATATCTAATCTCATGGCCTTAGAGTTTAAACATAAACCTTCATTTCTAGTGTAATAATGCAATGGAATCCCAGTATGGATTTGGGAAAAAAAGAGGTGTCTCCAACATGGTGCCTGCAGGCTCCTGAAAAATTGGGTTTTTATGAAATGCATATGATTGTCTAGCAGTGATACATAGACTTCAAAAAGTGGGTCAAATATCCAAATAAGTATCCATTTGAAGATTGTGTCTCTCTGCCACTGGTTCAAGTATTAAAAATGCAGTAAGATCCTGAATCTGTTAAGGGAAAGGCTGTTCCAGTACGAAATCTATCTGCATAATAGCCTTCTCCCAGAAAGAGACAACTGGAAATTGCCAGAAGCATATGTTTAAAAGCTGAATTAGGCAGTTAAAACATTGCAGTGTCCAGTAGACACAAAACAAAACTTTTTGCCAAAAAAGACACAGACTAAGATCTATAGACATGACAGGCAATCGACTGATTGGGTATTATGTGGTGGTGCCCAGAGCAGTGTCTCAGTTTTTCAAATGTCCCCTGAGATCCAAAAAGTTTAGGGACTCCTGCACTGACATAACAGGAGCAAGCCAGAACATAAATAAATCCTCCCATGTATTTAGGAAGTGATCTACTATATCTGTGAGGCTCAGGAAAAAAGTCAAGTCACTGCCCTCATTCCAGAGAAACCAGCACAGATATGCAGAGTTGCATGGATTCCATTTTTCTTGCTTCTGTTCTTTACTCCCCGAAACACATGCTCCTCATGAAGCCCTGCTGCCTTTGGGAACAGCTAGCTTCTCTTCTGATTTTCTCTTCAGATATTTGCCAGTCTCTTGCCTTCACCAACAAAGCTATTAATTAACTGAGCTAATGATGTAGACTCTTAATCCTGCTTCATTTGGATGGACTGAGGGAGAGAAATATTGTGAACTTCTGTTTAGCAGGCCAAAGTCACCAGGATCATATGCTTTGTGTAGCACTAGCTTCATCAGTATCTCCTGGTACTGGACAGGCAGTACAAAATTACCACCTGCACTTTCTCACTTCATCCTATTTTTGGAAGCTACTTGGAAAAGATCTTGAGGTACAGGATGTAAATATTTTATTTGTCAGACTTTGTAAATGAGGCTGCAGCCCTCTACACACTGACCTGGGAGTAAAATTCCATTGAACTCCATGGAGTTATTCCCAGTAAGTGTGCATTAGATGGCCTCAGATAATCTCTCTTTCTCTCTCATCAATTGAGGCTCCTGCTTTTTTGCTAGCTATTCTAATTTTGTGAACTCTTTTAGCTGTTATGTTTGTTAATTTGATGTGAGCCGCCCCGAGGCTTCGGCGAATGGGGCGGCATAAAAATGTTTTAATAAATAAATAAATAAATTTTTGCAACTGGCAAATACTCTGAAGGAGGAATGAATGGATAAGGGGATTAGAACTTATTTCCCAACTCTGCTTTGTCTGAACAAGGTCTCTCTTGTCATGGATTATACTCAGCATAGGAATTGTGGAGAAAGGGCAACTGATGCTTTTTGTGGGCAGATAAAACAAATGTGTGCTGAACTGGATGCTGATGCTGATGCCACTGCCCAGCTGTTACTTCACATATAGCCTCCTCTTTCCCTCTTGTTAGGAACCCCAGGCAGCTAACATAATCCCCATCTCCACTTTCTCCACAACACCCTGTGAGGTGGATTAGGCTGAAAGTCAGTGACGGGCCTAACATCACCCAGTAAGCTTCATGGCAGACTAGAATCCAGATCTCCTGAGCTCAGTTCAACACGCTAACCACGATTGTTTATTAATTGATCTTATATGCCGCAACCAATAGCTCAATTCAGGACTTTCTGGGTGGTGACACTACACTGTAGCTGACTGTCTATGTCTATAGTATGTTGCTGGGGCACCTTCTATTACTGTCAAAGAGCCCTCAGGTCAGGTGATGCTCAGTCAGACGGATGGTTTATGGTAGGGATACACCTGCCTCTATTGAATACTGGCTGTGTCTCCTGCTTTGCAGAGAACAGTCCTCTAGTTGAAGAAGGACGAGTAGCCATTGAGAGCCTTCTCCTCCTTGAATTTGTATGATTGCTTTTTTAAAGCCATCAAATTGGTGGCTGTCACTACATCTTATGGAAGAGAATCCCATAGTTTAACCTGGTCCTAGGTCAAGAATTTCTTCCTTTTTTCCATCCTGAATCTCTCACCAGTCAACTTTCCTGGGAAGCCCCTGATCTCCCAATGCACTTTTTCCACATGGGGCATAATTTCATACATCACTCTCATGTCTCTGCTTATTCACCTCTTTTCCAAGCTGAACAAGATAAGACGTATTGCATTTGTTTGAATTATAGTCATTATTTCTAAACACACCCTAGATCAACATGTGCACACGCTGCACCAATACAAGGTTTGGTTTCGATGGCGCATCCCTTCCTTTTGAGTAAAGCGTGCGTGACTAGCCAGCTCCAGTGTAACTGTGAGCAAGTGGTAAAGAGAAAAGTCGCCCTCCCCCTGCCCCAAGCGCAGATTCAGTCCTGTATATTTAGGTCTCTTCACACCATAGGAGTTCTGTTTTGTCTGCCAGCAAGTACTACAACAGAGGGTGTGGGGTGGAGGAAGATCTGTGCCTGAAAGGGTCTGATTTAAGGTGACTCTCAGTTTCTAATGAAGATGCCCTTGATCCCATGGGAACTCAGGGGCTGAATTCCCCGAATTTGTCTGAACTGTTGGAAAGGATCCCTATCATGGCTGGGCAAGGCTGGTGGGGTGTGATGCCTGCTGCTACACAGGGGAAAATGCAGTGCTGGCATTTGTTATATTTAACAGCCATCTTGGCTTTGCTGCAGAGCACATACAGATTAAGCGGGCCTCTTTAGGCCGCTCAGCAGCCAACTGGAACACTAGAACACTGTAATAATTGTGTTTATTTTGTTCCTCGCCAGAAAATACTGAGCAGCAGTGCTGGCCTTTGGGGGGTTGGCGGGTTTTCTGCTTGAGGGAGAGAGACAAGTGTTGTATCCCTTTAACTTGGGCTCAGATGTTTTATTCTAGAAATGGAAACTTTGGATGCAGCTTGTATTCCTATAGGGGATGAGATCCTGGTCCACTTTTACATGGAAAAGTTAATCTTCATTTCATCTGTAAATCAAATGTGTGTGTGTGCACACACGTGTGTACACAAAGCATACTGCTTCAGACACTCTAGCCAGCCAGACCAGATGCTGAAATTTAAAGTGGAATGTAGAATTTCAATGCATTTGTGCTGTTACTCCTATTTCTAGCGTTGCATTCCTGCCTTTTGATTAACATAACAAATGCATGTTACAGTCTGTCGGGGTGCAATTCTGTGCCCTCCTGAAACGGTCAGGTAGGCCACAGGGTAATTCCGAGTGCCCGCTCTGCAATCCTGTGACCTCCAAGCTGGGGCTGTGATAGCTGAGCTCCCACCCTGCTCCCCATGCAGCTGATATATGACCCCCCCAAGACCACAGCTGGGCCTCTGAGGAGAAAAGAGGGGCATAGGTGGGGTGGGGAGAAGGCCAGGGCCAAGGGCTTATGGTGATTCCTGTCAGCACCCCAGCCACCTTCCTTCCCCCTTGCTGACACCTTATTGGGATGGCTGAAAATGGCCATCCAGATAAATTACATGGCACAAGATGCCATAAGGGTGATAAGATGCATGGAAGGCTCCAGGTTCAGAGGAGTATGTGTATGAGTGCATAGGGCATTGGATTGCAGCCTAAGAAAATAACGAAGCCAGTGAAATCACAAAGAGCATCAACTTTTAAGACAAAGGCAAATAAATCTTCATTGAAAGCAGAATGTCCCCTCAGCCCTCACTTGGGATACAACTATATTTGCTATGCACTGAAAACTGATGGGGCCAAGTCTGTCTCTCTTGGGAGGCTGTTCTAGATTGTGAGTGCCACCAGAAAAGTCCCTGTCTCTATTGCAGTTGCCTATCCATCAATTTGTCTGATGATGGGGAGACCAGACAGAAGGCCTCTGAGCCCTTGGGCAGGCTTGTATGGGGAGAGGCCATCGCTCCATAGCAGAGCAGACAGCCTGCATGCAAGAAACCTCAGGTCCAATCCTTCAGGTTGGGAAGCTCCTTGGAAAGCCTGGAGAGCTAATGGTCTAAGGCAGCTTCCTAAGTTACGCTAGTCATTGGCTGTTAGGGCTTTGATGGTCCAAACTATCACCCTGCATAGCTGGATTTGTGCTATGGGTCACTGTTGGGGTGACTGACTCTGTTCTACTGGAAACCCCGTTGGTTGCCTCTGGAACCAAAGGAAGCTTCCAGACTGTCTTCAGAGACAGTCCTACATAGACTACGCTGCAACAGTCTCATCTGGAAGCTGTTAGGACATAAATGCCTGCAGCCAAATCTGGTTTCTCCAGGAAAGGGCACTGCTGGTGTTATATGACAAGCTAGTAAAAGGCACTCCTGGATGCTGCTGCCCCCAGTTCATCCAGATGCCAGGTCCAGGAGTAGCCACCAGCTACAAACCTGTTGCTTTAGACAGGCCACCCTTTCCAAAACACCCTGTACTGAACAAGGGAAATCTAGTGCATTGCATTATATCTGTTGTCCCACAATGGGAGATGACCTCTTACAAGAAGGGGCATCTACCAGCCCCTGCTGCTGGGCTTCCAAAACAGCTGCAGTTCTTTGGTGATTTAACATGGAATTATGTCCATATTGTTAAAAGCTGCACCTTCTGATATCGGTTGAAGGGACAAGAGCAGGTTGGGCTGGATCTTTCCGTGCTGCTGCCTGATTCAATTTCTCCTCTGTGGGTTTGATGGGGCATTGATATTCAGAGTTTACTGTAATGCCTGTGTTATCTTTTTCCCAAACCAGGTATAGACTACCTGATAGCAGGACAGGAAGATACACGAACCAACAAACTCCTGGTGAATATGAACAGCTTGGTGAAGCCCTGGAAAGCTCACTGGGGGAAACTCATAGCAGACATGCTTCGAACTGGATGCAAATAGTATCTTTGTTCAGAATGAAAGCCATGAACTTTACAGCTGTTAGTCATATTGCAGTGAAAGGCCTAGTAAGTTCTTTTATTGTTGATCAGAATGTGCCTACGGGGAATTTAAAAGCAGACTCATTTCCCCCACCCCGCTGCCATTATGTGTTTTCGGCAGGAATCTTGTGCCATGACTCCTTTCTTCCGAGACAACTATCTCTCCCCACTCCCGCCAATACACACACGCACCCAAAACCTCAAGTATGTAGCTAACTTTATACACTTAGGACTCACAGCTCAGCTTCTACAGCTCATCACCTTGGTTATCCAGAGCTTTGACACGCACGCCGCCATGACCAGTACCAAAACTATAAGCTACTTTATAATGCTGAGGTTTCCGTGAACCAATCTGGTACTACTAACACATAGACATGTTAACTGATGCACTAAAGCATTTGTTTCTGAAGGACTGATTTCTTGAAATACCTGCAAAAGACGGGCGTCAGCTTTGCTGAGCGTGGGTGCTTTGAAATACACAGTGGTTGATGTGTCACAGGGCTCCTGCCTACTTTGATAACTCTTTTGCTCTTGTGAAGCTCAGTACACAAGCTACAATTCACATTTTATATACAGCCTTTTGGGTTCCTAGAGTGTTCGTGTGCCTTACTGGCAATTGCACTGGAACTAAAGATTCTGTAGACTGGTGCTGTGTGTGTGTGTGTGTGTGTACTTGCCAGAGAAGCAAACAGGCAGAGCCTGTGAGAGGGTGGGAGATGCTGATCGCATTCCTGGGACATGGATGAGATCAGATCCTGCAGGCGGGAGTCTCCATGGACATCCACTTTGCTGTTCCGTACATATGGGGAATGGAGGTAGGCGAGGACCTTGAAACTACAGATGTTTGCACATGGGGTCAAGCAGTTTGATCAGCGTTCGCCTGCTAGAGTGCTCTGTGCTCTCAAGGCCCATGCCAGCTTCACAATGGTTCCAGCATTAAAGCTGAATCCACCCACTCTTGTAAGCGGTCACCTCCCATCAGAAACCTCCCATGCATTTCAGGAGGGATTCTGTGGCTTTGAAGGACTTTTGGAGCCCTTAAGTTTCCTTTGTAAGGGAACTATTCAGGTCTGCAGTTCTGTGCACAAGTGGACAACAAAGGAGATACCAAAAGTTGGAGACATTTGGGTTTGGGGGACTCAGAGAAAGCTGCTGTGATGAAACGTACCAAACTCATTTAAAGGAAAAGTGGCCTCTGCAGCCAGCCACTTGTTTACTCTGGCCTATTCTTTCCAAGACAATATTTTTTCAGTCTGTTTTCTAATATTACATGTAGAAATAGTCATATTGCCGCTGTCTAGCCCCCTGCCATTAGTGGCCTGCTTCCTCACTGCAACTGTGTGCGGCCTGCAGTGTGGGGCTTCTCGGAGAACACTCTTCTCAAGCAGAAAACAAGGGCGGGCAGCTGTTGTGGCTGGTATTTAAGCCTGGTTGCTGAGGAGGCCCTGCCCAGAGAGGAGGCCACAAAGATGTTTGAAGTGTTGGCCTTAACAAAGCGCAATGGCTTGTCCTATTTGATTCCTGCCGTACACGGCAGTACAGGAGAATAGGCAATCAGTATCCACATGGTCTGCCCCTCGCCCTGGCTGAGAGGCCAGCAGGCAGCACGCAACTTCCTGGCCTGTGAAAAGCACACACCAACCCATACTGCAGAAATGTTAGGGAAGTCCCTGGCCCCCTAGCAGCTACTTGTCCTTCATCAGTGGTAGGTGCTGTGCAGAGTATAACTATGGTCAATCCAGTTTCGGTAGAAAGACACCAAGTGGCCTTCCCCAGGAGTTTTTCAGATTCTCTAGCTGGCTGTCAACCATGTTGGTTCATTGAGAGAAACACAAGATGTGTGTGAATGAGTATACCAGATCTCCACTCCATGCCATGAACTTGGTATTTCCCCTCCTGTTGCAATGCAGCTGGCAGTCATACTAGCCTATAAATTAAACAGCGATGCACTGGTCTGTCCTTCCCTTTCCTCCATGTCCACCTTTTAATTAAATCATTGTATGCATATGTATTTCTTTAACGAGAGCATGTTTTATCCCATTGAAAAATTGTTCTGGCCAATTGGTATTGTGTACAGCCAGTGTCTATTGCAAATTTGTGCAGTCCAGGGGCACCAACAGACTATTGCAAACACACGAAACATTTGCCTGAACTGTCTTGCAGAGAACTTGATCAGTCTGCACAAAAGATGGTGAGTGTATCCCACAAAGGCTTGGCTTAAAGCAGTGTTCATAGCAGAACCCCACCCAGTACAGTTCCATGTCCTTCAGGAAATGCAAGACTTCATAACTTGTCTTGAATGTTAAGTGAGAACGCCAGTCTCGTAAAATAGTAGAAACATAGCAAGGAAAACATTGACATTCTGTAGCTTTCACCATGATGTAATAGATATTAACCGAACTGACCTATGTAGAAGGCTCCTATTCTATGTAAGGCATCCATTCAAGATACGTATTTTCATTATTTGATTGAGGGATACAATATGCAGTGTATGCATATTATTCTATGGATTTTGTTTTGAAGGCCACTGAATTGTTGCAAACAATCTAACCTCCCTTAAAAGTATGGCAAAAGGTTTAGCTCTAGCTTAGGGGAGCAAAGTGTCCGATGCCAGAAACGCAACTCACTCCTCATGCTTAACCACAGGTCAAGGCTTAGTACATATTATTGGTCTTTTCTTTTATTTGGAATCTGGTATGTACTAGGTACTCAATAAGAAAACATTTCTTCCAACAGCACAAGTTTTCATTAAAATGCTGAAGTCAATCTGGATACATTATCGTAGATGCTATATTCCTATTATATTGTCAGCCAAAGACCTGGACTGGCTTAATTTTTTGGTTGAACCTGAGGCATGTCTTCTATATAAATACCTTTGTCATGAGATGTGCTTTTGTTCCCCCAAGTCTGTGGGTGCAAATAAGTGAACGGGCACTTGGAGCTACCTTGGTTCATACTTGCAAGATTTACAGGAAGACAAAAGGGGGTTATCATCAGGACAGAGGAAAAGGCTGGGCAGAGGAACGGTGCTGGGCAGGTGAAGAAACAGGAGCATCTGTGCTGCACAGAGGCAAGACCTGGCAAACGATCCTGTTACGCAGCTCACTCATGAACGCCATGCGTCACACTTTTGTGCTTCCACTTTATTTTATTTTAATATATATTGTTCCAAATGCTTTTCAGTGAGAATGTCTCTAATTCCGTTCACACAGCAAACAATGGGGAACGCAAAGCACAAAGGCTGAATGTGTGACCAGTTGCCCTGCACTACTGCTGCCCACCTCGTGCTGAAGAGAAGTCCTGCAAACGCGGAGGCTGGGCTGGAGCCAAGTTAACAGCTCAGCCCGCTTCATGGGCCTGGACTTTCACTTGCACATCGGGACTGCCCACCCTCATCTCTCCCTGCTTGCCCCTCCCTCATCTGCTCTGGAGGCTTTTGCAACCCTCCGGAGCAGTTTGAAGGGCACATGGGGAGCTGCTGGTGGTAAACACGGTTGCTTAAAGCACTAACAGTGCAACCCTGTGTGCATTCACCCAGAATAAGCCCCGTTTAGTTCAGTAGGAGTACCTCCAAGGTATGTATTCGATGGCACCAAAAGTGTGTTGACTTCAATTCCTGTTGATTTCAGTAGGATTTACAAGAACCATTGTCTCAGCAGGACCTGAATTCAACTCACTTAGTCCGGATCCAACCCATTGTATCTTGAACCCCTTCTCACATATGCTGATACATTTCAGATGGGAGTTAATATATTCAAATACTGGGCAGTGATGCCCTTTAGGCATTGCAAGAGTAATGAAGTTATTTTTCTATGGGTTCACCCTACAGTATTCTTGTAATATTTAAAAGGCCAGCAGGAATGTTGTGGGATGATCCTGTATAGAAGCAAATCCTACTGTAATCCTGTAAAGGGCATATCTGTATCCCAGTGCTGTAAGAGTGGCTATATACTGTAAAATAAAACTTTAAATTATTAAAGGCATAAAGGGGGACACACACACCTGCCACCTGCCCTTAAAACACAAGACACTGAACTTCATAGTTAGCAAGCTGAGTTTTCCTTTGAGAAATGACAGGTCAAGTAAACCTTATTCTTCACAAGTGCCTTGAATTTTGTCTGATTGCTTGAGACTCTGTCCCTTTGGGCAACAGCTTAGGCGCCAAGGTTTTATCACTTCAGCATTTTTGGCATCGACTTTGTTGACTGCTCTGTGTGCAGACAGAGGCCTTTTTCATGCTCTTTTCTGTTACAGTCGAACGTGCTCTCAAAATGCTCGCAATCCATCCCTAGCACTGAACTGATGACAGAGAGTGGGCATTTCCACTCCACTCCACTTCATTAAATAAAAGGTGAATGACAGAGATCAGATGGCACTTAAGAAAGCGCCTGGACAAGGCAGCATTGAGACCTATTTACATCGTTATTTAAACAGGCTGATGTCTGTGCAAGTGACAATAACCAGCTGAAGAGTCAAGAGCTGTAACATTACTATTGTACCATTGTAAACAGAGTCTGCTTAAGCTGGATGGTAGTTGTTATGGCAGCTGTTGGAGATGTATGTTAGGATTTTGTAATTTCAGAAAAGAGCACAAAATGCACCTGGCTACTAAGCACTAATTTAGATTGTACCTTTGCCTGCAAGAAGTAGAAATTTAAATATCCAAAGCATGAGAACAGCATTGATATGTAAAGCCCCCTTTGGTTGCTTTGCATTTCTCATGACAGAACCGTTCTGCAAAAATGGCAACTTTAGAATATATAGACCTGGACTGGATTTGGACACTGAGTCCATAAAACCTGCAACATATGGCAGGATAGAAGGGGAAGCCCATGTTTGATTTTTATGCAAAATTGGATTTGGTCTCTGCTTGCAAATAGGGCAAGTCCGTAACCTTGGAATAGCTAAGGTTAGAATGGAAGCAAAATGCAATACAACTACAATCCTACACAATGTGAGGGTGGTTTAGGAAGTGTGCTAAGCTTGAACCTGAAGAACTAGATTTAAATGCAGTGGACTCACTTGGTGGCCTTGGGTAAAATCTAGCTTGGCAAGTAGTTATTCATTCATAAGATCTCTCCAGATTTGTACAGAACTTTACATATTAAGAAGTGCAACAATTCCAATCATAAATGCAGAAAACTGAAGTGAACAAAACAGAAGTTTTCAGTAATACTTATACAACACTGTTCCACATATATCTACAGAGGGAAAATAAACAGTTTCCACAATAATTAGAGAAGCTCTGGAAGCAGAGGAGAAAACAAGGTCTTTCTCCCAGATAGCAGTTCTTTGACAGCTTTGAATCTGAATGTATAAGATAGATCAATGTTTAATGATCTTTTATGACGACACTGAAGCCTCTGGTATTGGCTGTTGTCAAAAGGCATAAACAACATAAGCAAGCCAAACGGAGTCCAGAAGATCTGCTAGGTTCTATTCATTTATGTCCCTCTATTCATGGAAGGTTTTTTGCCTCAGTGGAGGCTTCTGTGAACAGCAGAAGTTTTAAAACATCGCCTCATATGCCTCCCCTCCACACACCATGCTATATCAAAGGTTCCCCAATCTGGAGTAGATTTTGTGGGGCATATGGGACTGGAAAGGGAAGGGAGAAGCAGCTGAGCATGTTGCCCTTTCTGAAGAAACTAAGCAAAAGTACTACCATGAGTGGAGGGACACAACTGGATATGATCCGGTAAGTTTAATGAGTGCCAGCACTATTTTACAGTGAATTGCCCCAATTCCAAAGATCTAATTTGTATTCCTGGAAAAGGCATGTGTACTAGAACTGAAGTGCTAAGCTAACACTTAGAAGTTCTCCAAGCAGCAAGAAAATATGTTGCTTGGAACACTACACACCACGCAGCTGCCTCTGACGCCATAGCTATCCAGAATGCGGATAGCAGGGGGGCAGGTATCAGCACCTCACACAAGAAACAAAATACGCAGCTGCATTTGCACGTCTACCTTTTTCATGGAACAAATAATTAGGAATGCTCATTTGAACCATCAGCATCAAAGTAGATCCTTATTCCACGTAGTCCCTCAATTACCAGCATTTATAAAAGACGCAAGGGCTCCAATGCAAGGTAGAAAGATTTTGCCTTTAATGTACACTCAAATCACAGTATCTATTCAGAGGCTGTTACTCCAGGTAACGTTGCAATTGTCCTGTCAAGGGCATCTACTTCAGCAACCTGTCTGGAGCAGGGACAAGCTTGAACAGAGGGAACCCAAGAAAACTGGGTTCATTGGAAACATTCAGGAACCAAGTGGCCACTGCTCTTCACTGTCAACTGTGTTGCAGCAGGAGCTGATCAACACTTTTTAAAGTGTAAGTTCAAACTTGAGATGTTACTCCCATTTACCCTACACATATGCTAACTTTAATTTTCCATTCCCAGAAATCAGCAGCATATGCAAATTTTATATGCTATTAAAGCATACAGACTGTCCTAACTGAAAGCTTCACCCATATTCTTAAGTTTCTGAAGCTTTCTTAAAACCACCAGGAAGAGTTTTACACCTTTTTAAAAGCACAGAATATATCCAAGACAGCCAATGACGAAATTTCATTTAAATTACCCAGTATTCATTCTTGCTGATGGATTTGCCTGCTCCAGCCAGGCCTGGCTTCATGTTCCTACTGACCCCGTTAAAGCCAACAAACAGAATTAACATGACTGGAGAAGTAAATAAATGTGAAAGGTGTGCCTACAAATGGTTTTGGGTGTGTACTGACCTCTCTGCAGCACTTGCTTATCAAGACCAGAGGGCAAGTGGCTTCCCTTGCAGCAAGCTATTTCACGTGAAGTGAGGTGGATTCCTTAAGGGAGCAAAAAGGGCTATGAGGGAAAAGGGAGGGGAGAAAGGACACATTTTGCATAAGTTCACGTGTCTTTGAACAGAGGAAGGAGACCACAGCCTCCATGCCACTTCATTAGCTTGTTCCCTCCTCCTCTTTGCCTACAGAAGGACTACTTTCTAAATCTTTGCTCTGCTTTTCCTCCTCCTCCTCCTCATCCTCTTGGGGGTACAGATCTGGGTACTTCTGCATGCACTCTTGCATTGCACGAAACTGGTCCACACAATCTGATCCTTTTATTTCTTCCTTGCTATAATGGAAACAGGAAAAGGCTGACTTGAATTGTTCCCCACAAGGACCACTAGCCATTCCACCAAGGCAAGGACAATTCCAGTTGATATCTCCACTAGGCAGTATCAAACCTGGGAGGAGAAAACAAATCAGTAAGTTAATGGTAGATAACAGGGATTTAAAATAGACTAGTAAATTCATCACATTTGAATAAACAAGTGTGCTGAATGTTGGACAGAGACCACCTAATCCACATTGAGCTTTACAGTAAGCCCAGCCCTGCAAAAACTAAGCTGATCAATTCCATGTCTTGAAGCAATGCATACCGACAGGACACTGCTTGTACTAGCAAACCTGGCTGGAACTTTCCTTGTTTGTTTACATTTCTTAGAAAACACGTAGCCAAATTTGGAACTGAAAATATGAAGCAGGTGACATGGGTCTTTGGTACAAAGCAGAAGGAATATGGTTTTGTTTTAAAAATGAGAACACACAGAAAGTGCCAAACAGAGAACAGAACAGCTGCCCAACACTTCAGGCCATTGGCTAACACTTTAAAAGTAAATCCGAGCAGTTTCCAGGAGCGAGCCTTTCCTGATCACTGGGCGCTTACTAAGGTCTCCAGGTGCAATTCACCAGGTCCAGCTGCCAGATTCATCATAAACATCAATCAGGTTGGACATTAATGGAGAGGGCACAGCAGCAAGATTTAACATGCTGAGCCCTCTAGGGGATTTTTTCCCATTGAGGCTGCAGTTCTAGTCACACTTGGCTAAAAGGTGGTGCCATTGAACACTGTACAGGTGCATGAAAACTGAGAAATACACAGCAAATTATGTGAGGACTTTAAAACTAACACGGCAAAAGGGGGAAATACCCAGGATTTTCTGTACATACTTTTGTTAACATGAAAAGCCATTGATAAAATGTAAGGACTTCCATTTTCACTATAAAAGTGAAATATGATAAATCTGTGCCCAAAAGACAACAGAAACTGAAAACTGTGGATGAGATGGTTAAAGTGATGGAAACATTCACAGACACTATTCACATATTTCAGTAGCTTCTCACCACCAATACACAGAAACTAAAAGCTTCCTATGACACTAACAGGTTAATACAGGGTCCCCAGTGTGGTGCATGTGGAGCTTTCTACTCCCAGCCCGCTTCAAAGACGATTAAAAAACATGAAAATGCCAGGATGCTGTGTTCTCCTTTCCGTTCCTTAACCTGCTACTGCTCTATACTCAGTGGGGAGAAGCAGGAGGAGCCGTTTCCTTGCCTGTCCGGATCTTCTCCTATCCTCACAGAGCGTTGCGCCCCCTGCCTCCCCACTTCCCTCTTCTGTGCCGGTGTGCCACGCTATCTTCTCCTCATTCCCAGCCTCCAGCCCTTTCTCTTCCTGCTTGCTTACCTTGCAGTCCCTCCCCACTCCTACCCTTTGGAACCTACTCCCTGCCCACGCCAGCCTTGCTCTCCGACTCCCCTTTCCCACCCTCTCCTCTCAGTCACACACACAGAGCATTCCCTGAGTGAGGGCACTGGGGACAGAGGAGGATCAAGTGGGGAAGGTGGCACACCTGGAGCAAATGTAGGGATTCTTCCTTTCCTTCTGGGGACAGAACACTTCCCTTTCTTCTAGAGCTGGAGCAAGATGCACATGTGGGGAAAGGACGGGAAGAACAATCCTGTGTAGATCTCAGAAGCAATTCCCTTTGAGTACCATGTAAGCACGCGCAGGACTGAAACCTTAGATACTTTGCTATGATTCTGTGGACTTAAACATGTGCATTGGCTTTGAAATGCTTCTGCTTCTTAGATATGGGGCTGAATTGCCAGCTTCTTGGCAACTGTTATGTGATGAGCCACACCATTGGTGGAAGCCATTTTGTGGTGGTGCCCGTAGCAGTTTCTCAGATTCCCAAATATGCCCACAAGTCCCCGAGTTAATGCCACAGACAAGATATTAATGGGTGAAGCTGCTAACGCACATGTTGAATGGCAGCTTCTTTGGCACTTCTGAAGCATTCTCAGATCAGAATGGGTAGTTTTTGAAAATGTTTCTACTCCCGAACAAAACTGTAGTCCTCAATGATTGAGGTATCACAGATAATCAGTTTCATCAGTCCTGGCGAACAAACTCTACTATAAACAACCTCAATATTTTTTAAAGAAGTTATTGCAATGGAAAAGCACAGAATTATGCTATCAAACCTCAAAGTGCGGTGTACTGGTTAAGAGCATGGGACTGGGACTCAGACGGTCTGGGTTCTAGTCCCTGCTCAGCCATGGAGCCAACTGGGTGACTTTGGGCCAGTCACAGACTCTCAGCCCAACCTACCTCACAGGATTGTTGTGGGGATAAGATGGAGGAGGAGATGTAAGCTGCCTTGAGCCCTTTCTAGTAAAAAGGCAGGATATAAATCAGGGAAAAAAATGACTAGAAAGGAAGTTGGGGGATTTTCTCAGGTAATTATTCCCTAAACCATGTAAACATAAGGACATGAAGTGGAAAACCCAACAGCACTGATTAAACAAAAATTTAGCTTAAAATGCTGGATCATATATTTAAACTGTATTTAAACTGAAAACAGTGAAGCATTAAATTAAAAATACTAATTTTATAGGATCAGTCATGTGTTGTGCTATGGTACTTTTAGAGCTATTTTTCTAGGAAGCACACAGGAAATCTGGCACAATTCACCAGCAAGTTCCTCAGCACAAACCCCACTGAAATAGATCAGAGGCTGCACAAGAGCACTTCCTCCCACAGGGAAAACTGCAAACTAGCTGGTTCTCATAGTCATTTGTGACAGACAGCTGCAACCAGGACTGAAGTGAATTTACTGGGTCAATTTAATTCATTTATTTTATGCTTCTATAAAACCAATTGACTTCACTATCTGGAAGCAAGCTTTGCTTTTAAACAAAATTGTATTCAACATTCATGTCGCTTTGCTCCTCAACAAAACTGCTTTTCATCAAAACAAGAGGAGGAGTGGGGAGGGAAGTCTCGATCATTCATCTTTTTGTATTCAGGGCCAGTAGGCAATTCAACTCGAAACCTTTAGAAGCTGCTGCAGAAGTTGCTGCAAGCAGGAATCTCATACAGGGGGGTGGCAGTGCTGACAGCCTGCAAAAGCAGAAATGATTTCCACCCAGTCTAGACTCCATGCTGCCTTTTGGCCAACAGCATGTCCTGCCTGAAGTTCTGAAGGCTGAACTGGAGGATGAGCCGCTCAAGTGGTGTTTCTGCGCATCCTTCTGGTATAAGATACAGATGGTGTCTGAGGGCCAGGAGGAGGGGCGGGGAGGGATCAGCTGTTTCTTTTCATCTCCAGAAGGGTGCAAGGTTAACCTAAATCACGTCAAGTCTGCAAGTCACTTACTGGAAGGAGGGAGGGAAAAATCCGTGGAGGTTATTTTTAGTATCCTACTATGGAATGCATTAGGGAGTACAGTCTTACGAGCAGCTGCTTCTAACAATATAACCGAAGGTGCGACTGAACAACCTGCTCCGATGAGGCTCTTTCACAAAGCCCGTGTGTATTGTTTTCATGCACAGATGATCTTGTGCACCTCGTCAGCTTGGGAACCACTCGCTCGTGTCCTGCTCACCAGAAGGTGATCCTGCCTTCCCCACAGAAAGTTCATTTGTTCAAACCTGCACTTTAACAGCCTTCTGCTAAAGGTGCACGCATGATAGACTTTTGTTATCGTCGTGCTATAACTCCTTAAAAGTAAGTAATAGGACAAAGCTCAGGAATAACATTGAACTTTTCAGATCATACTGCCTAAATGGAAACTGCAACTGACTCAAAGTTTAATGGCTAGACTGCCAACAGGAGCTGGCCAGCCCTGCTTATTATGCCATTCCTTAAAGACTTAGCTAGTCGGGCACCAAGAGTTTACTCGGATGTGGCCCTGTCCAAGCAACAAGATCCTCTTCAGAGACGCTCCTCATGTGCCTCCACCAGCTGAAGCGGCTGCCAGGGAAAAGCTTTTTCTTCAGTGCTACCGAAATGGTACCTTGCACTTGAGCCATGCTCATCAGCATCCTCGTCGTTATCCTTTAAGCTGGTGGAATCCATCCTATTCTGATTAGCTTTCAGGAGTAAGTTAGGGTACAATCCACGGAGTCTACCTGTAACTCTGCAGACTTGGATTCCAGGCTACCTGTGCAAGGTAGGAAGAGTACAGAGGTGAAGGTTTCCCTCCTGCTGGTCTGCAAAGCTGCTGGCTGGCCAGTCTTGGCCATCTAATTGCCAGACTTCAGAGCGGGAGCCAAGGAGGTTAAACCCTATCCTGGTACACTCAGTATCCTCACCTCCCTACTCTTGAAAGACCCACTAATTCTTCCTCCAAGGTCACTTTTGCAACTGGGAAGAAGCAGTCAGTGTGGTTCTTTCCTTGCTGCCTGTAAGTGCAGGACAGAGATCCGTATGTGGTTCTCCTGCTCCAAACTCAGACTGATTTTCTAGGCCTGGTGCCGAGAACCAGACCAATCCCCCTGGATGCTGTCTAGGGGACACACGGTTGCACTGTTAGTCTCTCTTATGCTTTAGGCTTGTTCACCTCAAGTTAGCACTAACTCTTGGCTCTTTTTGCTCTTCTTTTATCTCCTGCATTCATTGTAGTGGGGATAATAATATGTTTTAACTTTTGCTGCTACTGCTGCTAAAATTAAGGAAGATAAAAGTTTGGAAAATAAAGGTAATATTTGGAAAATAAAGGTAATAGGAATCGATGGCTTAATGTGAATTCAGATGGAAATGGAGAATTTCAGTGGAAAAAAAAGAGCTGCATTCTTATCTGCTGAATAGGGAATTGGGTTCCCTACCCCTTTTGAGTTTGAGACTCCTGATTTATCAGTTTGTGGTTTGAGGGGGTCCTTGCAACTTTCAAAATAAAGGACTGTCACAGCTGTTCAATAATACCTGTCCTATGTTATGCCTGGTTTTGAGTTTGGTACAGTTATTTACTATGGACAACTGATCAGTATTTCCAGTTTCTGCTGCCAGCCAGGCACTGTGTCCATACTTGAAAATAATTCAGTGTGGCAAAGATTTATACAAAGAAAGAGGGCTCAGACAGGTTCATATACAGAAGATAACCAACAATATAGGGCAAATGCAGCTGTGTGTGAATGCTGCCCCCTAGAGATTACAGCCAAATGAAAAATCCGGCTGCATTTCTTTTTAATGAACACAGATAAACACTTGAGTTTTATAAACCACTAACTGCATCTCTTATAGGAATGGGAAATGTTAGTATTTTTAGAAGTCAATTCATTTGTTGCCTCACCTTTCAGCAAACTACACTGAAAAGTGATGGTTTGCATTTCTGATGCGAGCATTACCTGAGGCTTTCCAACTCCATCCCATCAAGAAAGACTCCTCAGTGAAGCAAGGTGTGCTTGACCCAGTCCTAAAGCAAAATGGCTGGTCCCTTCTTATTTATTCCAGGACAAGAATAAAGCTGACTGGGACTAAACAAAAGGGGAAAGTCTGGCCACAGTACTGCCCATACTAATATAGTCTTTGATTACTAATAGATGAAGGTGAATATATCAACTGTAAGATCCCAGGGTGTCTCTAAGACCATAAGATCTTCCAGTTCACATGCTCACTTTTACACCAAGCACCGTGAGCCAAGTGTGAACCTCAGATTAGGAACCTCCTGATCCTACAGGTGTAAAGCCACTCAGGTTTCAACTTAATCACAGAACATAAAAAATACGAAGGTTATCCGTTCCAAAATAGTGGTCATGCACCTGAAATATGCATGGCCAGTAAGACACAATTCTAATTTCTTTATTCCAAAGATGCTCCTGTTGTTCTTATCACAATTTATTCAACAGTAAGCTAGACACGTTAGCGCTATCAAGACATAATGTCAAATAATGTCTTGGTGTTAGGAGCATGAGCGGATACAAGACTTAGACTCATGTACACCCACCTTCCCTCACATGTCAAGATTGGAAACTTCCTATCTTGGTTTATAACAAGCCAATATTTAGACTCAAAATAGGACTTAAAACCACAGGTAAGGATTCATTAGTTGCAAATTAGGGTTGGAAATTTCCACTTCTGGCACATGAGAAAGCATGTAAGTCTGAAGTTAATTCTTCTAATGCTAACCATAGTTTGTTATATCTGAATAGCCTAATTGTTCCTAATGAGAGTCACTGAAAAGATGTACTGTCTTCTCTAATCTGTAGTCACTGTAACTAAAATTGTGAGGTACCACATGCCACCCAGCCACCAACTAAAGCATGCAAGGAGAAATCTTGTCTGTGAATATTTTATTACATTTCTGTAATAAGAATATACCAAAGGCAACAGACAAGACAGACAACAGCTTGAACCATTTTTGAGTCTTAAAAGATTTCTTTAAGTGGAACCAGAATTAGTCAGAGTAGACCCACTGATATTAAAAGGATGGCAATACAGGAGTCAGACTACTGGTTCATTTAGCTTAGCATTTTTGACAACGGATGGGCAGTAGCTTTCCAGAGTCCAGGAAGGTGTTTTGCCAACCTGAAGAAGCCAGGAATTGAACCTGGGACCTTCTAAATGCAAAGTGGGGACTCTAAAGCTGAGCTAGGGCCCCTCCATAGTTAAGTCTTATCAATTCCAGTGGGTCTCCTCTAAGTTTGATCAATTTGGATCCAAGCCATAAGTATTTATTAGGCTGTAACAATATGTAACAAATTGCTAATACATGAAAAAACCCTGTTAACCACATCTTTTCCCCTCAATGTACTGTACCTCAGCATGAAACTAAACATGTAGGAAAAGGGCACATTGCCACACCACTAACCATGGTCTTCATAAGGATCATTTGGATCATCTGCCACCAATTCAGCACTGCTTGGTGTCTCATGGTCTTCTTTGGTCACAAATATAATTCTGTCCTTCCCTGAAAATTGATAACAAAAACACAAGAATCTCAGAAGAGCATGAAACCCAGATAAAACAGAGATTGTATTTGTTGCCCAGCAAAGCATTTGAACAATTCCACAAACAGATGCATTCTTCCTAGAAGATACCAGTTCTCTTCCATTTGGCCTTGGCTGGGCTTCTCGCAGCCGCAAATGGGTCTGGGTATTATATTTGGTTAATGAGAACTGGAGGACATTCAGAAATTAAGGATAAACATTGGCGTGCATCCAGAGATGCCTGACCCATTATATTTTCCAAACTTCCACAAAGACTTGTGAGGAGAATGTGAGAGAAGCAGGCTGTGCTAATTCTAAAAGGCAGATTACTGTCTGCAAACACATTTCTTAAAAAGAAAAGATGATATAAAGGGGTCAGAGATCAATTAATCTCATTAGTCAACAAAGACAGGACAAATAGTAATGAGCTTATGATGTCAGCAGGGTAATTTAACTTCCATTGTGAATCAATTTGCTTTGATTTTATAGTGTGGAGCTGGAACAGGCTTAATATGGTCACATGAAACAGCTATCCTGGGATGACCCTGCAAATGTGATTCTCCTAGGACACATCCTTCTGTCTAGCCCCACAACACCGAAATCACGCATCAGCACTTCCAAGGAAAGGTTCTCCCAAAGTGCTGCCCAACCCAAAGTGACCTGCGCATGGCAGAGGGCAAATGAAGCATGAAACAACCTTGTAGCAACAATATCCATCTCCATCATTTCATAGGAACCCCATTAGAACCAATATGCTTAATTCTGATCTAATTTTAACTAAGCAATAGCATTTTAAAAGACAAAGCCTGAAAGGGAATGTGTGACTATAAGGAACTTTTGTCAAAGTTAGTAGCTTTACACAGTCTGTTAACATTATATTCACTTTTGTTCTTAATCCCATATACTAACAGCAAACTCATCCTCCAAGTGTTATTCCTTACCTTGCTGAAAAAGCACCTTCCACGCACAACAAGGAGGTATCAGCAGGCTTAGAGAAACCCCAAGGTTTGCAGGAGTGCAAAATAGCTTTAGGCAAAGATCTAAGGGAGGGAGACTATCTGGGTTCAAGTTCCCGCTCAGCCATGGAGCCAACTGGGTGACTCTGAGCCAGTCACAGACTCTTAGCCCAACCTACCTCACAGGGGTGTTGTTCTGAGGATGTAAGCTGCCTTGAGTTCTTTGAAAGGAAAAAGGTGAGATATAAATATAATAGAAACTGAAAGTGAATAGTGAATAGGAAAGGGCAGGGACAGAGAACAGAATGGAATAGTCTGGAAGAGGGCATGGCTGGTGAGCTGCCATCCTGAATAGTGTGACGTTTTGCTGCTCGTCCTACTTGTTTCTATCAGCACTATAGTTACAGGTCAAGTGCTCTTGAAAGATCTGAAAATAATATACTTCTGGATGTCTCAAGTTCACCATTCAACATGCAAACAACAAGAAAACTGCCAACAAGTTCAAAACCAGTTAGAAATATGATAATCATTATCATATCTATGCCACCCAATAACTGACGGTCTCTGGGTGGTTTATAACAGCACATAAAAGCAATACAACAAAAATGTCATAAAATCTTGCTTTAAAAAGGCATAAGAAAATTAAAACAGCTAAAAACATACAATGAATCCTACAATCTAGATATATATCATGTCCAGAGATATATCTGTTGTATATCTATGGACACAATCTATCTAGATTTTAGCAAAGTCTTCGACAAAGTGCTTCACAACATCCTGATTACCAAACTAGCAAAAAGTGGGCTAGACGGTGCAACCATGAGGTGGCTCCACAATTGGCTGCAAAATTGGACTCAGAGTGCTCTTCAATGGCAAGTTTGCAAACTGGGGAGAAGTGACAAGTGGGGCGCTGCAGGGTTCTGTCCTGGGACCAGTACTCGTCAACATCTGTATTAATGGTCTAGATGAGGAAGTACAAGGAAAGATAATTGAATCTGCAGATGACACAAAGCTGGGTAGAATAGCAAATACCCTGAAAGACAGAGATAAGGTACAGGCTGATCTCGATAAGGTAGAGAACAAGAGAATGAAATAGAATAGGGACAAATGCAAGTTCTCTGCTTAGGAACAAGAAACCAAATGCATCACTACAAAATGGGGAACACTTGGCTCAACAATACTGCAGAGGAGAAGGATCTTGGGGTTGTTGTAAATCATAAGCTAAACATGAGGTATTCCATCAAGCACTGTGGTCCCAAGCTGTACAAGGCTTTGTAGTTAAAAACAGCACCTTGAATTGGGCCCAAAAGCATAGTGGCAGCCAATGCAAGCAGGGCGCAACCAGTCGTATGTATTTGAATCCCTGGGTCCCAGTTATTATTCTGCACGAGCTGCAACTCCTGAACAGTCTTTAATGGCAGTCCCATGTAAAATACACTGCAGTAATCTTAGTATACCAGAGTAAAATAGGCTGTCTTTGTCCAAATAGAGGTACAGCTGGGACATCAACCAAAGGCAGAAGGTATTCCAAGTCACTGAGGCCACCTGAACCTCAAGTGGCAAAGATGAATCAAGGAGAATCCCTTTGAGCTATGAACTTGCTCCTTCAGGTGGGACAGGAGGGGGGTGCAACCCCATCGAGAACAGGTCCCTCCATCCAGTCAGGAGAACCATCCTCCAACACCATCTCAGTCTTGTCTGGGCTGCACTTCAGTTTGTTAGTCCTCATCCAGTCCATTGTCACAGTGGGACACCAGTTTAGCACACTCACTGCCTCATCCGATGACAGTGAAAAAGAGAAAAAGAGCTGCATGTCCTCAGCATACTGAGGGCAACACCCAGCACAAGTCCGGATGACCTCACTCAGAGGTTTCAGGTAGATGTTAAATAGCATCAGGGACTGAACAGATCCCCAAGGGACTCCATGCTGGAGAATCCACAGGGCTGAACAAGACTCCCCAAGCACCACCTTCTAAAGATGCTCCTCCAAGTAGCAGCTGAACCTCCCAAAACCCACATATCTCCTGCAGCCCTGTTGCTAACATAGCAGGGATGGTGTACCAAGAGTGAGAGTCTGCAGATTTGAACCAGGGATTTGGTTAAGGTCCAAACTCACTAGTTGCCCTTAGATAAGCAAGAAGTCTCAGGCCATTCATCCTCACCTGTAATACATAGAGAAAAACACTGATTTACTTTAAAGGGGGTTGGTGGTAATGATTACGAGGATAGTAACAAAATCATGCTTGAACATTTGAAATGGGTCACATATGAATGATTATTAATAGAAAAAAATGAATCTCCAGGGACCGTACACTCCCGCAAAGAGCCTGGAGCTTATGGGGAGCTTTCTAACCTATGTGGCTTTCTGATATCCACAGCAAGTTCAGTTAAAAGTGGACTGTATCTTCCTGCAACTGTTAGGCTTGGCCACTTATCTGGGAGAATGAACAGAAAATAAACATACCCTGTCAAAGCCAAGCACAACTGTGAGGTGTAATCCTATTTTTCCTCTCCCTGAATCACATTTTTAACAGTGAGTCTGTACATCTGTCAGTTAATATAAATGGAGGTGGGAAGATTGTGATCATTAAAAGATCAGGCATTTTATATACATGTGTGTGTTTTTAGACTGCAAAATACATGTTATGTACAAAATCAGGAAATGAAAAGTCATATTAAAGTGAGGAGTTTTTCTGTTTCTCACAACTTAAAACAGATTTCTTTGTTGGCCTTTTAAGTGAAATTGCAGGGGTGTTAGGGAAATTTAACGTACTTAAAATCTGCTAGCACTTCAAGGGCTGCCAACCCATACTCTGATATTTAAGTTATATATTTTATTATTATTCTTCAGCCTTTGCAAATATAACAGGTGCTCTCAGCCAGGGTGAGTAATCCTATTAAAGGTTCACTTGAATGCATGTAACTGTAACATGGGCAACTGTGTTAGTTTCTCACAAAAGAAAAAGTGGATAGAACATCCTGACTACCTTAAAGATCAACATGTTGTATACAATTGGGTAGCTAGAGCCACTAATCCAATAAAGCTGCAATTGATTTGCTAGTTTTTAAGGTGCCACATGGTTTGTTTTTAGATGAAACATGTCCTCTTGGGCACAGCAGTTAACGGCAAGGCAAAAACACATTCATATTCATCCTTTTAAAATTGTGTGGACCATTCAGACAACATGTTAACCCAGTGTAATTTATAAGCTGTGGTGGGTTAATGTGCTGTCTGAACCCAGCACTGTTCCCTTGGAGTATTTTATAAACCATCCTGGACTGGCTTATACACCACCCCAGGTAGCCATGGTTTATGCTAGGGCTGAAATAAGCCACTATACCTCAACGTACTAAGTCACAGTCAGGTCAAAAATAAAACAGACCCTTAGTCAAAGTGGAAAAAGCCCTGCTGTTCTGGCCAAGGGCCTTTAGCTTCTGACAGCCGACAAAGCATGGCGGCCCGCAGTTTCTCATAGGCTTTCCCAGTGCAGGAGGGAGTATAAGATTACTCGCAAGTAACCCTCCTCCTTCTCCAACATTAATTGGAGCTCAAACGTAGTTGTTGGGCTCTGAGTCACTCAGTCTTGCTTCCTTCTGGCAGACAGGCAGCCGCCACTCGACTTCCCTTCCTTGAGAGCAGCAGGGAAAGGACGAAATGCAGTGGTCCCTTCCGGTTCCCTTCCCTGTGTGCCTCCTCTTTTCCAGTCAGGCCTTGGGAAGGGGTGCAGGCCGGATCCTGCCCATCGCTACTGTAACGGGCAGGAACAAGACACTCTGCTTGCTTTGCGGCAGGGGAAGGTCACAAAGGGGCAGGAGGCAGGCCTCTTGCCTGCCCTGTGCTGCTGCTCCTGTCCAGTTGTGACTTGGGAAGAGGCCCATGGCAGATACTGGTTTGCCCTCCACCTTCAGGGGAATAGTGGGATTTGGGCCAGGACAGCGGGGTCAGCCAGGCAAGCAAGGAGCATGGGCATCCTCTGCGCTCCTCAACTGTGATGCACCATAGCTGAGTAGTGGGCCTGGCCTGGGCCTCAGAGCCTGCCCCCACCCCACCCCACCCCACCCCAGCATTCCTGCTGGTGCAGGGAGTGCCAGCTTTCAGCTGCGGTCATCCTGCTTTCCTCAGTGCTCCTATAGCGCCCCCTGGAATCCTGTAAGGAGACAAAGGAAGAGGGACCCAACTCCCTGCCATGCCTGGTAAGCAGAGCTTTTCTTATGTGTGTTAATGCATCATAGAAAGCCACCTGTTTTAAGCCTAGCTATTAAATATAATTACATGCATTTAAGTCTTTATGTGATTTCAGTGTTGCCTTAAATCATATGTGTTGCTTTTATTTAAATTGTTTATTCAATCACTGTCATTACTATCATGGCTAGCATTTAGCATTTTATTACATTCTTGGTTTGCTACAGTAAAAGCACGGTTACAGCATAAGTCTGAACATTTGTGAATCTTTCCCTAAACTTGAACTCTGGTGAGGTTTCTTTTGCAAGTACAAAAACAAACATGGCTTAATCAAGCTGAATTTGATAGCCAGGAGGTAGTTCACTGGCTATCAGTAGCCTTAGCTCAGTGTGAATTTTGCAGGCAGAAGGAATCCTTACAGGCAGATGATGTCCCAGGATCTCAAGTAGCAAGGCTTGAAATTGTCCTTCCCAGGATCCTAGATCTAGAGGCATGACATTCAGAGCGGATAATAGAGGGCAGCCTTCCTCAACCAGGTGCCCTCAAGCTGAGTTAGCATACAATTTCCAACATCCCAAGCTGGGGATCCTGGGACTTGGGATCCAATGCATCTAAAGGCAATCAGGTATGGGGAGGCTGATACAAAGTTTTGATGACTCAGTAGATGCAGCAAAGTTAGCATCCTGCATTCAAGCAGAGGTTCCTACAACTGGCCCTGGGAGATGTTGCAATTAAGTTTTTAGAACAATTAAGTCCAACCTGCAAGGGTACTTTCATCCCCTACTCAACTGGCAACTTTTAAGCACAAACCTGAGATCACCTAAAACACCTGCTAGTGTGGCTAAGAGCAAAATTCTTAGCATGCTTACAGTCCTAAGTCCTACAACTCACAGTATCCAATCCTATGCTGGCTAGGGAATCCAGGGATTTGTAGGACTTTCCTCTCTCTAAATAAGCACAGGATTGCACTTTAAGAGAACAGAAATACGAGCAGAGTACAAATCCCGGCGCAGCCACATGACTCACATGACCTTGGGCCGGCAGTTCTGCCCTAGCCTCGCCAAACTCACAGGGTTGTTTCGAGGGGAATGGGAACCGGGGAGGGAACCCCAGATACACTGCCCTCTTTTAAGTTCTTTGAGCGGAGGGAGGATGAAACGGTAGCAAATACATATCACAAAACAGGCGCCGCACCTGTTTAGTCTAAGTTGCATTTTTAAAAAATAGAGTAAATCCTCGATCGGTTAGCAAAGTGATATGCAACAGTGTAAAATAATCAAAATAATTACTCCTCCACTAGAACTATGCGAAGTTCTAGATGGGCTGCAAGAAAGGACGGGGTTGCACCATCACTACCACTCTTCTAATACTGCTGCTGCTACCACTTTCTACTGCTTTTTCGCACGCGATCCGGTACCTTCTTGCCTGCAGTATGACATGGCTGGGGAAAGCACGGAGCGCGTTGCTCCCTCCACTACGCCAAATGGCCCAAACCACGACCCGTCGATTGAAACCACCAGCACCACCACTGCTAGTAGTACTACTAGCCGGCAGCACAGCGGACCGCACGCCTGTTTCTTTGCCTTGCTTCCAGGCTCCCTCGCGGCGACCTCTCACCCTCACTGCGCGAGAAGGACCCCAGGAGAAGCCCAGAAGCCGCCTGAACGCCTCTTTGTCCCCTCACGCGCGCACGAGGGAGCCCGCGCGGGATACAAGATCGCCCCGCCAGGGTCAGAACCGTGCTTCCTGAGTTATTGAAAGAAAAACGGGATAAAGAACGGACAAAGCCGTTATTCACGGCGGACTACATATCCCGATATGCTGTGCGCCGAACTCTCTCCCGCCATTTTCCCGACACGCTTTGCGTGATTTTAATGATTTTCCGATCTCCTCCCTCTCTCGAATATGCGTACTGGCGTCTCTCGTTTGAAGACTACATTTCCCAGCCTGCTCCAAGGTGGCTGAGTGTGAGAAATGCCGCGGAGCTCGGCCCAGGGTGGGCGGGCTCTGTAGTGGGTGTGCGGCCGCTTCACCCCTGCTGGATAGCGAGTCTCGGTCTGGGCGGGTATCAGGTCCGTATTGGGTAGTGCTCCTCTCCGTTCTTTCCATCGTAAGACTGGCTAACTGGAGACTTAAAAGTTCAAAATGTAAGCGAATCCTTTTCTTTCCTTAAATCTTTAGTCCCGTTTAATTTTAGGAGAAAGAGAAATATTGTGGCATCTCAGGACTGCGATCCGATGCACACTGATTCCTCAGGAGTAAGCTTTGTGGAACTGAGGTTGCTTTTCGAATGAGTATGCACAGGATCTAGTGGAATGAGACTTGCTGACTTGTCAGCGCTTGCTTTCTTCATGTATTTCTTTATTGGAGGTCTGAGCCTAGCTAGACTTGCACTTAGCTGGGAGATATTGGGAAGGATCCATCTCTTCTCCGTCCGATTTATGCCATTCCTGAAATACGGTTGCCCTGTGCTATGAGCTAGTAATATCTCAGAGGTTCCACGGGTTACTGCTTGGCTTTCTGGCCCTCCCAGCTAGCACAAATATTCCCCTAGAAAGGGGCGTGTGCTCGTGAATTGTTTTCGGATGCTGTCACTTTCAGTGCTGAAAAATGGCCTGTTGCTTTTCAGGACATACAAGAACGTACGTGCTTCTATGCTTGGCTACAGTAAATGCTCAGCTTAGAGTAATCGCATATCTTGAAATAAGTCCCTTTAGAGCTCATAGGAGTTGTTTTTGAGTAGACTTGCATATCGCTATGCTGTTTTTAAACTAGGGGGGTTTTGTCACGAGTTTTAGTATAGTAAAAGGTGGTAAGTTGCAACAAACAAGCATTTCCCAAATTTAAGAATGTTAGCAAGGCTATGAATTTTTCAAGAAAGACAGGGAAAGTTGGGAGATTATACTAAAAACAAGCATCTCAAGGATATAAGGATCTGCAAGCTGAACCTTGTGTGTCCATTCAAAACTTAAGTCCTTATTGTGTTTAGTGATACTTATTCCTAGGTAAATATATTTAGAATTGCAGGTCTTTTCTGAAATCCACTTAGCAGGATCATGTTGGGCTCAATCTAATGCAGGTTTAGCCCTACAACTTCTTGCATTTCCCAGCCAGCCATGCTGGGAGTTGTATGACCTTTTTTCCCTTTTGAAGTGTAGATAATTGGCCCATTTAAGTCACAATCCTATGTAAGTTTAGACAGGAGTCTTCCAACTGCCAGCATGCCCTAGTCGAGAAAATCACACCAGTCAAGCTGCCATAATCTGGATACAGGCAACACTTTCTTTTTAGGGGGCAGAAAGCGGGCTTGCTACTTTGGTGTGTATACACTTGTCTCTTTCCACTTTCGTGAGCTGTTTCTATGCTATTTCAAAAGCTATGTGACTAGGCATAACAATGGGGCAAAAATGTATTTTGGCATCAAAGGAAGCAAACCCACTTTCTTTTTCAAAGCAGTTTTTATCTCCTTAGCACATATGTTTGGACAACCTATAACAAGTCTCACTGTTGCTTGGAGTTGTTCATTACCCAGAAAATTTGTGAAGAAGGATTGTATAAACTTTGGCAGCTTCACCTCCATTATTGCTTGTTGGATTCAAGATGGGGAATTGGATCTGGGATCTGCCTTCTGTGAGAAAAAGTTCATGGAAAGTCCCTCTGCCTGAAACTTGCAGGTCTTCAACATCTCCCCCCCCCCACCCCACCCCACCCTGCAGCAGCTCACCCCATTCATCAGGGCCTCCTGCTCAAGTTGTGGAGCAGCTGCTGTGGGATGGGGGTGTGGATTTCGGTCAGTGCTTCTGTTCCAGCTTGAATGTGGGTCCAAGCGATTAGCTGCAATATCTCATTTAGTTACACCCAGATTAAAAGAAAACCGCTTCTTCGGAGCTGTAACATGGTGCAGCATATGGATCAGCCTTAGAAGACTGGTGCTGGAAGTCTGGTCAGCAGAAAAGTACTGGCCGGTGATAGATTATAGTTGCTTGGCTGCTTTGGAGCACCAGCACTGTGGCTGGATGAGGCAGAATGGTGGCAACATAAGACAAAGGATGCAAACACTTCTTGGGTTGCACCCTCTGGGCAGAGTTGTGGAGCCAGGAGTAATAATTCTGAACAATTTTTTTGGCGGAAGGAATTAATGGTTTAGGACGCAATTCTTTTAATTTCTAGTCAGAGTTGCATTGAATTCAGTGGGATTTATTCCCGGGTAAGCACGTATGGGATCGTAGTATGAGTTGCATGGATGTACTTTGGTGTAAACAGGAATAGGAGTGTTCTGCATAGCATTCTGAAAGATCCCTTCAAAACAGGGGACATCAACTAATATATTAGGCCAGGGTGGGCAGACCTCAAGTTTGCTACATTTGTTAGTTTTAATTTTTTTACTAGGACCCTGAGATCCAGATGCAAAATAGCAACAGGACTAAGTGGGAAGAGAAGAATGTTAACTTATTAGCATGTTAATACAGAAATCTGCTACTGATTTTTCTTTAAGGAACATGGTGAGCTCAGGGAATTTATTTTAGTTCCGGAATTGAACTTGTACACATTCATACACAAATCCATTCGCAGTTTTCCACTAAGACTTATCAGGTGCAGCCTAATATAGGGACAAAACCCTGCATTTTTGCTGTGGCTATTGTTAAATAATAGGGAGTTTAAACTCCCTGATAACCTACTGCAACTCACCCAGAGATCTGCCAGTGCATCCAGATCAGCCTTCAGCCCACCCCTGCTTTAGCCTAGTAAGGGTGCAGTCCTATCATCCCTGGGTCAAATGCATACAAGCCTCTCGAACGTGCGGGCTTAGGTGCATCTTCTGCTTGAATGAGGCTTGGTGGTGGTGATTGCTGCCCTGCACTGGGGATTTTCTCTCGATGGCTGTTGTTGCCCTCCACCCCCGCCCCCGCTCAGTTGCAAACCTGGAGTGGGAACAGCTGGCAGAGTTATTTCTGTACCAGCAGCAGGGGTTTGTTTTGGACATGGGACACTGTCAAGGGTGTGTATTCATGCAAATAACCAAAATGTGCAGAAAAGCTTAAAGAACTAGGCTGTGTATTGCATAATAAGCTTTGGGACTCCTCACATGCGCCCAGATTTTGTCTTAGATGCCGTTATTGGCAAAGTGCCATGCTTGACAGCTTCTACAAGGGTTGAACCAGAACTGATTCTATGTCATCTCATAGAGGGTGCCCTACTGGAGACCTGGGTACATGATTTTACATGGCCCAAAGCTCAGCTTACGATGCACAGCCCCAGTTCGTGTTTTTTACAGAACATTGTGGGAAAGCAACCATTTTAACTGTAGATAATTGAGATTTAACATAATTAACACAATTGAAAGTGGAGATTTAACTCAATTGTCACAAGGGGACAATCTCCTAGTCACGGACAAAGCCTATTTTGGGAGTTAGGGCTATTTAAACTTCAGTTCCTTGTTCAGCCTTCTCACTGTGTTATCAGCTTTGATGTCAATAAGGAACTGGGAACAAATAACCAACTTTAGCCTCACTGCTGGGTTGTGTGTTGTTGTAGCTGGAGAGGGTGGCCAGACAATCCAAAGAAAAGCTTACTACAGACAGCTTGGCATTTGCTTTCTGCTGGCTTGTGTTATGTTACCAACTCTTCAAGGCAAAACATGTAAACTTTATCTTGTTTTAACTTCAGTACTGCAGTTTCAACATGCCGAAGTTAGCCAGAGTGACACGTGGACTCATACACAGGTTTGCTTGTTGCCCCGGGAGACAGCGCCTCACTTCAAAGCGTGTTATTACGGGCAACTATAGAAATATTTTGGAGCAGGCACACCCTCACATGTGCTAACACCAGGAATACTGATGCACCTTCTGTTCTGCCTCTTAATGCAACTTTTAAATTGCATTATTTAACCTGATGGGCCAATTGAAGTGGTCTGCAAGATTGATCTATCAGTCAACCCTGTGTCCTAGTATATTTTCTGAGACTTTTATGCATAGGATGGGGTATAAAAGTTTTAAATAAATAAATGTGGAATCATACTGAACGTTTTGTGTGAGCCCTCTGTGCTCCTTGTCCTACATCTCAACCTTAAAAAATAAAACAAAAAAGTGCTGTCATTCTTTAGATCTTTGATTCTCAAACCTTTTACTTTGAAGACAGTGGGTTGCTTCACAGTTATGCCGTGGGGGGATGTATACACCTCTCATTGCATGCCTGGCTGTTTGACCAAATAGGCTTCAATCACACTGTTTCTGCCCAACCCACCCACAGAAAAGAGGCCGTTAGTTTGCATACTCTTATTCATATGTGTTGCACCAAAATTGTAGCTTAGAAGTTTTAGAAGTGTATTCAGTTAGCCATGGCCTCTGGAGCTGAAGCAAGTACACTTCCTGAATACGTTTATCTCTGGAGTTAGAGATGTGTTCAAGGCCAGTGTTAGAGAAAGCAGCACTATGTTAGACAATGGTTGCGTAGAGCATGCACGTAGATGGTAGAATGCGGAGCTTGCTGATTGGCTGGTTTGATTGCACGCCCATGGGGAGATGCAGAAATTTAACAGACTGATATGGCATGCGGGGGGGGGGGGTGAAGCTTCTTTTTGGCATGAGCCAAGGCTTTCAACATGGCTGCAGCTTGTTTTTTAATAAAAAGTCTCTTGGACCAAAGACCCGTTGGTGTCTGGGGTTGTTTGCTTGCTTGCTTCTGCATCTCCCCTGAGATGGCTGGGACTGGGGAATCAGCTCTCTCAGGCAAAGCAAGCAACTAAGCGAATATTTTTGCAGCCTATGTGTATGTATTCAAGTTTAGAAATAAATTGAATAGAAATACAGTACCACTCACCAAAGGGTAGGGCAGTCTAATCAGGTGACCAGCCTGCTGTCCAGGTGCTAATAATTGAGGGGCAACTATTTTTCAAAAAATCGTTCAACCAGAATGTAATGGGCCTTTCTAACAGAGGCTGCTGCCAAACAGAGGGCAGTCTTCTTGCAGCCCTTCAAAAGGAGACACCCTGTAGAAGGGAAAGATTGTGAGAATTGCTGCTTTATGTATACAGGTGGGACTGTTGGGCATCTGGCTCCTACAGTGCCATATACTCTCGGGGAAATGCACAAGAAACTGGTTTGAAAATTGCAGTGTGGGTCCCATAGAGGGATTTTCATTTTAGACCGTGCAGAGAATGGTGTACTGAGGGATTAATCATACATTCTGTACGATGGGGTTGAAAGTTGATAACTGCATTTGAAGATAAGGCCTCAGCTGTGGCTGTCATCATTTTGCCCCCAAATGTGCTTAGTGAAGATGCAGTTTCTCTTGTTTATAAGTCATCCATGTAGAGAACACCTTGTATAGGACTGGTGCAGCCAATTTCTGTCATTCTGGTGAGAACTCTTCTCAATAAACATGTTCTGAGTTTTTTTTTTCTCTCTTTTGTAGTTTTCTGCCATGAGTAACAAGAAAGAACATGTTAAAATCACGAGTGAACGTAAACCTGGATTTCTGGAACGTCTCAGTGACACTTCTGGGGGGATGATCATTGGGCTTGCCGGTTTTGCACTGTCTTTCTACATTCTTTTTACCAATGAGGTAAGTGGAGTGCAGAGAACAGATGGAGAAATGTTTGGGCGATATCAAATGTTAAAGCCCAGTATGGCCTATGACACTCCAACTTCCCTTCACACTACACTTCTGTTCTTATGTAATGACAGAAATGGGGATAAGGAAGAAGCAGTGCACCAACCTCATCCATTTTAACCTGCATCTTAATCTCCAGCCTACAATTCGTTCCTTCATAGGTCCTTAAATGTTGTTCAATGTCTAGACTGATGGGTTGGTTAAGGCTAAACAACCCAGTGGTTAACCCAACTGCTGCTGCTACTTAAACATCTCATCAATCAGGGTTTCCACATCTCAGTCAACATCCTATGAACAAGCTAATAATAGGTTATTGTAGAAAAGTGTTAGTGGTTTTATGGGGGAAGCGTCATATCTTTCACTCTATCCTGCAGGACAACTCATGGGTTGTCGTTCTATGCAAATAAAGGCAATTTGGCCATTTCCAGGAGAAAATAAACTGCAGGAGCAGGCTGGTGCATTTTGCACAAGTAGATCCACTATATCAAAAAGCCGACATGGCCTTTTTAAACACTTCAGATGCAATATTAAGGCAATGTACATCACATAGGGGATGTAGTGGTTAAAGTGTTTTTGCTTAATCAATGATAAAAACTAGACTCAGCACTTAGGAAGTCAGACAGACAGACATCAAGGAGTAGCCTTTGACAGTGTGTTCTCCTTTGAACCGGTCTTTCTTCTCTGCCCTTGTAGTGTTTTCCCACCAGGAAGTTACCTGTTTAGAGCAAGTGATATGCACTGAGAATTGAGAACTGTCTAGGACAGGCATGAACGGAAAGTACATCTCCGGATGTTTTGATCTTCAGCTCCCAGTGTTCCTGGCTATTGGTCTTACTGGCAGGTGTTTCTGGGAGTTGAAGTCCAAAATAGATGGCTGTCTGCCTTCTGCCCACCCCTGGTTTAAGGAAATGATCCTTGTGAAATTCAGGTGGAGTAGATTTTTTGAGAGGGTGTGGTTAAAGAAAAAGATGTGGCTGCAAGCACCTTTCTCATGGGGTGGAGGTCCACTGCAAAATTTGCACCCTAATATGCATCCATTGTTCAAGATAGAAGGAAAAAGTTTCTCATTATTGGATATCGAGGAGAACTGGACAATTTCCTGTCTAGCCACTGAGGAGGCTTTGTGCTTTTGTGGCTGGCTGCAAGCTGATAATGTATTCCTACAGCATTGCGTTGTATGACCACACTCTTTGCATCTGATGGAGACTATCCGCTTGGCCAGCAGTCTTAGTTTTGAGAATCCCTGCGCCAGGAAGGATAACGGTTTCTGCTACTGTTGTACTGACTGTTTTTCTTTTCTCACTTGTTCCTATGTGCTTGCATAGAATGGGCTCATCACTTGAACAAAGCAGAGCAGGTGAATCACCCTGATGGTTATGCACTGCTGTTTGCAGATGGTTTCAGCTGCTTCTGTGGTCATGGTCTAAAAATAATGCTTTGAAATATTTCTCAGCTGTGATGCTTATAAAAGGTTGACCAGAGATCAGCAGCTCATGGCTTGGTTACTGCTGGGTGTGAATGAAGCTGGCCAGGATGCTGTTCTTCGTCCTTCTGTTGTTGCCTCCAGCTGCATCTCAGCCCATCTATGTCGTTTCACTCATTCTGGGACCACTGTATGACTGTATGTTAACAACTGGATTATAAAGGGTAGTCCTAACATATTTTAACACAATGCCCAGCAATGGAAAGAATGTGCAAGAGTATCTACAGGACTGAACTTAAACTGCCTCTAAAGAGTTTACAACCAGAAGGGTGCAGTCCTATGCATGTTGAGGGACAGTGGAGTCTTACAATTCTCATCATTTCCCAGTCAGCCAGCATGACTTTTGAGCTGGCCAGTTTCTTTTGACATCTAAGCATATTTAGACAGAAAAAGGTCTACAATTCACAGGGCCAGCATGGGGAATGCTAGGAAGTTGCAGGACTTTTCTATCAAAATATGCACAGAATTGCACCCTAACTTAATTATTTTGCCGTACTTAGTATTTTACAATTATTGTTGCAGTCCTTTGAAGTCCTTCATCATTTTGCAATATGTTGTAGTACAAGGAGGATGGCTGTGCAAACATACCTTCCAAAATCACAACTTAATTTTGACATATGAACTTTGACAAAAGAGGAAAAATCTCTTTTTCAGTGCTGTTATCTGGAACAAAATTTACTGTCCCTTTCAGAATGCTTCACAGCAGGATTAATTGGTTTAAGAATGAAGGACAAGGTGGTGATTGCACTGCAGCCAACCTGTTTCAGTCTTCTGTGTCTGGAATCTGAATGATGTTATTTATGTATTACATTGTTAGCCTGACTTCTTGCCTGCAAAGCAGGTTCTTTGCAATAACCCTGGAGCACAATTTTGCTCTAATACAAGATGTATGCTCCCCATATGCCTTGTTTTAAAAAGAAATCACTGTGGGTTTCCTTGCAAAGTTGGCAACACATGGTCCCTGGTGGATTTTGGGGGTGAGGAGGTTTGTCCCCTGGACTCCTGGAGGTTGCCCACCCCTGCTCTGAGCCTTTTCTGTACTGTGATTCTAGCATGATGTTCCACTGATCTGCTGCTGTCTCCGGGTGCTATTTCTACCCACCCCTCGCCTAACCTCTCTCTTAACTTTCTGCAGGGGCGAGCTTTGAAGACAGCTTCCTCTCTAGATGAGGGGCTTTCTCTGGTGGTCCCTCTTGACAACATCCATAGTGTTTCACAAGCGAATGAAAGGCAGCTCGTGCACCTGTCTGGCCCCCTTAAAACATCAAAGGTAAATCACCTGGAATTTATTAGAAAACTTGCTGCCTGCACTTTGCAGCTCCTAAAATAGGTTTTGCTTCTGCTCCTGTTAGATTTGGATGGCTTACCTGAGAAGTAGCATGCTTGTTTATTTCGTTCCATCCCATATTTTTATGTACAGTTGAGAATCTGTCAGCAGTCTCTAAATGATTAATTTATATTTTATATGTGTTGCTAGATAAATTGCTAACTGATCTGTTTGCTTTGACTCAGTGCTGGAGGCAGCTTCAGCTTACACTGGACAATTACGGCCTTTAAGTTCTAGCTCATGGTGTTCTGTTTTTCTTCCACATGTTGCCCTTATAAATGCCTTATGTTTAATTCTTGGAGGCACAGTCTGGAAGTTAATCTCGCAGAACGAATAATCTAGTATGTAAGCCCACTTACAGACTCACAACTTTTCTCCGTACGACTAACAGTGGTGACGAAAGGGCACCCTTGTTGTCTGCAGGAGACTCCTGCTCAGTCCTTGATTTCAGGGCTGACAACTGGCCTTACAAGCAGTTCCCACGCCTCAGCCAACACGGATATGAAGCCCCAGCAGCGACTTAGGAAGACCTTTGGCTGAAGACCTTCTAGGCCCACGCATCACAACATGCCACCACCATCTCATTCCAGGAAATGGCATATTGCAGTTTGAGTGTGGGCCCTTCTGACAACCCACCCTGTAATGTATGTTGAAATACATTTGTACAGTGGCAATACAAGGTATCGCATATGAAGCAGCAGAATCTTCCCCTTAGACAGGCCTTTACTTAGCTGGGATTCTGCCTTGGGCAGGCTGGTAAATGGGCCTTTGAGTTAGCTTGCGAAACAAATGGCCATATTGTCCTGTGGAATCCAGATGTTAGTTGCCTATTTCTGGAGTATTTTCCTTTTTTTTTTAATAGAAATGTTATTAGGATTTCAAAACTAAAACTACAAACAACAATCATCGCACACCCCGGATTTACTGGATCAGCCCCCTACTACGTATCTTTTAACATTCTATTATCATACTAGAATCCATTTATAATAACTTGAAAACATCGTTGGATCAAAACCAGGTCCCATTTCTCCAAATAGTAATAATGATAATAATCCAAATTTGATGGAAGTCACTATCTTCCTCTTCTTCATCCATGAAATTGGTCCCATTATTTCCTACCAAGTCCTGTTTCTCTTAAGCAACGTCAAAGGGAAGCATCTCCAAATTAAATGAAATCGAAATATTCTCTTCTCCTTCAGTGGTAAGTTTGATCTAAACCTTTCTGGACAGTTCAAAATCTTTTCAATTTTCTAATAGTAAATAACTTCCTCACTACCACAATTACACGTAAACATCAAAAATATCCATTTAACATCTCTACAATTGTCTTAACTACTCTACTTGGTGATGAGTAATACTTATAATATCTTTTAGAACATTTTTCTTTCAGCTAAATTACTAATGTTTCATCTCACTTAAACACCGTTGAATCAAATATGGTTAGCGCCTTCTAAAAGCCCAGGTGTTTACAGTCTAACATATATCATCAACAACAATAACTTATTAGAAATACAGTCAAAAATATTCATTTAACAATAATACCTTTTAAACAGGATTTCATTAAGCTAAATTGCTACTATTTCACCAGCAATAATAGCTTAGCCTTTCTACATCTCATGTAAGCATATCAAGCTATATAAATCACCTTTTTTTTTTTTTTGGAATAGAAAGAAAGAAATTTCTCTTATCTTCCCTTTGTACCCTTGCCAAGTTTACTTTTTCTTTTGCTTTACCCCTCTACCAGACCTTTCTGTTTTTTTCCCATTAAACCACCGTAATGTCTGTAATGGATTCTTCAGTTGCAGCCACATAAACATAACCTCTTTTAAGTGGTCAGCTAAATTGTCCTTCTCTAAGGTGGCACGCAGATCCCATGGAAGTTTGCTTCGTAATGTCTGTGTCTTGAGTTGTGGCCAAGCTGTCATATCCTTTTCCATCATAGCACGCAGAACAGTTGCACTTATTTTCTTTCCAGTTTCAGATTTTCCTTCTGCTTGTTGGATATTTTGCGTATTCTGTTCAGGTGCGAGTTGCTTATCTAAAGCCTGATCAATAGAAGTGCTTAATTTATCAAAGCCACTTTTTTGTTCAGTTAAAAACAATCAAGTCGCTCTAGAACAATCTTCTGTCGTATTATTATCGCCTGCTGGGATAGTTGCACAGCTGTTATATTTTGAGAAATGCCTTCTGAATTTCTTCCATAGTAGCAGTAGATTAGCAAGGCTTGGCAGGTGTCCAAAGATCCCCAGAACAAAGAGAAAGATGGTTGCCAATTCTTGGCAGTAGTCCAACACAGATGAATAAAAGAAAAGATCCTCTATTACTCAGTTCCACAGCACAATTATTTGCCCTTGGAAAGATAAAAGAAGATAAATCTTTTCCTTACTTACAAAAAGTTCTGTCTTTCTCTCTGTTATGCAATTCGCTGCTTTTCAACCCCGTGGGGGGGGGGGGAGGTTTCATTTTTTTTTAATTTAAGGGCTTTTTAATTAGCAAAAAATACAGCTTATTCCTTATCATTGCAGAGAAAAGAAAAATACGTTCCAATAGATCTGATGTGTTCACAGAAGCTAAAACAAAACTAAAAAAAGGTAGTATGTCGAGAATTTGTAGAGGGCAGCTCTCCCTCCGGTACTACCCGGCTGAGAAAACTTGATTTCCTCCCACTAAATGTGGAATTGCCAGTTCCACATCATCTGGGGGGATTTGCCAAGCAATCTATCTCAGCTCCTACAGAGCTTAGATTGAGCCCCACGGCCCACGACCGGGCAATTACCAGCGTGATAACGGAAGTTCATTAATCACGTCTGTATCATTCTGACGCCATACTTCTTCTCTCCTGGAGTACTTTCCATTACTTTCATACTTGTTGCCTGTTCTTCTTCTGAGACTGTTTGCATTTATTTGCCGGCTTGCCCTAATAGGCAAAAGTAGTATTCTTGACCAGCTAGAAGACTGTGCAAACCAATTGGGGCTTGGGAATTCCTGCACCAATGTTGGAACAAAGTAATCTTTTCTGACCTTGCCAACTAAGGTAGATTCTGTTTCTGAGCATGGGAATCCTTGGCTCTAATCTAACAGAGCCCAAGACCTAACAACTATGGAGACACTCTCTTGCATTTCAGTTTTAAATGGTTTCCTTTCCCTCCCTATCTCTTTGCCTATGCAAATCACAGGGAATTATCTGTAATGTAGCAATTCACTGATTTAATTTTTCTTTGCATCTGCTAGCCTTTGTATGATCCCAGCTATGGACTTTCTATCTGGGCTGTCAAGCTGAAGCGTAATGTGGAAATGTATCAATGGGTAGAACATGAAGAGTCCAGGTAAGATTTGCACATTAATACTTTTTCTGTCATAAAGTGTGTGTTGTGTGTGTGTTGGGAAGAACAGGGGTGTGCACATGTGTGTGGGCTTGTATTTTTTATCAGGTCTGAGACTGAGACAGGTATTTATGTTCCTTTGTAGCTTATGCTTCATTTTGAATTTATTTCAGTGTTCTGTCCTTTGAGGCCCACAACAATGATTTGATTGACGCGTCTCCTTGGGTGTCCCATATTTCGCCCCCTTTGCTGACTGATGATTCAAAACTATAAAGAAGGAGTGAACACAGTCCTATGAGTCACTTGTTTACTGTTGGATTATGGAGTGGAAAATATGAGGAACTGAGCTAAGAAAGGAAAAGCAGAAGCCGCCAGTACAATCCCTTTCCCTCGCTTGTCCCGGGTGAGGGATGTGCCAAAAGGGCCAGCTGCCAAACGGCATGTGTGCTGGCACCTTGCCTGTGGCTGGAAATCCCTCTGCCACAGCAGCCTCGAACCTGTTTGATTCGGTAGTCTTCCAACTCCGATGAGTGAATTTGTCCATGAGTGTGATCACAGCTACATAGACTGTGGGCTGGAAAGGTTGGTCATTACCACCTGGAGTGAATAATCAAGGGAGCCCCTTTTGGTAGACCTGTACAATTGTTAGTCATGTTGGCCATCTGAAATAAGTGGCTCTAATTGATAAAGCACCTTAAGCTTCTCCATAAAATAGCCAAAAATACATATTGCTTGTTTGCGGCCATTAGTTTGACATCTTCTGCCAAACTTAAGGCCCTGACAGGTTCAAAGTGACCAGAAGAAAATCCATAATGTATTGAAATAATTTCAGAGAGCATCACTGGAAGGATGCAGAATGCACTGCACAGTAAAATCTGCAAGTCAGGCATGGAAAAAAATCTGATTTTAGATTTCATTTATGGATAACATTGTTCATAGAGGCCAAGATATGGTCTTATTGGTGCTTGATACGTTGAAGACATTTTTAAAAATAATATTTAGTTGAATCTTGGAAGATGCTATGAGCCATTCCCTCTGCAGGCCTACTATGTGGAGCAGGAATCGCCCTGATAAAAGGATCAGAAGATTTTGAAGCAGAGAAAATCCACTACTGTTTGGCATGCTGAAGCAGAGTGCAAGTTCTCACCAGCATAGCTGGTTATTCTGCTACACCACAGTGCTTACTAGAGGTTATGTAGGAGAAAGTACAGAAAGGTAGGAAAGGAAAATAACACATGCAGCGCTCCAGTCTTAATTCTTCACTGAAAATGGAAGCTGAAGCAATGGGTTAGGCAGCCTCATCTAGAAAAACTTGAAAGCACTTGATTCCATAACAGTCACTATGCTAATAATTTTATTATACTAACCCCATACCTACAGTCACAAATCCACAAAACAAGTGCAGTTCAAGTACAAAGTTTTTACAAATGTTACGATTTTAACTAATCACAAAAGTTCCTGTTGCCATTTTATGTGTTGTGTTCTTGCTACAGAGAATATGAAGAGGATGGTGAACGGAAAAAAGAAACCAGATATTTCTATAGTAAGTTGACTAATATAGTATAACTCTTCTGCTAGAACTGTCACTGACTGTGGCTGTCTACAGCTGTATGGCAGGCAGAAATTCAACAGGGGCAGCTCCTACCAATACTTTTTTTATCTCCAAGCTGGGAAAAGCTGGGTAGTATTACTACATTAAGTGATGGTAAAATCTGCTTCTGGTGAATTTTGTCTTGTCAGAACGGAAAAGGTGCAGAACCACTGATAGGGAAGAGATGGTATATTTACCTCGCTATTCTACATCTAAACTGGCTTTGGGATATTAACAGAGTCTGGGTTCCATTTCCCTTTCAAAAGTGTGGCTGGTGAAGAACTGATGAAGGGAAAAGTTGGTCCCTTGTGGAGAACAAATGGGGAAAGTAGAAGAGAAGGCCCTTGCTGAAAAGGCGATCCTGTTTGTGAAAAACAGCCCCTTCTCCACAGATGTCCCCTCATGCGTTTGCTTTCCACGGTGGTTTTCTTCTGTGAGTCGGCCAATCCAAGCAAGTGAGGGGAGAAGAGATGTCCAGTCTCAGCTGGGACAGTGTGCAGAGGGATGTATCTGGAACTTGCCCCTCTTGCTTTTAAGGGAACAAAACCTGTTTGGCAACGAGGACATGCTGAGGGCCAGTGTGGTGCAGTGGTTAAGAGCATGGGACTGGGACTCAGACGATCTGGGTTCTAGTCCCCACTCAGGCATGGAGCCCCCTGGGTGACCTTGGGCCAGTCACAGAGACTCAGCCCAACCTACCTCACAGGGTTGTTGTTGTGGGGATAAGACAGAGGAGGAGAATGATGTAAGCTGCCTTGAGCCCTTTGTAGGAAAAAGGCAGGATATAAATAAAATAAATAAATACATGTCAGCGGAAAGAAAAGGAATTTCTTTGCACCCATTCATGGGAAGGAAGGAGTGATGTACCCATGAGAGCAGTTGTCTGTTGGGATCCTCATGGAAAGCAGCCCCCCGGCCATGGCTTGGCACTTCTAAATCTACTCATTTTTATTTCCATTTTAGATACCGAATGGAAATCAGAAGTCGTGAACAGCAGAAATTTTGATCGAGAAATCAGCCATAAAAACCCAAGGTAAGTTCCGTATTTCCTTATTCCGCCCCAAGACTTAGTCAGCATGAAGGTTGTGGAAGTCTGGCCCTTCCAGTTCAGTTCTTACGATTCTGGCGTCTCACAGAAAGAGTCCTTTTCGAGTCATCGCATCCTGCATTCGCCATTCCAGAACCAGAACCGGTTGGCATTTAGCAGCTGCGTTTGTGTTCAGCTCTGCCACATAGCACGCTTGCCTTGCTTTTGCTTTCCTGGGCAGTGCAGCAGTACTTCCTTGCTGTCATTTATGGCGGGACATCTTTACTGACCCTTTGCTTAACTTTGTGTCCATCGCACTGAATTTCACCTAGCTATTCTTTTTTGTCCCCACAGTGCCATGGCTGTTGACTCTTTTACTGCTGTTGCTGCTGATGTCCAAGTGGGCAGGTTTTTTCTTTCCAAAGGTAAAAAGTTAGTTTAATCAGGCTGTGCTCTTTGTTAATCATTTAGGTCATTTGGCAGAGGGGAAATTTTGGGGAAAATTAATCAGTCTCATTTTTTGGTTCAGTTTGGTTTTTGTTCGAGTGTCACAGAGCTGAGATTATGCAAGGCAGAACTAAAATAACTGTGTGGACCATTATGTTTAAATACTTTGTATTAATGTACAAAACAGAACTAATGCCTTCTTCTTTTGTAGGCCTCATTGAGAAAATCGATAACTTCAGACAGATGAGCTTATCAAAACTGGAAGATCCCCATGCGGACATTATCCGTTCAGGGGATTATTTCTTTCACAGTGAGAATCCTCGGCGTCCAGAGGTAAGAAGCCAATAACATTAAACAGTCCTGTGGACCTGATATCTCCCCAGTCACCCTCCCCACTATCTGCCAACAATATGCTTGCTTTGCCCTATGCCAGGGTTGGAGAGCCTCTTGCAATCCAAGGGCCAGTTTCTTATTGGCTGGATCCCAGTGGTGGGCAGGGGGACCAAATTTTAAAAACCAGCATGGTGTAGTTTAAGGGCACAATCCAATGGGAAGCAGATTTGACTATCTAGCTGCAACCCGTCATAAAGGCAGGGAAGGAGGCTGGAGTGCTGCCAGGATAGCTCATATCCTGAGGATTTGGTCTGTACTCCACTCTGCCTTTTGGAATGCCTGCTTCATCCCTTTCCTAGAGTCAGTTTTCCAGCCTTGGAGAAGCAGCCAGTGTGGTTCTTTCTGCACTAGTAGTGGAGGTGGGGAGGTTGCTGAGTGGAAGTCTGCCACTCCAAGGCTGGAGCTCTGTTTTTGACTTTGAATCCAGGGAATCCAAAAACCTGGATAAGGCCTTCTTTTAGAGGGTCAGATTTGGACCCTGGAGGGCTGGATTTGGCCTCTAGGAATGAGGTTCCCACTTCTGTCTACATGCACAGTTTGCTTCAAATGAAAGAAACTGCCACTTGTAGGAATTAAGGTACCCTCTGCCCAAAGACTGATGCTACTACATAATCAGGGGAGCTTCTTGGGAGCATCCATTAAGGCCCAGGAACTGCCTGAGCTTACAGAATGTGGAAAACCTGCACTCCACTTCTTTGCTGGGAAATTGGTATTTCCACCAGCTTGACTTGCTTGCTTTCTCTCCAGGTAGGAGACCTTCGTGTTTCATTCTTCTATGCAGGCTTGAGTGGAGACTCATTCCACCTGGGTCCAGCAGATACGGTAAATGTGACATCCCCTCACAACACCTTCCCATGTAAAGAAACAAAGTCCCACAATTTGAGAATGTAAAACTCTTCTAAACCTCTTTAATTTTCCCTTTCTGTCCTTTTTCAGGTGACTATCATTGCTCGTCAGCAAGGCGATCAACTAGTCTCATACCAGACTAAATCTGGGGATGTTTTACAGATTCTCTATCCTGGTGAGCTTTCTGCAGAGGTAAGGGTTATTTGTCAATGCAGAGGAGAACGATGGAAAGACTTGTATTTTCCCTCTCGGCAGAAGTAACGTATGGAGAAAATCCAGATTTACTTTGTTTTGCACATCTTTCTGAAAGACGCCTTTGAGGGCAGCTGCAGCTTGATAGTGGAGTGTGTGCCTTGCCTGCAGACCGTCCCAGGACAGACCCTTGGCAGCTCCGTGCAAGGCTGGAAAAGCCTGCTGGAGAACCAGTGCCAGTCAGCCTAGGCCAGAGGTGGGCAACCGTTTTTGGGTTAGTGGGCATATGGAGGAGTCTTAAACGTGGCACAAGATACCCACCCTAGCCACTCATTTTTCTCTCTTTTAGAATGTATCATTCCCCATGCCCCCGATTCCCTTACCTGGTTCAGGGAACACAGGAACTCATCATGAGGAATCAGCTGTAGTTGGTTGTTGTATCATCTGAACCCAGCCTGACTTACTCACAGTGGCTTCTGTTGCTGCTGCTTGCAACAAGCTACCCTGAGAATCCATGGGCTGTTGTAGTGGTTGTTCACCCATAGTAGTCTTGCTGCTCTTGGCAGTCTTACCTGTGCAGCTGCTAGTGGTGGTATAGAAATTAAGTAAATAGTGAAAGCCCCTTCAAAGTGCTGAAGCAATATATTAGAGAGGCTATCACTGTCTGGCCACTGCATTTTTCAAAACTCAAAGCTGCCACACTCCAAATGTGCACAGTTTTGTTCATTTGTAAAGGGGCAGACTTGTGTAAGTATGAAGGCATGGACTCATGTCATTCCAAAAATGAGAAACCTCACCTGGGCCGTGCCCTGGGGTACTTGCTGTTAAAGTGCAGCAGGTGTCAACCCAGACCATTGAGCCAAAGAGGTTCCAAATAGGTTTTTTGATTGCTTTCTTTCCCCAAGAGCTGTCAAGGGCAAACAAAGGCACAAGTGATTTCTGCTCCCTTCATGACAAGATTCTCATGTTTTCATTCCTTCTGATAGTCCTCAGGGTGATGCACTTCTTCCCAAGACTCTAGCTGTGCAGAAAAGTTCATCCCACTCCCTTTTTCTGCAGAAAATAAGTTTTGTTAGTTGGCTCTATATTGCTGGATAGGTCACTACTGACTCCTTGCTCTGTCAAAACTTTCAAAGTGGAGCCTGCATTTTGACAGCTGTCAAACCCATTTTTAGAGAGAACCCCTGAAAAGTGGGTGGCATGCACTTTGCACTTGAGAGAGCTGACCACTGGCTGTCAAGTTGGGATGGCAAAAGGTGATATCAATTTTTTAAAAAAGTTTAGAGAGAAAAAACTGTGGTGAGCCCCCCCCCCCCCCCCGGCTCATAGTCATAGTGAGGAGGGGAAGACAAGTAAGTTTGCTGCACTGGGATACACCCTGGAGGACTGAAAATGAAGGAGGGAGGAAACAACACACAGTACGCTCCATCATTTGACGGGTGTGCCATGTGTTGGTTGTGTAGGTTATTATCAGGGTGGTGTGGCTATACCGTGATGTGCAGACCTGCCCTCTGTCTGTGTCTGTGATACACACACACACACACACACATGCAGATGCATATGGAGCATTTCTGCAGATCTTTCGGCTGTGGCTACTCCTGGATTTTTGGCATTTTTATATCATTCTTGCAAATTGCACCTAGAACCATTCTCACATTGTAGGAATGACTTAGAGGAGCACTTTGATCACTCAGTCATAGGAAGTCTTGCAAGAAGCAGAGAACAGAAGAGAATTCACATTGAGAAGCTTACAGTTCTCAAGCAGAGGCATTTTCTCATCCTTGATTGTTACTCTCTCCAAATGCCAGCTTTCTTGTATTAAGAATGCATACACCCATTTTTTAAAGGCAAATCAGCTGACAGAAGCAGGTGGGACTTCAGCACATACAATTTGTTAATACCTCTCTGATTTGTTGATTTTCAGCTGGGTTATCAATTATATTTGTGGCTTTGATTCCAGCCAGTATGTCTTAGCCTCACCTCTCTGCCCCTCCCATCCGTGCTGCCCCAGGCTGTTTCCTGCATCATCTTCTTCCTAGGCCACCCTTTCTCACAGTCTCTGGAAACAAGAAACAACTGCTCCACCCCATTAGCAGAGATCCAGAAGCATGTGCACATGTGCTGCTAGGTACAGCCAGCTGGGTGTGTCCCCGACAGGCCTGGCAACGTGATTCCACGGAAGGATTATCTCATGCCTCACCCTGAAAGGCATTGATGCAGCTTAACAGTGTAGCTCTGCTTTGTGGAACGTCATTTCATGATGTTTCATAAAAGCAGAAGTTCTTGCAGCTATTATTTTACCGGGTGGGGTGGGGGAACTGTCAGCTAATTTTGGTGGATTCAACCTGTGCTGAATATTATAAGCCCTATAAAATGGTGAGTGGCATTTGCACAGATGAGAGCGTAGACCCTCTGGTCTACCAGGCCAGCAGAGCCTCCTGGGGTTCCTCCTGCAACTGTAAGCCGCTCCTCCTAGGAGAGTACCATCGGGGCATCCACCATTGCTATCTCCAGGTGGCGATGACACTGAAAAGTCCTTGGCAGCAGGACTCTGCTTCTCATGTCGGGAAGGAGGTGGCTTAGCTGCAGCCAACTGGGTTCAGCAAGTGCTTCTTGTGCACATCTTCCATCACACATCGTGGGAAGCAGGTGGGGGGCACCAAGCTGGCTGAGTTTCCTCCAAAAGTGGATTCATTCACTTGTTCTTGTGTTGACCCACCTCTTTCTTAGTCTGAAAAGGAGGCCAGACGCATGAAGAGTGGATGGAACAGACCTAGTCCCTGTTGCTCCCCACCTGAAGAGCAATGGGGGCTAGTCTTGCTTGCCATTCGTAACTGCAGAAACTTGTCTGCAGCAAGGTCTGCTTCCTAGCCCAAGTTTTTTGTTATATCTATATCAAGACAACTTTGGCTAGTTTTAATTTGGGTTTTCCAGGAAAGCCAGTTTCAAATCATGGTTTAATGTTCTGGATTGCTGAAAACAAAACAGTTAAAATGATCCTCAGTTCCTGGTAGGGCCACAATGGCAAACTGCAGTTAGTTAAAAAGTGAAGCGGATGCTTTGGCTGAGCCAGAACAAGTCATACAGGTAACACAAAAAGATGGCATAGTTTTACATCTGAAGGCTGGCATTGTCTTAGCAATGAAAATGTCAGAGCAGTTGCATGTAGCACTCCGTGTACACAAAAGGGCAAGCACTGGATGCTTGTAGGGTAGCTAGGAATGTGCTTGGATGTGCTCACTGAACACGGCATACTTCTCAGGAGGTGTTCCAGAAAGAGCATGAGAGTAACACCATGAAGACCTGGGGCCTCCGTGCAGCTGGATGGATGGCCATGTTTCTAGGCATCAGCCTTATGACCAGGATTTTTCATACCCTGGGTAAGTGTGGCTGGATTGATTTGTTTGACTTGGGACCCAAGTAATTTTAGTACTAGGCAAGTCTGCATTATAAGCATGATGTGAGCATCAACTTTCACTATAAAGATGGATCCTGACCTTAGGCTTTGGACATTGAGGAAATCCAGCACAATCTACTCCTTCCTATACTTTGTACTACTGTACTACTTATGCTGGTTATCTAGAAAGCAGAGTTAAGAAGACTCTTTCATTGCATTGGACAGGCTAGTTTAGAAGAGGGCTCACTGGAACTGGAGGGGAAGTAATTGGTTATTTCAGTATCGAGTGACATCCCTCTTGACCACAAGAACATGAAACTTTGCTTAAAGTCATAAAGAACTGAATGGAAACCACATTACATATAGTGAACCCTGTGTGTTCTCCTGCCTTCTGTAATCTCGCTATTCTGCAGAGCCGTCTAGAGGCCCTGGCATAAAGCACCCCATTTCTGCACAGCTCCCTTGTTTCTCTTCCTAAAATGGATGGATCTTGTACCAGTTCAGCCACGTTTTCGAACCAGTTGGAAATTATTCCACTTATTACATTTGCACCTCACCTTTCCCTCTAAAGAGCTCAGGGTGGCTTTATGGAAGTTTGACCTGAGTAGCTGTGTGAGGATGAACTGGAAACTAACATAATAGAGAAGTAGGAGAAGGCCTGATCCTTTGTGGATGTAATGTAATAGTATGGGGGAGAAGAGGGCTATAGTGAAACCAGTGACAATTCAGCAGTTGTGAAAACATAGCAGAATATACATAAGTGTGTTCCTCTTTTTTCTTCACAGTGGATTGGTTTCCAGTAGTTCGGGACCTGGTGAACATTGGCCTGAAAGCGTTTGCCTTTTGCCTGGCCACATCGCTATCCCTGCTGACCATTTCAGTGGGCTGGCTCTTCTACCGGCCGCTGTGGGCAATAATGATCGGATTGCTGGCTGCAGTTCCCATTGTGATTGCAAGATCGCGGGTCCCACCAAAGAAGCAGCAGTGACACCGTGAAGAAGGTGCCTTGCTTTGGAACCATGACCCCTCTAGAGCTTCCGTCATTTTTGAGGCATTTACCATCACATGTGAGTGCAGTTGATAGAAAAACTCCTTGACATTGCAGCACCAATAATGCCAACGAGTTCCAGAACAGAGCTAGACGCAAAACACTGGTGCTGTTTTGTGTAATGTAATCAAATGAAAATGTACGACTGTCAGAGCTTGTCTTCAGAAGCTGTTAAACCATGACACAGAGTGGTTGTGTGCCTTGTACTAAGAACAATTTAAAATGAAAATTCTTTATTATTTTTTTTACTTGATTCAGTACCTGCTAGTCCTTACAGGGAAGGGTAGGTGGTGTGTAGCTTTGAAAACAATGTGTAAATCACTGCAACATTAGCCTGCCTTTTATCTTTACCATATCTTTATGTTTTTAAATGCATGCAACTGTTTACAGTTTCTGTCACATCTCACTTCCCCGTCTGCCACTGTTCTAGTGCTAATGCTTGTTTTTGTTCCCATGGGTATTTAACCTACTATAACTGTAGAATCTTAAATCTTGCAAGGGGTAAGATGCTTTCCCCTTTGGCTTTGTTAAGGTGCTATTGACCCTCCCCCACTATTTACCCTTGATTTTTAAACAGTTTTCTCTTAATTTTACAGTGCATGAGACCTTGTCTTGTTCCTGTCCTGCTTTTTACAAATAATGCCAATATGGTAAATACTTGAGGAAGACAATTGGGTTTGGACCTGTGATCAAGTGTGTTCTCCTCACTGAGACTTATTTCTCCAAAGCCATTTATAACTTAGAACAGCTTCAAATTTTGGATCAAATATATCAACCAGCTGTGAGATAAGTCTCTAATGTCTGCATTTTGCAGTGAATGTATCACTTTTATTGAAAAGTACAGTATGTAGATCACCATTGCTAGCAACAGTAAACATTCCTGCACCCTTTAAACAAGAGATTTAGAAATGTAGAGATGCTGTTAAGTATCTTTACCATATACTTCCAATGTAGTCCGGTGTAGCTGGCAATATGGGTGGGCCTTTGTTGACTAAACCTAAAATCACAGCCACGTGCAATGTCCTTTCAAAGTCATCACTACGGCAGCAGGGTTAATCATATTGTTCTCAGCTTCCTAATATTAACTACTAGAGTAACTGGCCTCAGAACTGTGTAAGTTTCCAGCTGATCAGTAGCTAAGAGGTCAAATTTTACAGGGCACTGAGTCCTCAGCTACACTGGGTCCAGAAATGGTTGAATGGACAAATGATTTCAACACAGTCTAGAAATAAGGGAATTGCTATCATCAACTGTTTAAAATATTTGCAAGAATATTAACAGTTTATTATTGACTCAGTGGTGTAGAAAAGACTGAACAGACTGAAGTATTATGGTACAGGCTGATTGGTACAGCCTGAAGTATCCAAGCCAAAATTTAATATTTGTATACTGTACAATAGCAGTGTTTTAAATTTTCTACAGGTGGAAGTGCCAGACTTTTTTTATGAATAAAGCTTCTTGAATGGTGAGGAATGCATATGTTTATTTTTAAGTATTAAGGGAGGCAGAAAGCTGATTCATGCAACATTCTGCATTTACTAGCAGTGGCCACAATGAAACAATTTTAAGTATACAAATGTGTTCCCATGCTGTGTTCAAGCTGCTATAGCTAGATACTTCATGAACCAATAGTTACCTCACCAGCTGCAGACCAGCTACAAGGAGTTTAGATGTCCCCTTTCCCATCTGGAAAAAGCAGAAGCCATGCTTGTGGGCTTTTCCCCTTTGGTCTAAAGTTTTTGTTATCCTGCCCCTATGACAAGGTGGCTACAGGACTCTCTTCTTAAGGAATGATGTTTGAAAAGAATTTGAGGCATTCCCATAGGAGAAACACGATTATTCTCCTCTTTTGCCTAGCACAATCTTTGTGGAAGCCTTTGTGTTGCCAGAAAAGTCAGAGTAAAAAATCTTGTAGTAGGTACAGACACTCCCTTGGCCCCCTGGATTCAACTCTTGACTTAAGCTAATCATAATGGTTCAAAGAAGTGTGAATCATGCACCATTGAAAGAAGATTCTTGCATGAGAGATCTTAAAAGTTTTTTATTTTTCTAAGAATTTAGTACAAAAATATTTTGGAACATTTTTAAAGTGCTAAAACTAGTAGGTCAAATATAAGGAGGAGGGTTTTAAGTCACTACAAAATCTTGGCCAATCAAAATAGGTAATGCTGAAAAAATTCTGCAGTAAAACAGCTGGTGTAGGTAACATTTCTTTTGCAGGGAAAATGCACATAACCTTAAGCATTCTAAATAGCACAACAGGTAAATCATGATCATTAAGTCTATAATGGAAGACTTCAAACAACCTTTTTTGCATAAGGCCCATTTAGACTGATTGACTTGTAGTGTAAAACTGGGACCACAATAGCTTTTGTTCAGTGCTCAGTATATAAAAATCAATATGATCCATAAGAATTATCTATGAGGACACAGATTAAGTGGGAAAGTGGAATCGGTGACAAAAAAAACTAAAGCATTCTTGAATTGTCCTTCTTCCCTGAGGTCCTCTGGTATCTCTTATTGGAGAAGAATTGTTCTCTTGCATAGTCTCTGCTGAAATGAATGGTAGCTGAACGTGAGTGCAACCCATGTATTTCCATAATCCCCATTTTATGCTGCATCAGCAGCAGAGCTTTTCAGTAGAGTGCACCCTAAATGTGGACAATATCACCATTTCCTAAAGCAAAGAACACAGCTTCACTACCTTCAAGCTAATAATGGCACATTCAGCGCCTTTCTATATCCATCAAGTAAACCTTTTTCCCCCAAGAAACAGATGCGAAAGACTAGAAAAGGATGATGAAAGGTTATCACTAACAAATAGACCTATCACTGCAGAATTAATGTTCAAGGGAAAATGAAGCTTATAAGGAAATGTCTCAAAAAGATTGACAGCACCTAATCTGTTCCTCATAAATTTAAATGGCTACAAAAGAATAAGGCCCAAAGCTCTTAAAATAGATGAAAATAATACATGGCCAATTCTGAGCTTCCACAACATTCAAAATTATTCACAATTCAGTCTGCACAACTGGAAGCTGCATAACCAAGGAAAATGTACATCTTACATCCTAAACTTGTCTCCTCTAGGTCCCTGATTCATTTTCTCCAGAAGTATTTTTTGCATACAATTAAACCTTGTTCTTTATAGAATGCTGCAAAAGCCAAGTGTTCATTTTGCAAGAAATATACACAAAATATTTCCCAAGCTTGAGAGTATTTATAAATTCCTCTGAAAGAAGCTCAAACTGCTTACTTTGCTTGGCAAAATTTCAGCCTGAAGACCTTTCCTTGTTACAGCTTCTCAAATGGGAACAAATGCTTCGTTTCTCCTTTCTTTTCCCTCTTGCCTTTTCTGGTTCTTCCTTCTCCCTTCTTCTGTTCCTCCACTTGCCGATTTTGGGGCCAAGACACAGCCACATCTCCAGCAGGCGTATCTGAACTTGGTCCTTCCACCTCGTCATCATCGGAGGAAAACCCAGCTAGCTTTTCCACTGTTGTTCCTGCTGCTTCATTCTGGAAGGGAAAGAAATGGAAATATTAAAAAGAAGTTTTGTTAAACTGAAAGGATGCTGCTGCAGCTAGAAAATCAGCAATGCAGAGGGTTTTTGGTTTGCTGTGCATATCTACACAGGGCAATTTCCACTATTCAGATGCCAATCTTAGACAATTCTTCTGCATTCCAAGAAATCGGCATAATCAGAATGCAAGGCAGATGTTCTCAAGACTCTTTGCCACTGGCATGACTCTAAGCAAAATGCTGGGGTGAAAAGAATGTTTTCTATACAACATTTTGACCCTTAGGAGCCAACTCCCTGAAGAATACTTTTTAAAAACAAAAATGCACATGTCTAACATACAGGAGTCATAAGTTCTGCAGTTATTAGAACATGTGTCTGTGTGTGTCCACCAAGTGGGCTCTTTTTTAACTGACTCACAATTAGGGAAAGATTATCATGGCTGCCTCCCCCACACTACCAGTCAGAGCTCCCATCACTCCTCGTGGCATCTTTGTTGGACCTACCCAAAGAAGGGTGGACATTTGAAAGGAAGGAAGGGACAAACTAACATCTTTTTGCATTTCTAAGGCTGTCAAGACCTAATTCCTCTCCCACCAGCCCATAATTATGGTAATGTTCTTTTCTGCCTTTTAAAACTTTTTAAACATCATGTATGGCTGTTTGGGGCAAGTGGTCTTCAACATTTTAACATGAGCCACTGCCAAGCCCTCCTGTAGACCCAGACTGCAATCTTACAGCTCAACTCAGCTGTAAGCATCACTGAATTCAGTGGGGTTGACTCCTAGGTCCATGCATGCAGGAGTGTAGCCAGAGCAGTTAATGCGGGAACGGCAAAGAATTGAGCCCTTCATGTGCCTGGTTTACCATTTGCTGAAATGTATAGAGGTGAATACACAAATAAAATATATAGGGAAGGTGGTACTTAAAAAAAAAAAAAATAGAACAATGCTACAAAGTTGTACCCCATGTCTAATATAAGCCTTATTCATTTTAATTGGTCTCCTTTAGGACTAACTTGTGCCAGAACCTGTTTTTTTCCAGAAACTGAATGTCTACTTTTCAATATCTATGGTGCCCTGAATAATCTCAGCATTAACATCCTTACAGTAGTAAAAATAGAGTTGTGGCAATATTTTTTTTACCTTAACCGAGTAGCGTTGCTTCAGTCTCTCTTTGATCAAAAGTCCTTTCACCATCAATTTCCAGTTCCCCAGCACTCTCTTCTCCCGCTTCTGTTTTTTACAAATTCATTCAGAAAATCGAATAACAATCAAATAATTATTAGCTCCATGTTTTACAGAAGAATGGCATATCACAGAATTCCATCAGCCAAGAGGGAAGTCGGGGGGATATCAGATCTATGCTGGGATTGGGCTTTGTATCTGTTACTTAGCTTGGATAAATGAGAAGCAGAATGCCGCGTGGGGCATTTCACATGTCTGAACAGAGCATTTTCCATAGGGAAGCACTAGGATGCCGAAGGCACATGTTTAGGAAACCAACTTGGCAGAAGCTTCCATTTACAACACACGGGCTCTAAATTTAAATCCGGTGTTTAATCGGCACAATGTGTAATGTTGCCTGCTTTTGGCAGCAGCATTTCAGTTCCCCAGTCCTCACCTTCCAGAGACACCCCCCCCCCACTGCCATCTCAAAGGGATTCTCACCTCCTTTTCCCTTTTTTCCCTCTCAGCTTCTTCATTTTCCCAAGCGGCAACAAGCACCTCTTTGTACTCTTCACAGATTACATAACCTTCAGTGCTGGTAAGAAAATAGCAAGAGTTTGTCATTTAGGCACTGAATTGGGATAGTTTTATCTGATAGAGCAGCCTGAGAATTATAGCAGTTGCAGCCCAAAACATCTGTAGAGCAAGTTAGGGGAAAGCTGTGACATAGACCAATATTAATCCAGGTGCTGTTTGTGTGTTTGTTAATAGGCTATGGAGAAGTGCTTTTTAAAAGCCTTAGAAAATTGGGTAGAAAATACTGGGCATCCCGTGAGTAGGTAGAAGAACGGGATAAAATATTTGAATTAATTACATTAATTGCACTAGATTGATCTATGAAGAAGTCTTCCATAATTTAGCTCACCAGATTCCTACTGCCTGGATATCATGGATACTAAGGGAAAAAACACCACAAGGCAAACTGCTTCAGCCTACTTCTGGAATAGTTCTAGGAAGAGAAGCACTTAATGCTGCGGTGGGAACTTTTGGTTCACAAAGGTCCCTTGGACTGTGAACACCTGGATTCCCTACAAGCCCCGCCCCTGACTTAGCGGGTAGCAATGGCTCAGTGGGGAAGGGTAGAATCCCCTTTATCTTTAATCTGTGATAATACCGCTGACTCCCATTATAAATGCTTCTGCCTTTATCCTAATCATCATTAAAATGAGAGGACAGGCAGACAAATAAACATGTAATTAAAGAATAATCATTTTATGTTTTGGAATGCTAAGGATCAGAACAGACTTTAAACACATGATTTATTGCAAATTCCTGATGGTAAGATACGTGTACTTTTTTACATTTGGGAATAAGTATAAATAAATGAAAAATGCGCAAGGCTGATAGGATTTTATATAATGTATATATTATGAAGACTGAAATACTAATAAGGGCATAGAGAGTGGGTGCTCAGCTCTGATCCTGGCAAAGTGATGGGTAAATCTCAGCCTACAACAATATCCGACCTGGTTCTCACATCATGGCAGCAATTGCACACAATACATGTTCTTGTCATTTAATTAACAATGCGGGAACTCTGAGTTGTTTCATGTCTTGCAAACTTGAAACTCTGGGTTGTTTGTTGCTGAGTTAACTCTTGATTGCTTAACCAATAAACAACCCAATGTTTCCCAGATTCACATATCATGAAACAATTAAAAGCAGAGATGCTGAATGCACAATTCACACACTCCATTAAGCCTCCCAATTCCTGGATTAAACACATGAACCACGTGATTACTGTGGGAAGCCATATATGATAAAAATAGCCTAGGCATCTTCCCCACTGACAGAACAGATATGCAGCACCAGCAATGAGGACCATCACATGCCCCAGTAAGCCAGACAGCAGGACTCTGACATACACTGGGTGTGAGTAGCCACCATGAAAATCAAATCCTGTAACTGCTGGAACACAGTCAATGTCCAGTTTACGAGCCACTCTATGAAGGTTGGGAAGCTTTAGTTGGACACAGCCCACTGGTATCATGGTGGGTTGGAAGAGATAGACATTTCCAAATTCATTCCGGGGAACCTGAAAGCGGCAAAAAACAAAAGGGAAAAAAGAGAAGGAAAAACAAATGTTAGGTTAATGCTTCAGAGCTGAAATTAGATTGGGATAATAAACACAGAAGTGGTGCTACTTAGAATAGTGGCAGGAGATACATTGCAAGTGTGAATGTGTATGCTATATGTTGTTGTTAGTCACAAAGTCATGTCCGACCCATCGCGACCCCATGGACAACATTCCTCCAGGCCTTCCTGTCCTCCACCAGCCCCTGGAGTCCACTCAAGCTCACGCCCACTGCTTCAGTGACTCCATCCAGCCACTCATTCTCTGCCGTCCCCTTCTTCTTTTGCCCTCTATTGTTCCCAGCATTAGGCTCTTCTCCAGGGAGTCCTTCCTTCTCATTAGGTGGCCAAAGTATCTGACTTTCCTCTTCAGTATCTGGCCTTCTAAAGAGCAGTCAGGGTTGATCTCCTCTAGGACTGACCGGTTTGATCGCCTTGCAGTCCAAGGGACTCGCAGGAGTCTCCTCCAGCACCACAATTCAAAGGCCTCAGTTCTTCGGCACTCAGCCTTCCTTACATGAATTTTTAAAAGCTTCAAGGGAAGTTCTACATCCCATGATAAAAAACACCTTTACAAAAGTACCCACTTAATTTACCCTGTTTAAAATGAAAGGGCACATTTCAAAACATTAGAGCAACTTTATATTTGCCTTTGCGAATGCCATCTGCATTCCATCTCCTTTTTTGTCAAGGTTCAATCTTGTGAAAGCTTGTTCACTCTTTTTGTCATTTTAGTTGGTCCAAATAAAGGAGTGTTTCATGGGCATCTATTTTAGAAGAGGTAATGGATTTTAGGCAATGTTTAATTCAGAAAAAATGATACTGTAAATATACTCACAACACAACATCTTTTCTGCAAGGGCCTAATCAGTAAATTGGTTACATTTTGGAAGTGCAATATAGCAAATGTTTCTCTTACTCATATGTTCTGGCAATGCTCAATGGCTGCTTCCTTTTCGGAGGAAGGAATAATTCAGATAATTTTTGTGATGGAAAATTCTTCACTATCGACAGATTCCTCCTATCTACCCATTTCTTGAAAATTAATGCAAAATTAGCATGAATGGATTCTGGGTGCCCTTCTGACAGCAAAAAAGGCTAGGATTATAGCATTTGAGGGATAAACAGCCAGCTGCAACAGCATAATGGCTTGAGGAAGATAACAACATAATGGCTGGTTTTCAGGTGCAATTTACAAAAGGACAAATAATGTTTAGGATGCCTTTGTTGAAGCCTATACACAACCCTAATAACTGTAGCATGCTTTTCTACTTAGACAACTTATAAGGGTTCAAAGTTTATACCTATTCGCTGTAATAGATCTGCTTGAGTTTCATATGAGAAAATGTCAACATTTTATTATTTTTTTTCTTCTCTCAATAAAAAAGCCACTGCTGAACTTTGGATTTTGGAGCAGATCTCCCAGGTTTTGATCTGAGCCTTCAACAAGTGTTTCTAACTGTTGGTAACGAAGGAATAAAAGGGGTCACATATGTTGCATGAACACCCTTGCATGCCAGCACAGTCACTAGAATCTGCAGAACTCTGCAGACCCTGCACAAACTTGCTTTTGCGGATCCGGTAATGCCGAGAGTTCCAGAAATAGCAGACTCAATAGAGCCCTAGGCCAAAGTCAGAACTGCTGTACAGTTCTGGGGAAAGAAGATCTTGGACCACTGTTTCTTATTATTGACACTTATTATTACGATCCGGATTCTATTAAAAACTAACAGAATGCTCTGTTATAGGTACTCTAGATGAAAACATGTCTACAAGAGCATGATAATCATTGTGATAATTAATACAATTGATACTGATTTAACATTTTTACCCAAAGCTTGCTAAAATGATCCAGGGTACAGGCAATTAAGACCCAGTTTATAACCAGTGGATCCATCCTTAATGTGGAAGAATATCAGCCATGATACTCTGCAGGTTTCAACAACAGATATGTTAAGTTCATGCGACCAACACTCCAATGTTTCAAACAGCATAAGCTTGGGAGAGATTGAGAATTGGGCATTTTAGCCTCAAGATAAGAAGGCTGTGGCAAGAAATGATAGCAAGGAAAAGTACTTGAAAAGTTGTCACACACAGGAAGGCTGTGATCTCCTTTCAATCATTCAAGAGTGGATGACACGAATAATGGGCTCCAGTTACAGGAAGCCAGAGTCTGGCTGGACATCAGAATGAACTTTCAGATCATCAGAGCAATACGGCAATGGAACCAATGACCTATAGGAGGTGTGGGCTCTCCCACACAAGAGGCATTCAAGGTGCAGCCAGACAGCCACCTGAAAAGAATGGTTTAACCGGGAGTCCTGCACTGAGCTGGGAGTTGGACCTGATGGCCTTCTTGGCCCCCTCCATGAGTCTGTCTCTTTAATGTCACATAATGCAGTACATTATCCTTCTTGGCAGGTAAGAAAAGGGCATCATTCAGGCTGGGGTTCGGGTACTGTCAACAATGCATACCTGGATGCAGATAAGCACATCAGGTGTGCATGGGCCAATGCACAGGTAAACTGCCGCTTTATCTGGCAAAATCCAGAGGAGCAGTGGTTGGGAAAGGATTGGGCTTATAAATCCAAGTCTTCCGAAATGCGCATTTTCTACATGGACATCCATTTTTGAAACGTGCATTTTCAACATGCCATGTTTTTCATAGAAGCCCTCAAACATGGAAACCTTGCTGTTCCAATAAGTGCCTTAGGAAAAGGTGTGTTGAATGATATGCTTATAAAACTGTTGACTTTATATGGATAAGCAGGAAAATGCAATCCACATAAACGCTGACGTTTGGAGCACAAGCCCGCCCAGCCTACCCTTCCATCCACGGCCACAGGAGGCTGGTACTCCTCTGTCTGCCAGAGTCCAAAGAGTGGCAAGTCCTTCTTGTCCCGGTTTGCAGGTTCTGCCATTCGTGCTTTCCTTGCTTGATTGGAGTAGCCTTTGACCATCTGTGCAAATACAAGAGCATCCACACTCGCATCTCTTCCCCGGTTCGTGTTGGTAATAGTCAGGGTGGTGACTCACACACGTCTCCCCCATGGTGAAACACATGAGGGCCAGGTGTGCACCTGGAGCTTGTGGATTTCACGAGGAGGGAGAAGACCCCCTTGTCCGTTCTTATGCCACACTGGAGGCGTGGAAGAGGATATGCAAGGCTCTTGTGCGTTGTCTCTCAGCAAGACCCATTAGAATTCTAGGCTATAGAGCAATCTGTAAAGGACTATTCCCCCTGAACGGAAGTAGCTTCTACCTTTAGTTTTAACAGGATATAATCGAGATCAAGCCACAATGGCTACATGATCCCTCCAGGAGCAGAGACAACGGTTGGCACACAACAGTGAGGGAAGGGTAACACCTGCATCTGTTGGGCCTCCGTGGGGAAAGGGTGCTGGCACTGATGGTCCTTTGGTCTGATCCAGAGGGATCTCCCTATGTTCTTCAGCTCGTAAGCATCCCATGCATGCATACCTGGGTTACTGAGCTGCAGGGCACCACAACCCCTGGGTGTGGTGACTGTCACCTTACCTTATAGGGCACTTCTCCAATCCTCACCACTCGGGCTTGCTTCAGCCAGGTGTCCTTGGAGTGCAGTGTATGGATACAATGCCTGAAAGAGCCCAAACACCACTCTTGCCAGTATTTCCTCACTGTGAATAATATACACACTAACTCTGACGACATATCATTAACACTGTATTTGGGGGTGAGGCAAAATGCACTGAGCACATAAAAAAGTAATTCTGTGCCAAAACAACTCAAATTCCGTAACCAGTAAAAACTAAGCTAATGTGAAGAAATCAATGAATGCTGAACCATTCATTCCACTTGCCATGGAAAGGTGCTCTGTAGGGTTAAGCCCCAACCCCACCCAAGGGAATTATTCTGGAATTTCAGTAGGCATTGCCACATACTTTCAAGGCAGTCTTCACATTTATAAGTGCCTGAAGCTTAATTTTAAAAGAGGAGGAGGAGGAGAAGCAGAAGAAAGCTGAGATATCGGAGAAGCTGAATTGAGCCCTCAAATACAAATTCTGTCTTTCTGTTGAGCTTTCAAGAAAACAAAATCATAGTGATCACTGGATCTGAGGGAGAAGAGCAGGCTCTTGTGCTGGTGTTGGCTGACTGCGGAGCTCCTAGTGATTTATTTTCTGCCCACCAAAATAGCCACCTCTCTCCACCTTCCCTCGTGGAGGAGCAAAGAATGGTTGTGGATCCTTCAGTGGGAAAATGGCTGCAACTTGTTTTTGATGGGGGCAGCTGAAGTGCCAAGGGTACCAGGAGACCCATTCCCAACCTGTACCAGTGCATCCAGCACAAGGGAAGACCCTTCCTCAACCAGGTACCCCGTCCCATTATGTTGGCCTACAGTTTTTTTATGATTTTGCTAAGGAACTAGTGATGGGGAATCTCTAGTATCTCACCACACCACAGGGTGCCAGATCAAGCTGTTTTACGGCATACACACCTGATGGGTATCATACCTGGAGTACACAGCCTCCCCTCGACAATATCCTAGGATAGCAGCTGTCTCAGGATAGATGGCTTCGTACTTCAGGAGATGCCTCTTCAAGGCATACAGCGGGTGGTTCTTGTACTCTCCGATGGCGGTCGGCATAGGCTGATCTTGAAGTTTCGCCTGAAGCTGGAATTGAGCCATTTGTAGCAGACTTTAGAGTGTACACTCCTCACACATATACTTTCAGTCTTCAATCCTTGGAAGACTAGATTAAAGCTAATAAACAGCAGAGCTAACTTCCATACGTGTGTCCATTGTTCAATCAAGCATCACTGCTCCAGCTAATAGTGATCAGGTAGATTTTGAAACACAGCTGTTCAGTAAGACATTCCCATAGCTCCGCCTCCAATCAGAGCCCAAAAATACAGGCAGCTGCATTGATCCAACATACCAGTTGTAGTAGCTTTCCTTTCTACCAGCAGCAGGTCTTTTCTAAAGCTCAGCAGTCTAAACTGCCCATTCTGGACAAAGTTGCCCCAACATAGCTTGCACTACAACAAAGAGCACACATACAAATTCATTTCTCTTCCAGCTACTGTGAGGATTGCGGCTAAGCTCAGAGGAAATAAGAAGGCTGAGAGGTATGGCAGTGGATCTAATTTTCCCTGCAGATCCTGCTATTTTGACCCTATAAGCACTGGCTCCACTCCACCTCCAGCTCTAACATCACAGGTCCCACATCCACGGACCCTGCTCTTCAGTGGAACTGCTTCCTAAGGCAGGCACTTGATGCGTTCAGCTGAGAGTCACTGAGTGCTGCAAGAATACACACTGAAACCAAAGCAAAATACAGGTGTCTGCACTAGCTCTCAGGCACTCTAAGGAAGTCAAAGTGAGACAGAGAGAACTTCCCGATCTCGTCAGGGCTTCCTGTGGGCCACTTTTCAATCTCAGGGTCCAGTCCATCATTTGTGCTCATTTGACTGTACAGCCACTGGTCTCAAATACCAGTTCTGTGCATTGCTGCCACTGCAGCCCCACTGCAGCCCCCAGATGTCTGGACAACTTCCATCAGCTGTACCCAGCACTTCCCTGGCAGAAAAACAGAGGTGAAGATGATGGCACTAGTATAAAGAGCCCTGCGAAGAGAAGCAAGTTTGGACCCTTGTGCTAGCCCCTGTGGCATCCTGACTTTGGAACAGCTATTGGCTAAGTGGGAATTTTAAACGTGACTTCTCCTGCCTCCAGGCAGGACTTGGGGTTTTCAATTGCTTTGAGCACAATCCTGTGCCACTGTAGGCAGAAAAATGCTCAGCTGTAGGCCTTTTTCTGTTGAAACAGGCACAGAATTGTGCCTCTACATATATTTTTAAATATGGACAGTGGTATATCTATCAGTATATCTTTTATTTTCCTGGGCTCCAAGGTCACCGCAGATGGGGACTGCAGCCAAGAATTAAAAGATGCTTGCTCCTGGGGAGGAAAGCTATGGCAAATCTAGACAGCATACTAAAAAACAGAGACATCACCCTGTCAACAAAAGTGTGTACAGTCAAGGCTATGGTTTTCCCAGTTGCAATGTATGGCTGTGAAAGCTGGATCATAAGGAAGGCTGAGCGCCGAAGGACTGAGGTCTTTGAATTGTGGTGCTGGAGGAGACTCCTGCGGGTCCCTTGGACCGCAAGGCAATCAAACCAGTCAGTCCTAGAGGAGATCAACCCTGACTGCTCTTTAGAAGGCCAGATACAAATGTAATAATAATAATAATAATAATAATAATAATAATAATAATAATAATACTGAAGATGAAGCTCAAATACTTTGGCCACCTAATTTGAAGGAAGCACTCCCTGGAGAAGAGTCTAATGCTGGGAACAATAGCTGGCAAAAGAAGAAGGGGACGGCAGAGGATGAGGTGGCTGGATGGAGTCACTGAAGCAGTTGGTGTGAGCTTGAGTGGACTCCGGGGGATGGTGGAGGACAGGAAGGCCTGGAGGAATGTTGTCCATGGGGTCGCGATGGGTCGGACACGACTTTGCAACTGAACAACAACATCTCTATCTGTCCATCAGTCAAATCAGCGAATTAACTGAAAGAAATAAATTACCATTCTAGAACTTAATTTCTATTAACCCCCTCATGCTGGCCAAGTTGGCCATGTGGCTGTCATCCCTGAGTCCCCCTTTCCCCACCTGCTCCTTCCCAAGGTTAAGTGCATGCAAAGAAACTAGTTCAGCAAAAATCCAGGGTGTACTTTGCTCAGAGACCTATAGAAGAGATATTTGTTTTTACTTTGCTTTCCTGTTTCTAATATTGTTTTCACTGTTGCAAGGTTTTATCATTTTAAATTGTTATATACTGTCCTGCTGGCTCTTGAGCAGATAGCAATGTCTAAATTCTAAAGATAAAATATAAGAAAGTGCATATACTTGCACACTCACACATATACATTTCCCCGAGTCTATACAACTCTGGAGATCAAAACAATCAGAACAGGTTGGAGGAGTACTTAGCCAAGCACCAGCTAGTTCTGCCCGTGGGAAAAACGCTGGCCCAGTTTCGTTCTATTTACCTCTCTCTCTTCCTTTTTGTCTCGCTCCACAAAAGAGCTTCTGTAGGGCTCCAAAGTGTCCTCCCACCACTGGGCATCCACGCGGCATTTCCTCGTTAAAGTCATCCAGGCGGGGTCGTACCTCTGCGTGACATCCTTCACACACCCATCGTTGTCGATGCCAAGGATGTAGCTCACCGGTTTTGTGGCAGATTTGAAGCACAGCAGAGGCTGACCCACAGTGCCCCGGACACAGTCCACGCAAACCCACCGCTCCTCCCGCTCCAGAAAAACCTCCACCCACTGGTCTGTGCCTTTTGACTGTACTGGTCTCTGCTCCCCTTCATCATCTTCATCACTAGAAATTATTTTGTTCCTTTTCTTTGATGGGCTGGAAGAACCTGGGCTGGTCGTTTTCTTTGGCCGACTGTCAGCTGTCTCCAATTTTGTCTTCAGCGCCGAAGACACAGAGCTTCCCCTGTTGTGAGCAGCTACTTTTGTTTTAGGGGCTAGGTGTGACTTCTGTTTGCTTCTGGGGGGTTCAAAATCTTCATCAGAGATGCTGCTGGTATCCTCATCTTCCTCGGAAGCACAGAACTCAGAATCGCTGCCTTCCTCACTTCCACTCTCCTCTTTATACGAGACTTTTGAGGCCACCCTTCGTTGGCGGTCATTTTTAGGCCTCCCTGGCCCTCCCTTTTCCCGCCGGTGGATCTCACCATTGCCAGATTCTTCTTCTTTTTGGGCACCCTTGAATACTGGAGATTTATTTACTGTCCTTCTGGCTCCAGGGCGGGCTGGATTCTTCTTAGCATCCTGACTGCTTGCCAGAACCTTCTCTGGGTCTGCCCCTTGCTCGGTCTTGCATGGCTGCTTGCATTTTCTCGACACAACCTTTGGCTTTTTGGCAGAACCATCCAATTCCTCAGAAACTGCACTGACACTGCGCTTCTTCGAGGAAGGCTTTCCCTGAAGAGGCCAAGCAAGAGAAGCAGGCATTTTTGTAAGATAAGGCATATGACAGAGACGGTCCTGCTCCACTGGGTTCAATCTCAGACTGTTGGGCTGGCAATAAATACATGAGGGTGGGGGCCCTCACCACCTGAAAAGGGGGCTCACAGCCCCCCATGTAGCGTGCTACACACACAGGAATGCCAGGTCTCATCTTTTTAACCCACTCCAGCAGAGGAGGCAGCTCTGTGACCACATCTGTCCCTGCAGAATTCCCTCCTCCACTCAATATTTTTGTGGGCAAACTGGTAAACACCCCGTAACTAAAAAGCACTGCACGACTGAAATGGGTTTGCAATACTTGTCATGAGAGGACTAGATACCTGCTTTTTTACCAAAGAAAATTAAAGCTGTGGTTCTCTTAAGGCCTCATCAGTTGCAGACAGCAAATTCCCTCCTGAATAAGAGCTCTGCCTATGCCTGTTCCTTCCTCATGACTCCACTTAGGCCAGTGCTAGGCAGGATGCAGGGCAAAACATCTGGAGGTCCTTAACTCTCATCAGTGTAGTCAATGGTGAAGGACGAAGGGAGATGCAAGTCAAAACATGCTGAGGACCACAAGCTGCCCACCCTACCATGCATTGCTCATGTCTGTGCAACAGTCATAAAACCACATCCTGACTATACATTCTAAATTCTGCAGAAACTCATCATAAATGTAAACTTTGCTCCATTTTGGAGAAGTTGTTGCAAATGCTTTCTCTCCCAAGGGCAGACTACTGGTTTTCTTTGAGTAGAATGTGATGGCCTGGCCAATGCTGAGCCCAGGACATACTGTAGCAGTTTCAATGAAAATATCTGGTGAGTCACTGTTCCCAAGAGTTTTTCCACAATCTGAGGCTGCCGTCTTTTGTTATTCAGAAGCAAGAACCCCTAAACTCATTTGAAAGTTTGTTTATTTAGCTTCCTTTATTTATTTTGCAGCCTTCCTGTACTGTACTAACCTTCCCTACTGATTCTTTCAGAGGAATGGGTTGTAGAGACAACACAAGTCGGCACAACAGCTGCAGTGCCCGCAGAATAAGTAAAAATACCTATTGAAAAAGAGAGAAACCCACATTAATGCATTTGGAACCAGTCATGTAAATAATGATCTTAATTATCCAATCACAGAAAGATTTTTGTAAAAGGTTCTGGACTAAGTGGAAGGATGAAATCTGAATGGTCTGTTTCCTTAAATCAAAATAGGGGGGAAGCTTAATACATACATGGCAGGATTTGCTGCAAGTCAAATCATGCTGGCCTGCCGTGTATTGATCAGTTGTAGAAATTACTTTATAAGTCACTTTCTGAAAAGTGCACACACAAACACACACACACACAGGACAGCCCTTTTGAGGCCTGGGTCACCCTTCTAAATATCACATATAGGGTAGCCCCCTGCCAGCCAGCGTCACCATGTCCCTTGGAAGGCAGGCAGGGTACTTCCTTGGCATGCTGAACACGGGGCTTTGGCACTTTCAGCCCAAGAACCGAATTCCACTTTGGAGAAGCCCTCGGGGACCGGCTTCCAGTGGTGGGCGGGGCCAACAGCAAAACGGGTGGAGACAATGTGTGGAAAATACCAAACTCCCAGCATGCTTTGCCTGGACACTCTTACTGCCAGTAGCTGAGCCTCAAGAGAAGCATGACAACTATTTTGAACCAGAAAAAGCATGCAAGACCCAGGAAACTACTAAGTCCACTGTGGTCACCTGAAAGGGGTGGGGCCAGGGGAAAAGGACATGGCCTCCAGGAACCACAGAGGGCTGGATGGGGACTGCAGGCAACACGGATTTGACCCCGAGTCAGGCATTCGACACCCCAGATTTAACATTACTTCCATAGATGCTACTTGAAAAATAAGAATCCCCCAACCCCTGCCCTCCTTTGCTTCATCTACATCACAGTTATAAGAAAAGCGACCTGGTATGCTCTAAAAAGCCTCATGGCACTCACATGCACCAACTCTTCTTCATCTCGTGCAGCATAGACTGCAAAGCGCCTTTCAAGGGTGGCCTGCCAACTTTCTTCGCTGTCAGACAGCTCAGCATTGATAGTGAAGGTTGCGCCAAACCTCAAAGAGCAAAACCACATCACATTTTCTGTTAGCTGGCATCTTAAAAGTCCATCCCATCCTCCTAGTGGGGAGAAATGCTACAACTCTTACATTTTTTTAAGGGAATCAGTCATTTAATCTTCAGCAGCTGCTGTCGCAAATAAACCTTTTTTCACTCCTCACACACTAGTCTTGGCTTGGTCATTAAGTCTGCTGAGTGACTTTGGGTCAGATACTGACTTAGCCTAACCTACCTGGCAGAGTTGTTGTGAGGATAAAATGGAGAGGTGATGGGGGGAAATTATGTAAGTTACCTTGAGTTCCTTGCAGGCAAAACAGTGGGCTATAAACATAACAAATGAAAAGAAGGGAGACCCTTACCATTTCACAAGATTTGACAGGTAGAGGCGGTCAATGCGAGCTGCAGGCACTTTAGTGAAGTGGGTGGGGATGATAGAAAGGCCAATAGCTTGGAGATCTGGCTGAATGCAGATCCTGTTTCTATGGAAACCATTCGCTAACAGGCACAGCAAGTGAACCTGTTGAGAAAAGGACATGAGTCTATAAAAGAAAGAGCAATAGCCTTCTGTTATATCAGATAAACCTCAAAAGGGCAGGCCCAGGCCTGACCAAATTCACCTGGCTGACACAGGAAAAGTCTCTGCCCTGTGAGAAACCCTTAAGACCTGCCGTTATTTCCTCTGGGACCTGTGACAAGAGACCCAGGTCTGCTGCTCAGATGGACCGCTGGTATATTTGAGAACCATGGAGTCAGTGGGGAGACTTGGAAACCCTCCCCGCAGTGTCTCTCAGATCATCTTCCAGGAGAAGAAGCCGGGAAAGTCACCAGCAGCCCACGTGACAGCACCCTGCCCAGAAAGGGACTCTAAACCCAAGGTGTGGAACCTTTTCCTGCCCGAGGACAGGGTTCCATTTCGGAAAATCTCCCAGGGGCCACGTTTCAGTGGTGGGCAGAGCAAAGGCAAAATGGGTGAACCCATATACCAAAACCACTGGCATATTTCAGCTTAAAGCTCTTGTGGCCAGTACCTAAGCCTTAGCATAGGCATTTCGGAATTTTAGAATGGGATGAGGGAAATGGCACAGAAGCAGGGGACCACCAAATGGAAGGTGTTCTGGGGAAGGGAACAAGGGCAACTAGGAAACCCTGGGAGGCAAGACTAGAATCTCGGGAAGGCTGCCAGGTTTAAGGGTCTGCGACCTTGCCCTGAATCTTCTTATTTTTATTATATTGTATACAATATAATGCAAACATTGTAATATGTTGTATGTACAATATTCAACTAATATCATAAATATATATTATAAGCTGCCCTGAGAACTTTGGTAAACAGAATGGTAGAGATGTTTTAACCAAGTAAACAAATTGTTGAAACGTTAGTGATGGTGATACAAGATTTGAACCTTTGAAAGGTCACCCCAGGCCACACTCTAGTTCCATTTACTTTGCGCGACTCGCTGACAAGCACAGAACCCTGGCTGAGCCTGGGTCAAAACCATGGAATGGCGTCCTGGATGAAACCAGCGCCAAGAAGCAAGTGCCTTCTCTGCTTTTTATGAGTCTTCAAAAGTCCCATATGTTCCAACTGACATTTGGTTGGTAATTAACCACCTGCTAATATACTAGTGGTGATTGTTTTTGGTGCCCACATCTGTTTGGTTTATTGTTAATGAAATCACTTCTTTGAATTCTAAATTGTGATTTTAACCATGGATTAATGGTTCCTACTCTACTTTGGGGAAGGAAAAGCAGTTTATAACTGCTTTAAATAGCTATAAATAGCATGCAAACAGCCAAATTAGCTTAATAGGAAGAAAGATATAACAAGATGTCAAGGTAGTTGTACACCAGAAAGGAAACTGGCTGCTAGTTTGAGTGATAACATATGCTAAATTTTAAAAAGTTTTTCTAGGCCTTCTCCCCCAGAATGGCTCAGGATGCATATAGCCCTAGTAGCAGTATCTTGTATTACAGTTTCGACATGCTCAAATTTCCAGGAAATGCTTCTAGTGGTAATAAGTGTTTCATGCTGGAACACACTGAAACTGGGGGCTGTGGGCTCTCTTTCACTTTCTGTCAGGTATCCTGCAGCCACATCCTGCTTACTGCTTGAGCTGGGAGTTGGAACTAGATAAGCCGCATGGTCTCTTCCAGCTTTACGATCCCAAGTGCCTGCATGAGCTAAGGGAAACATGGGAAGTTTTCAGGAAGCCCAATATCATCCCGCAAAGCCTCTACCATCTTCTAACACATTACCATTAAGACATCTTACCTTGTGTGTATCTTCGCGAACTTCTTTGTTGAAACGTTTCATCATTCTACGGAGATAAGTCTCGAACTCGGTCTGCCTTTTCTCTCTGCAAGTTAATAGTGAGTGTGGTGCAGTGAGCTTAGGAGCTACCTTTCTAGATTCTGAGCGGAAGTCTGGAGCCACAAAACCCAGCAGCACATTCATGTGTTCCAATCTTCATGAGGCTACATATTATATGGGCACTATCCAATGGTGTTATTCGATAAACGAACAGTGTTAGGAGACCACCTGAAAATATTTCTATAGCACAAGTGGTTACCATTAAGTTCAGGTAACCAGTTGTACAAGTGACTGCACAACAGGTTGCATAAGCACAATCCACAATCATTTGTGCAATTGCACTTCTGCACATGTAACTTTAGTTGTGGCCTCCTCTTGCCCATAGTTAAGGACTCAGTTTTGCACGAATGTCATTTGTGCTAATGAAATGAGAAGGTTGGATACTGCCCCATGTGTGCTTCCAGGTGAATGAATATATTTATTTTACAGTATTTATATCCTGCCTCCCTACCTCATCCAGGCAACTAGCACAATAACAAACTACCATAAATAAGCAATAATTAAATGAACTGATAAATAAACCAAATAGCAATACAAAGATGTTGACCCAGCAGGGAGAGACAACAAAAACACAACCTAAGAAGCAATCAAGTGGCACCAAAAGCTTAAGCAAGCAAAAATGATTTTTACTTGGTGCCTAAAAAGTAAACTATGTAGATACTAGATCCTTTTAGCTGACAAAGGGCATTCCAAACTATCTCTGCATTGGAAATAGTAGCTACCAACCTCATTATGAAGGACAGAAGTACCAAAAATAAGGCTTCAGCAGAAGATTTTCACTTTTGGGCCTTTTCCCTTCCATGCAGCACAGAAGGGAAAAGGCCCAACACTGGGAAAATTAGCCTCAAAGTCCAAAATCCAAGAGAAAATTAGCCTCAGAGTCCCCCAAGTTCTGATTGTAGTATAGCTAGTCTCAGCTTACCTTCTCTCTCTCTTCTTTGCCTGTTCAGGTGTTTCAATTTCTATCTCAACAGTTTTGTTGGGCAGTGTCGGCACCGCAATATTTTCCAGCATCTCCACCTCAGGCTCATGAAGTTCTAGAAACAAAGTCCAAATTTAGTTCATGTGGTCTAGACAACGTCCAGTAATTTCAGGTCTAAATCAGGGCTGCTTCCAGGGTTGTTTTTAAAGGCATGTTTCTTGAGACCAAAAAATTAAGTGAAGACTCAGGTAGGAATCACCGTAAGAGGTTTGCAGCTGCATTAGTTTCAGAGAGGAGACACAGTTTGCCCAACCAATTGTCAAAACTTTGTCAAACACACATCTAGCCCATGAAACAGGGAAACTCTGAACTCTATAAGTGCTGCTTGCATGGATTTTACAGCACAGAGCTTGGCATATTGACATAGGTCTAGTCATAACAGAAATAAAAGACTAACCTGATTTGCACTTAATGGTGGCAAATCATGGGTTAATTAAGAGACTGAATATTCAAAAGGCTGCAGAATGTGCCATGGCACATCAAGGATTAATTAACCCAAGATTTGCCACCATTACAGTGAATAGCCCCTGAGAAAGCAAACTTCCAACTTTCCAACCCAACTTCCACATGCTGTTCATGGCAGGCATTAGCCAAATGACCGCATTTTTATCTAGTCATCTCTGTTCTGTACAGAAGACACTGACTGTGCTCTCTCAGAAGAGAAAACCTGCTGCCACTCATCAACCATGTGGTTAATCTGAACTATGATTAGAGGAAACAGGCCAAACCATGGTTTATAACTCTGTTTTGTTTTTACTAACCATAGTTAAGATACACTACAGGATTCAGATGATTTTCTGATCCTCAGTTCATCTGAAAAGGAGACAGAAGTTGTTCTCCTTAGTCACTCCAGTTCTGGCAACAGGAATATGTGAACAGGGAATATATGTGTTCTGTACAAGTGCTAAGTGTAAGTACCTTTGACTTGCTCAAGGCCATGATCCTATGCACACCCACCTGGAAGTAAGCCTGGTTAACTCAACAGTGTCCTCTATAGATATGCATGAAGATATGCATGAAGTTGCACTGCTAAAAGCTACTTTGACATGTTAGAAAAAGGAATACAAAAGGTATTCAGCTGAGCTGCGGTAAAAACCTGTGTGGAATGAGAAGATGCCCGAATAACCTTAAATAACCCAAAACTAATGACAGCGAACAATGATCCACAAGGCAAAAATGGGAAAATGCATTACCTTCTACTTCTTCCCACTCATCCTCACTTTCAGCATCCTCGTCATTTTCCTTTTCATCTCTGTTCTTGGTGGGAGATTCTAGTTTCGCATCTGTCTCTTTCTTTAGATGAGGGCGCTGTAAACCACTATAATGGGTGCAAAAAACCCCAAACTTATTATTATGCGCCTTGGGCTCACACACTTCCCCTCCCTTCCTCTGGTGCACCCTCTCGTTCCAAACTGTCACGCTTCAAGTAAGCTGGGCTTAATGTTAACCAGAGGTCATCAGCTCAGACTACACAACAAGCTGTGTTTAGGCAAAAGCAGAAACAAAACCTTCTGAATGTCTCACAGCTGTGAGACAATAAGGCCTTTTACATCTCTCTCCGTGTGTGTGAGAGAGATGGGGGGGGGGGGGATTTAATTCTTGATTTTCCAGGGACTTCCTTACTGGAGAGATCAGTGATACAGAACCAAGGCCTGCAGAGCCATGTATGTTTTTGTCAACATCCTGGGCTTTCCTTAGGTTGCCAGTGCCAAGGGAGGCTGGAAGGGCAGCAACAAGAGGGGGTCTTTTCAGCAGCAGCCCCCCAACTTTTGACTTATAAACATGTGGGGCCTTCTTTCCCAGTGCCACACGCAAGAGAGGGCTGGAGGGCAGCAACAAGTGGGAGGGCCTTCTCAGTGATGGCCACCAAATGGCTGAACAATCTCTCCACTGAGGCCTTCCTGGTGCCCATTTGTCAGCACCAGGTCAAGCCAGCCTTCCATGTTGAGCCACCTAAAGATATTTAAGAGTTAACTAATGACTTGATGAAATACCCATGCCTGGTGTTTTTTAATAGGCCTGTTCAGTATTAAATACTGCTTTGCTGCTAAATTGTTTAAAAAGATTTAAACTATTTTATAATCTTGTATTATAAAAAATATGGTTGTTGTAGTATATCATAGTCCTAGCTAGGAATAGTGGTAAACCAACCAGAGAGACAGTATAAAAGTTCATTTTTTTTTAAATGAAGAATCTAAGTAACAGAATCATACACACCTCTTCTTTAGCATTCTACTGCCAATCCAATTAAACTTGGAGTGTTGAACTGAGCTGATTCATTTGTACTAAGGGCTGACATGAACTAACTAGGCATCTAAACTTCAGATGTTCCAATGTAAAAAAGGAAAGGATTTTTTCTTGCATTTCACACAAAGATTCTCTGTCTCGCTCTCTCTCCAACAAATCTTAGAATGCTCTAATTTGTCATGGGCTTGCGCAAACAAATTTGTTCACATCAAGAGTTCCACCCATTCATCACTGTAAGTTCTGATTGTGTACAAAGGATAAGGCTAAGGCGAGATGAAGAGAAAAAGCCCAGCAGACTATCAGATCCTTTGCTAACTTTTGTCTGAAATTCACCACAATAGGATCGCAGGGGAGGATGTTAGGATTCAGGAAATAAAGAATACTTCTCTTTGAGGACTTTAACGACCGATTCACATGCAACCATAAACTGTAATAGCTGTGAATTTGGGCTGATTCTTTACAAGTCCACACACTTTGGTCCAATCTCTCTTGCTTGGCTCCCCTTACCTGTGGAAGTTATCACACCAGCAAACAAAAGTTTAACAGCTGGAGATTTGCCAGGCACCTACATTGTGGCAACAACTCTTCTGGAACACCTATGGCACTATCTAGACTATTTATATCAATGGCACTGATTTTAATTACATTAATTATGCTTATTGTGATTTTATTCTGTTTATTTATTATATTCTAATTGTACTGTTTTATCAATGTTATTTATTGATTTTTATTGTAATGGCTGCCCAGAGAGCATGATGCCAACAGGTGGCTTTAAAAAAAATCCAATGGATAAATAAATGGATAGAATGATGCCATGGCTGGACTTAGATTCCTGGATCGTTCCTTTTCTAACAAGCCTGAATCTGAATGTATTTGAGTGATCAGATAATGTGAATTCACAGTAATTTTCTTATCATTATGTGCAAAGGAGACCTGAAAACCACTCACATGCATTTCCTCTCCTTTTTACAGGACCTGTGACTTTCTACAGTTCTTTTATTTTCTTCCTTCACTTTGGGTTTTGCTTCTTTGTGCTCTGAATTTCTGTAAGGTGACTGAGGGACATTCTTCTCACATTCTTTTTCCTTCTTTTTTTCAAGTGAAGCTTTGGGCAATCTTTTCCTCCTTTGGGGTTTACTCTCTTCAAAACCATCTGTATCAAATTACAAACAAAGGAACAAGAGTCAAACATTTGGTGTTTGTTTTATTTTACTCATTTTTTGTACACTGTCCCAAAACATCTGTAGTGGACGGGTTAGAAAAGCTTTTAATAAATAAATAAAACAAGCAAGGGAAAAGGCCGGTTCAGTCAAAACGAAATAGCCATGCTAATTAAGTTGATGATCTTTTCAAGGCAATTTTGCAATATCTTCCTCTCCTGAGTATGTGAATCTTGATGCATTATGAACCTGCCAGTCACTAAAGGCATGGGTTTCTTTTTGTTTTACTTTGTTTTGGTTTCTCTCTGTCTCTTAGGACATTTACAAAGGAGAATTTCAAGGAATTAAAGAACAGTGTTTTGATGACTTATGAATTACTACCAAAATACTTTCCATGCAACCCAGTTCTGTGTACACATACTTAAAAGAAAGACCTACTGAAATTAAAAGACGCTTGCTCCTGGGGAGGAAAGCTATGGCAAATCTAGACAGCATACTAAAAAGCAGAGACATCACCCTGCCAACAAAAGTGTGTACAGTCAAGGCTATGGTTTTCCCAGTTGCAATGTATGGCTGTGAAAGCTGGACCATAAGGAAGGCTGAGAGCTGAAGAATTGACGCCTTTGAATTGTGGTGCTGGAGGAGACTCCTGCGAGTCCCTTGGACTGCAAGGTGATCAAACCGGTCAGTCCGAGAGGAGATCAACCCTGACTGCTCTTTAGAAGGCCAGATACTGAAGATGAAACTCAAGTACTCTGGCCACCTAATGAGAAGAAAGGACTCCCTGGAGAAGAGCCTAATGCTGGGAACAATAGAGGGCAAAAGAAGGAGACGGCAGAAAATGAGGTGGCTAGAAGGAGTCACTGAAGCAGTTGGTGTGAGCTTGAGTGGACTCCAGGGGATGGTGGAGGACAGGAAGGCCTGGAGGAATGTTGTCCATGGGGTTGCGATGGGTCGGACACGACTTCGTGACTAACAACTGAACTCAGTTGACTTATATTTGAACATGCTTACTTGGAAAATCCAAGTAATCAATTCAAGTTTGGACTGCAAGGATTTTGTCTACCATCTTCTACTTTAAAATTGCATGCTAAACATCAGGGCAAATTGTTTAGTACTGAGAATGCATCAGCATTTTTTCACCATTGAGTTTTGAGATTAATATTTGAATAATTTAAACAATTGGATCTTTAATGAAAAATCATAAAGTCATATTGAATCTGATGAAGACCTATATAATACAACAAGTTGAATATGAGTGCAATAGCACTTTCCCACTCATGTCCCCTAGGAACTGGCCTATAGAGCCATATTATATTTGTCCAATCTCCTTTCAAACCCATCCCAATTGGCAGCAATCATTATGACCTGGTTTGCTCATAACAAATTAATTAATTAACCATGGTTTGTGGAACTGTCACTTGTCACTGGGATTGTTCATATGACATGACAAGCAAGCATAGGTGATTTGACCCAAGGTGAGACTGCAGTTCATGGGGGCAAGTGGGCACCATTTTGAATATGCAGATCCTGCTTGGGAGTTGCTGGTCTATACAAACCAGGCGGGTGTGAGTTAGGTGGGGGCTAAACCACCCTCATAACCCATGAGCATTGTTTAGCCCTTGCATAAAACATGCTTTACAGGGTTCACGTGGCACAACCTCCCAGTGTGGTTTAAATATGCAAACTGGCACCCTTGGACCCTGCAGCTCATCATGCACTGTAGTCACGGCATGTTATCTCAATTTCGGGGTAGTAATTTCCAAAGTTTAACTATGCATTGTGTGAAGATGTACTTCATTTCATCTGTCCTGATCTCTGTTCAAAATGCCTTCCAATTCACTTTCTCCAAGCCATATATAATTTTGTATACCTCTACCATATCTCCCCATATTGTTTTTTTCTAAGCTACGCACAGTAACAGTGCAGTCCTATCAATGTGCTCTAAGCTTCCAAATTCATAAGCTTACAAGCAACCAGTGCAGAGCGGGAGGAGTGGCAGAGGTTCTCTTAATCTCTCCATATCTATAACTCTGCAATTCAGCTAGCCACACAAATTTCAGCCAAATAGTTTAGGTGCTTCAGAAGAGTTGGGAAGGAAGCTGGAGTGCCACCAGGATACCTTTGCAAACTTGCACCCCCAAATTCCCTCCATTCCCTGTCCCTTTGACTCTGTGAGGTTGTTTTCCTGACTTCTGTCATAGGATCACTCTCTAAATTGCAGACCGTGAGTCCTGTAAGTCACCCACAGAATATATTTGGCTCTCCTCTTTCCCATTTCAAATTTTAGACTGTAAGCTGCTCAGAGCAAAGACCTGCACTCTTATGAGGCACATGCTGCTGATGCTGTTCAAATACTGAGCATTATGCATATGCTGAACAGTTTTATTCAGTTTGCAGAATCTACTGTGAATCAAATTAAGTTAGTCCCCTCTCTTTCTGATCAGGTATTTCTCCTCCTTGTCTCCTTTCTTTCAAACATTTAGTAATCTTGATCATTCATTGGAATTTTGTAGTTGCTAAAAAAAAAAATCTTGTTTTGTAACAAGTTCAACATCTGTATTTAAATAAGTTAAAGGAAGCTGCTAGGAAAAAATCTCTCCTAATCATGTGACATATTGTGTAAGCTACTAGAAATGGGGTGTTTAATTCATAGCTACGCTACTGGACTTATGTAAGTCTTTCACAGAGAGATTCACTACAAAAAGCAACATTTTAAGTACGAGGTTATCAAATACTCTTTCAATATGCAGCAGAGAAAATTTAGCAAGGGTCCTCTGGTCCAAAGTGCCCCTTTCCCCACACTGCAATGATGACCTGGAGAGCAAAAAGTGGTAGGGACAGTGACAAAAAGAATCAGCAGGTGACTAGTTGGATGTGTGCATGCCTAATTTTTACTATTTTTCTACTGCATTTGATAATCCCTTTCTGCATCAAAAATTTGTTTATTCTCCGGTAAATTTGCTGTATCCGGACTGCACAACTGCATTTTATTCAACTGCAGTCAAGGTAGTGCTATCACTTAAGTGAGTTTAAAATGCAAAACTGCACATGGTCAGAGTATTGGTTTTGGAAGCTTTTAAAATCAGGATTGACAGTTCAGCGTTTACTCATCAGAGTCATTAGATGGATGGCATCCACAAAAGTTATGCCAGAATAAATGTGTTCTTCGTTAAGGTGCCACAAAACTTTTGCTGGCTTTGCTGAAACAGCCTTAACGTGGCTATAGCTTTAATTTTGCATTTGTTTGGTGTAATGCAAGCTGGAATGTCAATACAACTGGGAAGCCTGGAACTGCAGAGTACAGAGAACTGTCGATTGTGGTTTCACACAAATTAACACCGAAGGCGCAAGATCAGTACATCCGGAGCAAGGCTAGTAAATCAAGCCACTTACCCAGCGGTAAGCCACTGTGCCACTGGGTAAAGGGGGAAAATAGTTTTGTATGGAGTTGCACGATGGAATTCCGACCAGAGTGCATTAAACGCTGTTAAATTTTACTTCTTGCAGAAAAGTTAAAGCGCAGTAAATACGTTTGCGAGAGAAAAGATGAGCGCCTTTCCCACACCTGCTTCTTGCTCCAGATGGAGCTGACACCACTTCCGACTCAACGCAAATACCTCCCACCCCGCATCCCCGCGGCCTTCTTATGCAACCCCTGGCTGCGATCTGGGAGCCCCTCTCCACACTCACCCTCTCGCTGCTCGTCGGTTGCAGGAGCTGAGGAAGGGGCAGCTGCACGTGCCCCCTTGGCTTTCTTGCTCGGCCCGCGCACCTGCGGGGATCCCTTGCGCTTTCTGACCATGTCGACGGATGCCTTCCACGCCAGCACGCCTGCAGGGGCGCGAGGAAGCCGCGCAGTGGGCGCGGGGAGGCGGTGCGGGCACAAAGGCGAGGGAAAGTGAGACGGCGGCGGAGGAAGACAGGCGGCCTGCCGAAGCGGCCGATCCGAAAGCGAGGCCCCGCTCTCCGGTTTGCGACAGGGCAGTTATCGCACGCACAGCTCGCTAGGCGTCGTTGCTGCTAGTCCCTGTGTGCCCTTCCTTCGCGGTGGGCCCCCTCGGGACGAGAGGCGAGAAAGCGGGGCTGGCGGGTGGCGCGTTCTCCGCTCGCTCCTCCTTTCCTCGCCTGACGTCCCTTCCGTGCCGGCTCTGAGATGCCGCTGCATAAAGGAGAAAACGCCGTTTCCCTTAGCAGAAAAGCAGCCACCACTCTCGCGGCGGCACTATGAAGATCCCATGCACCACCCAGTCCATCGTTAGACAGAAAAACAAGCCCTACATCTCTCAGCACACCTCAGCCACCTATCCAGGCTGGGGAATGCTGGGAGTTGTAGGATTCCCCCCCGCCCCGTTTTAACAGGCATGCAGTCGCATTCTTAACGCATCTATGAAGGCATAAGCTTTCATAGACCAGAGCCCACTTCATCAGGTGAGGGTATGTATGGGGCAGCGTACCCAGCGCCAGCTAGCACTGGTCAAAGGGAGGCAGCTGCCTTAGGAGGCCGATGCTGGGAGGCGGCAGGGAGGTGTTGTGGGAGAAGGGCGCCCGATGCCTCCCGAGCTAACCTGCTGCCTTCAGGTGCAGTGTCCCATTGCCATTGAAGATGATGATCCGTCTTGAAAGACTCTTAAATATGGAATAGTAGGAGATGCCGCCTTGCACAAACTGCCTTGTGCCAGCCCTGGACTGTTTCGTAAGCTTTCTTGTAATTCAGCTCTCTGTATCTTTACATTTCCTTTCCCTCTAGCCTCATTGCATTCATGTCCCCCATCATGTGTGTATGAGGTTTTCCACACCAGACTGTTGCTGTATGTACCTTTCTTTTCATTGGAAAGTTGAGATGTACACAAAGAGCTCTTTTCCTCCTGCATAACCCCTGGGTAGAGTTGTGTTATAGCACAATGGCTGAAATACCCCAAGGTGAAACTACATCATTCCCCGGTTCCAAAATAAGACATCATTTTTTGCCATACTAAAGCAATGAACCCTTTTTGCTGTTCCTAAAACCAAACAAACCCAAACCCTTGGGAAAATGCTCTGAAAAAAAGAAGCAAACCTGAAAGATCATTACATTGTCTAAACAGCCCATAAACCTTGAGGAAGGAATCACAAGAACACAATAAGTGCCTTATGTAGAAATTCACTCTGTTTACCTGCATCTTAGGTTAACATTTCATGAGCTCATGCAGTGGAGTTTAGTCTTATGCATTCATCTTCAAGGTGTCACAAGACTCTGTGTTATGTTTGCTGCAACAGATAATCACAATTACCCTTCTAGAAATTACTTAAAAGAAAAGATTATCCAGTGAGAGATTCACTGCACAATCCTATACATTACTATTCAGAAGCAAGATCAACAATGGAGATGCAAACAGTTGCAGTTCCAACAATGACATTCACTCCCAGGTTTGTGCATTTAAGATTGCAGTCCAAAAGCCTATGTTGGATTTAGTCCTCCTTGTAGAAACACATTAGCTGTACTGGCAATACATGGACTTTGTGTATTTATTTTCAAAATGTGAATCCTATTAAGCAACTTGGATGGAGTCTCCAGGGTGCTTACCACCTCTTCCCTACAAGAAACATGGTTAAAATGTGTGGCTTTTTAGTGTAGAAATATGTCACAATATACAATGAAAATTTCCAGACAAGTAACTGGAAATACACAAAATACAGTGAAAATTTCCAGAGGGGTAACTGTATTAACCAGTTCTAAGAAAAACAACAGGGAGCTTTGAAGCACTTTAACAATGAACGACTTTACTCTGACACAAACTTTTGTAAATTACAGCCCACTTCATCTGATTAATTGAACTACAGCATTTAAAGAAGTGATTTTAGTCCACATAAGTTTATGCCAGAATAAATTTAAATCCTTAAGTTGCCAAGTTTTGTTGTCAAGTCTTTTTTGTTTTGTTTTTGCAAAATATAAAGTCTTATCATCAATTTAGTGGGTCTTATTAACACCCCCCAAATGTCTGTGCCACAAATTCCTTATTTTTACATAAGGGTACATAGCCAATAATCAATGGTTGGAAGGGGCCATGGAGGCTGCCAGGTCCAACCCCCTACCGTTCCAGGTTGCCATTTTTCACTAGGAGGAGGGCCTTTTCCATACCAGCACCACGTTTTAGAACATGCTTCCCAAGGAGATGTGTCTGGTTCCATCTTTGCTCTCTTTTCGGCACCAGATGAAAACTTTTTTATTTTCCAGATATTTTAATAGATAAATGCTGCTTAAATATTGTTTTTATTATCATTGTTGTGTCATGTATCAGTTTTATTATAGATGCTATGAGTTGTTGATTTCATTGCATTGGTTTTATTGTTTAATGTCTTATTTAAATATGATTATTTTATGGGTTATTGATATGTCTTTAAAATTTGTAAACCTCCCAGAGACCCTGTGGGCTATGGGACAGTACAGAAGCACAATATAAGTAAATTAATAAACAAACAAACACTCTTACATATCCTACTCTGAATTTAGCTACTTTAGGTAAATGGGTAAAAAAAAAATTTATTTTTTGTAAGCCATCTTGAGATCTGTCTTTGATATAGACAGGGTAAAAATGTTTCAAATAAATAATTAGGATAGGATTGTAGCATGATTTATGGGGGAAGCCTCCCAGCTGGCACTTAAGGCTGCCATCCTCGATACATTGTGTGGAGAGCAAAGTGCCCCAGAGCTCAGTGGACATTCCGAGCATGTACGCTTAAGATGGTATTGTGGGAGCGACTTACAACACGGAAGGTTATCACTACCACATCAGCCTCTCTATCGCCACTGAAATTATTTTCACCTAGAAAATAAACCTCCTTGTTTTGACAGCAATGTTTTTATTAGCTCAAATGCACACGATGTTTCAGGTTTCACATATGTAAACCACGCAAGTATGACTCTGCTCCTTAAAGAAAACAGCGTGCGCAGACTTGTATTTATTTGAGCGGCGGGAAGGGGAAAGACCTACAATTCCCAGCATGCCCTCGCCGGTATTGCTAGCCAGAAAGCTGCTGGGACCTGTAGGACTTTTTTCCCCTTTAAAACGCGGATCGCATCACGCCATCTAAAAAGACGTGAAAGAAAAGAAAATTCTGACAAGCAACATTTGCTACTAGCTTTTCATTAGTAGGTGGGGAAACACTCCCGCCCAATCATAGCCACGACGAAACTCTCTTCATTGCATTTAAGTATAATTCTCATCTGCAAACCGGGAGTGCGACCGAAAATGCTTTTGAGTTAACCCGGAATCTGAGAGCTAAGTGTGCATTTCTTTTTACAAGTCTACGTTGCCCTATGTGTGCGACGGACGCATGCGACTCGGCATAAAATCTCGCGAGAGAGAGAGGAAATCGGCTTTGAAAAATGGCGGACGAGGTGGACCAGGTGGGTTAGGGTGTTTGTAGGGATGGGCTCGTTAGGACTATTTCACGGGGTTGTGGAGAGGGTGGTGGGTGGCTTGCTTGCTTGCCCAGGTGGGGTGGTGGGGCTGCTGGTTTGCAGTGCTGTTTCCTTGTTTTGATGTCGCACAGAAGCAGGAGAGGCATCTTGGGGGGCGCCTGCATCTTCTCTAAGGGCGTACTTTTGGTGTGGCTCGGAGTGCATTTTCGGGGAGTTGTCATAACTCCTGGTGTGGCATGTTGAGGCCTGTCGTCTTCTGCCTTCCCCCGCCCCTTCTTCAACTGAGGTGCAGAAGCGAGGAGAGGCTTCTATTAATGCTGCTAATACGACTTAGAAATGAAAGTAGCGTAAAACTGCGGAGCACTTGGTGGCTTCTGGGTGGGTTTTTGATTTCTCGTAAGTGACCTGAAGTACTCATCTTCCTCCCTCCCCACTGTAATTATTGCCTAGTTAGTTTCTGTGCTGCACACAGTTGAAACCTAATGGGCACGTTGCTCCCTTTTCCAGAGTGGGTCTAGCCGTAAGGGCACATCTCCAATTTTCTTCTCTATATCGGACTTATTTGTTTGTTTTGAATTGGGAAAATATGATATGGCTAATTGTCTGATACTATGGTAGGTGTTCTTTATGAAATAGTTGCCGGAGCTATTAGTATGAAAGAAAATATTTTCACGGCAACATTAGTCTGTCCTTTATAAGCACTTGTCCTGTGTTTGGCATAGAAATGTATGCATAATCTTTAGTCAATGTAAGTCAATGTTGGAGTATCTTTGTTCTCAATAAATAAAACTCATCTGTTTCCACAGATGCGAGTTGTGAACAATAGTAATTACGCTCTTGTGTTCTGCATTTCTTTATTTGGCATGTATATTCCAAATGTGTTACAATACATCTTTGTGAAGAGTAACTATATGGGTTGAACTTGCCAGCTAAATGGCCTTTTGGAACTCTGATTCTGTGCTCAAATACATGAGTTCCATAATGGTGACACTGTTCATGGGGCAAATGTTATGGACTTTTATGAGATGGTATTGATTTGTGCTGTGAAGTTTGTGCTTCCCCTCTTCTGTTTAGTGAACAGATGTGACACCTGATAAAGCAAAAAATAAAACAAAAACTATCTCTAGAATAGAGGACTGAAAAACAAAAGATTTGAGGTGAAGCAAAGAAAGCCAATATTTATCAATGTGGCCTTTCCATGAGATGACCTGAAGTTCTCACTGGTAGGAGAATGGGCAGTATGGATTGTTTCTATATTATGTGATGCTTTATCCAGTAGTTTTTTTCAAAAGAGATTAGGCACTAAAAGGGGTTGTCTGAGCTAACTGAAGGCTACTGAAATCCCACATGCACCTTACATCTTACAGTTCTCTCCCTGAACTATTTAGGAGGGAGTTCATTTAGCACTTATCAAATCTTGAGAATTAGTTTACCATTTTGAGGGCTGTCAATGATTCTTGATTCTTCTGCCTATCACATACTAATGTTCAGGCATTTTATTAGTGTGGAGCAATAATAAACCCAATAGTGTCTGATGCTAATTTCAGCTGAGCTTTTCTCTTAATGTAAAATGTTCCTATTGTTTATCAATTGCACTTAGATGATATTTTTTTCCCAATAGCAACAAACCACTAATACTGTAGAAGAGCCCTTGGATCTCATCAGACTTAGTCTTGATGAACGAATTTATGTGAAAATGAGGAATGACCGAGAACTTCGAGGCAGATTACATGTAAGTAATAGTGGAAATGTGGGGTGCTGGTGAAAGGCAATCTGTGCGGGGTTCAGTCAAACACTTCTAGAACAAAGGTTAACCCTTCTAGCAAAGATAAATAGCAGGCTAGTTATCTTGGCTATCTAGTTACTTCCTTGCTTTGATAAATCTATTCTGAAGGAGTAACTCTGGTATAACCTTTGCAAGTTACAGGATTTAGATTCAATCTGAGGGAAGCTTGCTATGTGAGTGAGTCATTCCAGAGACAGATATGTACAATTGCAAATGGAGAAGCTTCCTTTAGTGAATTCCTCATGTTCCAAGAACATTCCATACACAGAAGTTATGCTTATCCCTTAACTATCTGCCTTGCAGAATGGTGACTTAGTGCCACTAAGTTTTTAGTACCATATTTTGCACAAATTATGACCATCTTTCTAAGCCATCTTTCTTCTGAAAGAGAGAACAAGGCAGGAAACAAAATCCATGTGAGCAGACTTAATTTGTAGGACTTGATTATGAAGGTGTTCTACTTCATAGAACAAAAAGCAGGGGAAACATGACTAGCTTGCCTATTCCATGAATAGACAAATACTTCATGATGTGTACTTGCATTCAATGGGCTCTTCTGCATAGGATTAGGCTTTGATTATACTGCAGATTTCTTTAATTAGCATGCAAATTGCTTGTCAAGTATTGTGCCAGCATGTCATGGCTGGTTCTGCTGCTAGTGATGGTTCCTGATAGAGCAAACTCAGTTTCAAAATAGGATTTTATTTGCAAAACACTGTATTGTCTGTCTGTCTTATAGAATCATAGAACAGTGGACTTGGAAAGGCCATCTGGTGCAAAACCCCTGTACAGTCAGGGCTCAGTTTAAGCTGTCCTTCTCACATGACTGTCCAGCTGCATCTTGAATGCCTCTAGTGTGGGAAAGCCCAAAGCCTATCTTGGTAATGGGTTCCATTGAAATATGCTGCTCCAATAGTCAGTTAGTTCTTATTCCTACTTGGGGCAAAGCTATAGCTTTCATGCTGCCAGGAAGTATTCCTGATGCTAAAGAGGTGGAGGCTTTATTGTGTATACTTTCCCTTTCATACAAGTCTGTTTTAGATTTGGCACCTGGACCCCACTTGGCTCAAGAATTCCATTAATGAGAGAGTACTAGCTAGGCACATTCCTGAAGGATAACTGCGGACTTGACTTCATCCAAAGAACAGCCATTTTGGTTGTACAGTCCTAACTCTTGGTTTAAAATTGTGTATATTTTGTGGGTATAACATTCAAATAATCTGAACCTAGCTTGCATTTACATAACAATCTTTAATAAAAAGCAAGCTGTTCACCTGTGCTATAGGTCAAAAACTCATTGCACTTAATAATGGGGTTTATTCAATACTCCTTGGGTTTGTCATCAATATTTGGTTCAAATGGCATTTTGAATCTCCCAGAGAGCTTTGACTATTTGGTAGTGTAGAAATTAGTAACAGCAATATTGTTAACTTTGCTTCATTTTCTTTTGGTACTGTCATTTTGTCAATATTTCTTAGGTTTAGTTCTCACTTATACAGTCTGGTTTTTTGTTCTTTAAGGAATATTACTTTTCATTTCTGTAGGACTCCCATATCTGTGTATATCAGTTCCAAGTCCCCCAGTAGATGGCTGAAACTAGATAATAGTGAACATTATCATATATGCTATATACAGTATACTTCTTTTTTCACAATTTCATTCATTTTTACCTCAACATATGGTTGAGGTAAAGCAAGAATTTTCACTTACAGGAAGCACTTTATGACTTTTCTTCCAGCTGAGGTCAGTTGCACTTAACTGCAAATGCAGTAACTGAGCCAGCAGATACGGGAGTCCTGCTGTAGATACATGTATTGGAGGTACCTATTTGGAGGGGACTGCAGTTTGAGCAGTACATTTGATAACAAATGTGCGAACAGTGTAGCGTCCTTCAGGTATAAGAATAAACTATAGTTCCGTTTGGGAGGATCTTGGACACAAGTTAGGCCAGTTGCATATTTGCCCAGACTGAAGGAATGCATAAAGAAGATACTTTTACAGTATTGTGCCTATAGCTGAAACTTCTGGATATGTGCATTTCATCAGTATTTTAGAGAATATATAAATACTGACATCAGCATCAAAAATAAACTAAACTATCTCAATTCTAAAGGCTTATGACCAGCATTTAAATATGATTTTGGGTGATGTTGAAGAGACTGTGACTACGATAGAGATTGACGAAGAAACATATGAAGAGATTTATAAAGTAAGACTCTAATTTTTAATGTCAAAAGCTTGAAATAATATTTTAGGAATGTAGTATTGTCTAAACTTAAGTTTCATCTTGTTCTTGACATACCAGCTTGACTTGAGTAATGGCAAGTACATTATAATTGGAATAAAAGCAGTTACGCAGTATTGAACATGGTGTGTCATATCCAGTTGTGCTCTTCTGTTGGTGGAAACAGCCTGAAGGTGCTTGGTCAAGTCTGGCCTCCCACCTCTATGCTTGACCTTTGCCCATCATGGCTTATTATTAGAACTAAGGAAAGGATTTACACCTGGGTGCAGGAGGCTGAAAGAACAAATGGTGCCAGCCTCTTAAAAGACTCCTGATAAAGCCCAGCTCGGACCCAGAAGATATTAACAACGATAAGCCTGTAGCCAACGTCCCCTTCCTGGACAAGGTGTGTGAACAGGTGGTGGCTGAGCAGCTCTAAGCACTCTCATGAAATGGACTAGCTGGATCCATTTCAGTCAGGCTTCAGGCCTGTCTTTGAAATGGAGACTGCTTTGGTCACCCCATAGGATGACCTTTGCCAGGGGAAAGGTAGGATTGATTCTCCTGGATCTATCTGTGGTTTTTTTTTAATACCATCAACCATGCCATTCTTCTGGAAAGGCTTGTTGAGTTGGGAATAGGAGGTACTGGTTCCATGCCAACTTGACTGATTCCAGAAGATGATGCTGGGAGCTTGTTGCTCTGCACCATTACAGGTCTGCCATGAGGTAACACAGTGCTCTGTTTCCCCCACCCCACCACCCCAAATACTATTCGACATCTGCATGAAATTGCTGAGGTAGGTTATTTGGAGACCTGGGCTCAGGTGTCATCAATATGCAGATGACACTCAGCTCTACCTTTTTTTTTTTACCAAACCCAGGTGAGCCAGTGGCTGTTCTGAATCAGTGCATGGGCATGGTAATGGACTGAAGGCCAATAAACTGATTCAGTCAAGAAAAGAGAGGTGCTCCTGGATTCAGAACTGTCACTTGAGTCACAAATGAACTTTGTGGCATGGAACACCTTCATCAGCTTAGGTTAGGCCAATATACCCACTGTGAGCCTACTGGGACAGAGAAAGCCTATTCCCAGTGATCCATGCTCTAGTAACCTCTTGTCTGGATTACTGTGAAATGCTCTATGTGGTGCTGCCTTTGAAAATGGCCCAGAGATTTCAGTTGATTCTAAATAGGGCAGCGAGGCTGTGAACGGGGACTGGCTCACGAGAACGTATCTTGCCAGTCCTCTTTCAGCTGCACTGGTTGAAGTCTGGGACCATTTCAGAGAGCTAGTGTTGACATTTAAATCCCTAGACCTCTTGGGACTGGCCTATCTGAAGGACTGTCTCATCCCATATGTACCTAACCTGGGCCCTAAGGTCATCTTCTGAGGGCTTTCTCAAGGAGTCCCCTCTAAAGGCAGTAGAGCAAGTAGGGCTATAGATGCAATTTATGAATTAAAATAAAGAGGGTGGTTACATGGAGAAGGGCCTTTTTGGCTGTAGTACCCTGACTATGGAACCAGCTTTCCAAAGAGGTGCTCCAGGTGCCTACTCTTTCTTTTCAGTGCCAAGTAAAAACCTTTTTATGCACCCGGTATTTTAACAGTTAACTTTTATTCTCAGCATTTATATTGTATTTTATCTTGTATTTCTGCTGTACCTTTGGACCAATTAAATTGCACTTGCTGTGGGCCCATTGTCACAGTTTTATTGTTTATTATGCTGTCTTGTTTCTTTTTATATGTTCTTTTCAACTTGTGAACCTCCCAGAGAGCCTTTTGGCTGTTGGGTGGCATAGAAATGAAATAACAGTTCAGCCAGTAGAAACCATTCTTGCAGCTTTCCTGCACATCCTCCATATCTGCTTTAGAGGGCTGTGAAATTGTTGAGCAGAGTTTTGGGCAGTGCAAAGGACTGAAGTCGGGAGGAAAGGGGGAGAACCGTCTATTTAGTTAGTGGACTTACGCCTCTCTGATGTTAACTCAGTGACTGCTTTACTATTCAGAATAGCTGTGTACAATTTACATGCATTACCAAAAAATGTTTTATCTTTTTAGATTTTTAATCTTAATAAAGTTAACCTTTGCAACTGTTTTATATCCTCCTTGGTCATAACCTGAAAGGTGCTGCTTTTTCTCTCCATAGTCCACCAAGAGGAATATTCCAATGCTGTTCGTCAGAGGAGACGGAGTTGTACTTGTTGCTCCTCCATTGAGGGTTGGCTGAACGCATGGAAAATGTATCCCCTGGAAAACATGAGGCCTCAAGATACTGGCTTCTGCTCTCCTGAATATTAAGACTCTGCACATAATTTTACAGGGGATTCTTCCACCTGACTATGTGTTGTTCTGAAGGCAAGAGCTCATTTGGCAAATAAAGGACATGAAAGAGTTTTCCTACACTAGTTTAAATGCTATTTTCTTCTGTACCAGTTCAGTGGATTTAACTTTATAGTTAACACTTATGTTAAAACGGCAATCCTTTTTTTAAAAAAAATAAACCTTTTGTTGGCTTACTTTCTATATGTGTACATTATATTGCATATGCAATGAAGTGCTAGTTCATCCTTACATATACATTATTATTTAACTGTTTATTTGCCACTGACAGTGTCAAGTACAAATCATCCAGGATTTGTACAACTCATGTGATTATGACTTCAATGGTCTTCAATATTAGTAGCTATTTAAGAGGTAAATGTTATGAGGCACTTCATTATAAGTCCACATAGATACTGAGGAGGGAAACTGAAAAGAGCAAAAGAAGCCACAACTGCCGCTTTTCTCTGGTGTTTCCATCACCTGGGTGAAAGTATGAGTGGCAAGGAGTTGGAAAAAAGCAAAAAGATAATCGAGTCCATCTATTTTGTAGTATAGCTTGGAATGGATTCACATTTTGTCTAAACTTGAAAAATAGAGGAGTATTTATGCGGGTTTAATATAATGACTTGATGTGGCAGTTCCTTATTACCACAATGCCCCCCTCCCCCCAGTGTTTGGTGTTGCAGTCCTCTACCTAAAACAAGTCCTTGACAATACTTTTTAAAAATTTCTATGGTTTAGCTCTCCAAACCTGTTGCTGTGACTTGATGCAATTTTTTCCCCTGCTCCAGATCATGTTGTGCCTTCTGTGAACACTAGATGGCACTGCCTTTAAGTTGTTTGCTGTTCTGAACTGTAACAAAATTTCTCTGATGCTTATCTGTGATATAACACAATGTGCTTATTTGGCCCAAGTATTTTCATCAAATCATTTGTTTTTAATGAAATACTGCCGTAACGTGCAGTTCTAAGTTGGCAGTTGCAACATGCTGAACAGTGGTACTTAAAGAACAAAATGTTTCTTGGTCATTTTGTAAACATCAGTGGCTTTCTCAAGAGATGTAGAATGGCTTAAGTATGTTTATAGTATGCTATCCATCTTATTAAGTGTTATGCTAACTGGGATCATATTACTCCTTATAATCCCCGTTGTGCACGAATGCCTCAGAAAGGGGAGGGGAGGAGGAAGGGAGCAAAGAATGGGGAGAGTCTGAGGCATTTGCCAGTGAATTGCACAGGTCCCACTAGGATGTTCTACTGAGTGCAGCAGAACTTCCAAATGATGCATATTAAGGATTCCTATTTTACTTCATAGCATTTGGACAGGGGCAGCTTAGTGCGCTATAAACTTCTCTTTGCGCTATTGCTACAGAAATGAGACTCATTCTGGCTCTAGTTGCAAGCTTGGGACCCCAAATGCTATTAAAGATAACATTCAGTGCTTTGCCAATGGAAAAGACTGGGTAGATATAAAGTGCTTGGTGTTTAACTCTGGCATCCTAAAACTTTTTTCCCTCACATGTATCTAGTTTCATAAGGCAGACTGCCCCAATTTGGTACCCTCCAAAGTTGAATTTCAGTTACTGTCATTCCCAGCCTACATAGTTAAGGGTCAAGAATGCTAGGAGTTATCCATAGTGTCTGCTGGGGAAGGCATTCACAGAGTAGCATATATAGAACATACTTTTGGTAAAGAGCAGACAACCTGTATTTTTCCAAGGTTGAGAAATTCTGGTTCCTGGTTGAGAAATGGATGAGTGTTGGGATAGACTGATGCACTGTCCAATGAATCAGAACGTGGTTGATGGACCAAAAGCAGAGGGTAACTAGTAGTGGGGAATCATCGGGGTGGCAGCTGGTGACGAGTGAGGTCCCCCAAGGCTCTGTCCTGGTACCAATCCTGTTCAATCTTTTCATCAATGACCTGGAAGGGGGGGTGACAAGTCTGCTGATCAAATTTGCAGATGTTACTAAAATGGGCGATGACCACAAATGAGGAGCAGGTACTCCAGATCCAGAAAAATCTGGGCAGACTATGGAAGTGGGTGGGGGACAACAGGATGGCATTCAATTTGGATAAGTGCAAGGTCTTGCATTTGGGGCATAGGAATGGGTGTCCTAAGTACACGTTAGGGGACAAGTAGCTGAAGAGCAGCACTTATGAAAGGGATCCAGGGTACTGGTCAACTGCAAGCTGAACATGGGTCAGAAGTGACACGGCAGTCAGAGTGAATGACACTCATGGCTGCATAGCCAGAAGCATGGCTTCTAGAGCAAAAGAGCTATTACTGCCACTTTACACTACTACGGTGTGCCCACAACTGGTGTATTGTGTTCTGTTCTGGGCCCCATGTTACAGGAGAGAGCCAAGTTGGAATTGGTGCAGTGTAGGGCCACAAGGATGGTGGTTGGTTCGCAGGGAAAGCTGTATGAGGTGAGACTGAGGGAGCTGGGTCTTTTCAGCCTTCAGAAGAGGAGACTGAGGGGATCTGTTGGCAACATATAGGTACATGAGGGGGGTGTCACATGGAGGTGGGGTGAGGCCAGTTTTCCCTTGTGGAGGAGGGCAGGATGTGCTCTAATGGAGCAAAACTCGGGGAGCCAAGGTTCAATTTGGATGCCAGGAAGTACTTCCTGACAGGACCCGAAGAGTACTGAATGGGCTTCCACAGGAGGTGGTTGAAGCCCCATCGGTGAGGGTGTTCAAGGATAGGCTGGCATGTCATGAGCAGAACCAGCTGGTGGAGCCAGGGGTCAACCTGGGAGGCCCCTTCTGACTAAGTCGTGTTTCTGTGTTTCCATATGTTTTGGTCTGCAGCTTTCTTCAGCTGTAGACAACTTAGTCATGATGAGGGCTGATGGGAATTGTAGGCCAAATCAAGGAAGACTGCAAATTGACTACCCTTCAAGTCTTCTAGAAATTCTTTTCTTTCAATTTTTAAGCAGCAGCAAAAGCACGTGTGCTGCAGCAGAACAGAGAATTGGGTTAGCTTCTTGGCAATGGTGCATGCTTGGTACTTTATTGGCACCTGCACTTTGGCAGCAGGAGCCATTGATGGCATTATGCAATTGCTAGGCATCAGTGGCTATTGCTGTGAAGGGGAAGGGATGGATTTGAACCCATGCATAGGGAAATCAGGTGCAGAGTGAGTCTGTCCAGCACAGGAAGGTGGCACAAACCTGGAAATCACAGCCAGGAAATAACTGATTCTGTAGGAAGTATCCCGGTGCAGGTAATTGAGTGTATAAAAACTTTCATGGTAGGCCTGTTTGCTGCTCTAAGGCTGAGACTTGGCTTGTGGCTATATGGTGCCTCTTTTATTAACTCTTCCCTTCACCCCCTAATGCAGCAGCAGCTGGATTTAATAGCTGTTATTGTGCTGCAGTGAAACTGAAAATGGTGTAGCAAAAATTGAGAGTTGTCTTATACACCCAACATATGACAAACACCAGAAAAATAGCCCCAAATATCAACCTTGTTTTACACACAAGATGCCTTACATGCCAGCATATACAGAACACAGCTTTAGGAAGACAACTCCCAGCATTCCCCAGGCAGCTTAACTTTTACATATCCAAATCACTGGGAATAGGTGGGATATGATAAAATTTAATATCTGAACATGCATAAGCTTGCAATCCAAGATGCACCTGAGGAGAAAACATTTTCTAATATTTTAACTGAGGGACATCTAAGAATATCACTTGCCCTTTGAAATCAGTGAAGCTGTGTATAACCACACACAAACTTATTCTGAACATTTGTGCTGCCAAAGGACCAGCATAGCTGAAGATGTGCTCCACTTCTAAACAGTTCGTTCATATATTAAATAGTTTAGATAGAATGAAGTCATCAGTTATTCTTACTGGGGAAAACACGGCTAATTTTTATGTGCTAAAAGCCCAATTATTTATAGCCCAGACTGAGAGTTGTCAGTAAAGCCAAATAGTTGTTTGTGTGTTGGACTTGCACTGGGAAAATCTGACTTTTGATTACCTCTTGGCCATGAGACTCATGAGTAGTCTTAGGTTAGGCTGACAAGAACCTGACTATCTTACAGGATTTTCCAGAAAGCTAGCTGCGGTAGTCTGTTGCAGTAAAAACAAAGTCTTCTGGTACCTTAAAAATGAACAAATTTAGTATCACATTAGCGTTTGTAGACTACAGTAAAGGGTAGCTATGAGGATGTGGAGTAGGGGAATGCTTGGCATTCTTAACACAGTGGTTGGGTTCACACAGCACCTGACATTCAAGGTTGCTGTATTGTGGGTTATTGAGATGTGTGAACTCAGCTGTGTTAACAAACCATGGTTGGTTAACCATAACTCACAGCTCACAATCCTGCAGAAAAATCATGAATTATCTTTATAGGCTCTTTGTGGTTAACTGGTCATGGTTTGTTAGCACAGCTGAGTTCACACAACACGACAGCTCCTGGTTCAATGACAACCTACGCTTAACCTTGAGTGTATAGGTTGCCATGTGAAACCAGTCATTAATCACTAATCTATTCTATTGGTATATGTGATGTTAAGCAAAACTAGGAGCCAGAGCCCTGTTCTGGAAATCTTATAATCAGAGAGATGAACCTTTTTCATATTGAGAGCCAAATTCTATTTCAGAGAAGCTCTTGCGGTTTGCATTCCAGTGTCGGGTAGAGCCAGAACTGCGAAAGCAAGCTCTCATCCACAACAATTCTTTTGTTACCAATTTATACTAGGAAGCAAGTTTACACATGAACAAGCAGGATAGGTCTGCTCAAAACTCAGCAGCATTTTGAAGTGTGAGCACCCGTCATGACAATCTCCACAGCCACACTGTCTCCAAGCAGGGTTAAAAATGCAAGCAGTTGTATAAATGCATGTCGTCAGACCAACTGGAATGACGTTTTCAAAGCTAATGTTGACTGTTCAACATTAAGCAACCCCAAAACAGGGATAATTCACAACAATCGTTGTTGCTAGAAAAATCGCCAGTTATTCTCTACCCCCACCCACATTGGAAGGATTGCAGGTAATTTCAAAGAGAATAGGGAAATCTAGAGGGGGTTGGCAGAGGATGTAATTGTCCCTTCTAATTTAACATCAAGCCTCTCCAAGTCTGTTCAGAAGCAATCTCTGCATGCATATTCAGGAATAAGGGTAAGTCTCTGCAGGAAGACACTCAAAGAAACAGGACTGAACTGGCCAGTGGAGGAA